GGGGGGGTTGCTCGGGCGAGGAGAGGGGCGGAGAGGGGCGGAGAAGAGGGGCGGGGGAAGGATCAGTGCGGGGAGCGAGCGGGCGAGAGTGTTGTGTGGTGAGGGTTCAGGTCGGTTGGGAGGGTGGGGAAGGAAGCAGAGAAGGTGGGGCGCTAGCGGGTGTGCGAGGGGAGAGGGGGGGGGGCGAGGAGGGGAGTGGGTTCGGAGGGGACGGGGCGGAGCGCACCGGACGCCGCGAGGTACGACAGCAGCAGCACGATCAGCGCGCCGAAGCCGACGCCGACAGGCGAGAGGGCAGAGGAGGGAGAGGCAGGCGCTTCGTCGCCCTCGTCCTCCTCGCCCTCGCCGTCTGTCTCGTCGGCCGCCTCCGCCTCCGCCGCCGGCCGCGGCGCGGGCTCGGCTGGCTCGGAGGCCGGAGGCTCGGCGGGCTCGGCCGGCGGCGCGGAGGGAGGCTGCCTCCACCACCAAGTTGGGACATAGCCGGCCGGCGCTGGGGAGGCGGCGGCCGGGACGGCTGGGAGGGGCTCGTCGGGCTCGTCGATGACTTCCCAGTCTTGCATCTTCGGCCTGCGGTGGCGCGAGAACGTGTTGAGCCACAAGCGGCGCAAGTCTAATTGCCGTGGCATCCCTGTGTCAGACGCGCTTCATTCCGCGATTGGACCGTGGCGGTTGGGGGCCGCAAGCAAGAGCGGGCGGGAACGTGCATATACGGAGCAGGAGAAGGGGATGTGCCGCAGAGGGGATGAGCGTGGAGTGGGACGGGTGGCGGGCGGGGGCCTGGCGGCGAGCGCCCCGCGAGCCGGGTGAACGGCTGGACGGTCTGAAATCTCCTACGGTTGTGTCGACTTGTATTTTTATTTTTTTTTCAGCTTAGCAGCCCACAGACATCCCGCATTTTTTTTACCTGCGGGTGCACACAACAAGTCTCCGGCGTAACTCGACCCGCCATAAAAACGGTATGGCGGTTGAGGGCTCTCTACTGCCGCGGCGCCCCTGTCGGTTCGGAGGCGCCCGGCGGCCGCGCGCTTGGTGCCGACGTCGACCGGCTGCTCTCGCGGCGCCGAGACGTGCCGCTTTGGTCACGTCTCGCGCGCTGAGAGGTGGCGTGTAGCGCTTGGCAAGAGACGCCAGCAAGCTCGCCTTCCTTGCCTGCGGCCGCGGGCGTGCGGGCGGGCCAGCCAGGCTCGGCGAAGCTCGGCGCGGGTCTTCGAGCTCGCCGCCGGCGGTGAGCCAGCATGGCTCGGCGCTCGACGGGAGCCTGTCCAGCATGCTCTGGGCATGCTGTACAGCATCGCCAACTCTCTGGGAGGGTCTACAGGGCCAGGGCGGGCCGTCTCGGGCGCGATAGCGCGCTCAATCAATAGTAAGTATACCACGACTACCAGCTCTCCGATCGGGCCGCCGACAGCGGGCTTGCGCAGCGCGCCGCTCGACGGAAGGCTGCTCCCCAGCCTTCCAACAGCATCTGCTGTCTCGCTTCTCTCGCTGCGACCGCATCCGGGGGCCTGCGCCGACCGCCTCGCTTCGCCAGCGCTGCCTATGACTGCGGCACGCACGTCGGCTCGCCGCCCGCGTCGCCCGCGGCGGGCCCGCATAGCGCGCCGCTCGTCGGGGGAGTGCCAAGGAGGTTGAGGAGTACAGGCTGCCTCGCTCAGACCGCCGCCGACGCGGCGCGAGGCCGCGGTCGGCGCTGCTGCGGGGCTCCTGCGCTGTGGGCTTCACCATCGTGTCCTGAGTACGTCGCCGACGCCAACTGCCGCTCGCCGCTGCCTTGCACTTCCCTGCCATCAGGCACACACACACACACACACACACACACACACACACACACACACACACAAACACACACACATTATTAATCATCGGGTAATAATTATTCATTATTAATCATCGGGCCGCGGCGCGGCACGGCGGCGGGCGGCGCGAGGCGGCGGCGCGGCGAGGCAGCGGGCGGCGCAGGGCGGGGCGGCGCGGCGGCGGGTGGGGTAATTGATTATTTGTTAATTAATTATTAATTATTAATCATTGGGCGGCGGCGCGGCGCGGCGGCGGGCGGCGCGGAGCAGGGCGGCGCGACCATCTGCAGTTACCGGGTCTCTGATCATTGGAGAGCGGCAATGGTCGCGCCGCCCTCGACTCAAGGGGCTGCCTTCCACCCATAGCTGCTCAGGCCGGGGGAGGGGGGGAGACCTCCTGTTCCTCGCGAGGGGCGCCTGCCAACCTCGCTTGCGAGGGGCGTGTGGCATGTCTTGCGGAACACGAGAAGGCCCCTCCTTGCCCGGTCTGCGATGCAGGGCGGTGGTCGTGCCATCTTCGCTTCGTACACGCAACCACCACGCCGCAACCGTCGCCGGCGCGCGACACGATCTCGTCGGCCGGACTGTCCTCGTTGAGAGTGTGTGCCGCCAAGGCGGGACGCACTCAGGGACGGTGCCGACGGGACGCGGCTCGAAGGGTGTGGCTCCGCAGCGCGGCTGGCACTCGTGGCAGAGGCCTCGCCTTCGAAAAGTCGGGCATGGCTCCACCCGCAACTTTCTCGCTAACACGCGCCCACCGCCGAGCCTGCGGCGGGCGCGCTGCGGCCGCACGTCTAACTTCGTCATAGTGCCACGACGTGCGGCCTTGCGCAGAGGCGCCAAGGAGAAGCTGGAGGAGGCGTTTGCGCGGAACAAGGAGCTCGAGGCGGAGCTCGCCAAGATGAAGCGCGCCGGCGAGGTGGCGGAAGAGCTGAGGAGGCTGCGCGCTGGCGAGCACTCGCGGGAGAGGGAGCGCTTGCAGCGGCAGGTCGACCACGCGGTGACGGCGCGCGAGCAGCTCGAGGCCAAGCACGCGGCCAAGGTCACCGAGCTCAAGGGCACCATCCGCACGCAGATCGACCTGCGCGAGAAGCTGCGCGAGCAGATGAATTCGATGACGCCGGGGGACGTCACGCTGAAGCAGCAGGACGAGCTGGACGAGAAGACCGCGCTGATCCGCTCGCTCAAGGACGCCCTCGTGACGAGCAGGGAGGCGCTCGACGCGGCGGAGGCGGCGGCGACGGCGGCGGAGGAGCAGCTTGCCGCCGATGCTCCGGGGCGCGGGAGGCCTGCGGGAGACCGAGAGGCGCAGTTCGAGACGATGAAGCACGAGATTGGCATCGAGCCCGATCGCACCAAGGTGCCGCCCCGTGAGCCGTCAAATGAGACGGATCAGTGGCGGGGCGTCGCTCACATGGCGGCAGCGCTGCGCGGGCGCGGCGAGGGCGACAACATCGACCTGATCGCCAACGCGCTGCACAGGGCGGGGTACCTGGAACGGGTCATCCTCGAGGCGCACAAGTCGCAGCCCATCGTCAAGGGCATCGTGGGTGGCGCCGTCTCGAAGCTCAAGGAGCACTGGAACGCGCGGCACGCGGTCCACATCTGGGACCGGCTCGGGCTGTCGCGCCGCGAGATGGACGACCTCGACCACCTGCTCTCCACGATCTACGACCCGGTCCTCGGCAAGTACGTCCCGATCCAGATTTGGAGCAACCGACGTCGACGACTTTGTGGTCGCTGCGAGGCTCGCCAGCCGCCCGGCGCGCGAGGCGGAGTACCGGACTATCACCTCCGGCCTCGGCATCACCGTCGGCGATGACGGGCGGTGCGAGCGAGACGCCGGTGCTTGCGTCGAGCGGCTCTACGACGTGTACCGCGGGTCGCTCCGGGACGAGTACACGGCCGAGCGGCCCGCGCTGCCGGTCCTCTTCCTCGACGGCACGGGGGGTCGCTCAACCGCGGCATCTGCCACGGCACGATCGGCTGCGCCGACTTCAAGGCGGTCGGTGATTCGGACGCGAAGCAGTCGCGCGCCACGCTCCAGCCGCTCTTCCTGTACGAGGGGAGCGATCACTCGGCCCCGCTCGAGGCGTCCACGCAGCTCGCCATCGCCTCGTACAACAAGCTCGTCAACGCCGGCTACTTCGACCGCGTCTCGTTCCGGAGCGACAACGAGACGGAGAGGATCCCGTGCCGGCCGATCACCGCGGCCGACATGCAGGGCACCAAGTCCACGTACATGCAGCTGCCGTGCTGCCACTCGGTCTTTTGCAAGTGCCAACGCGGCGAGCAGGGGCCGCAGCGCGAGGCGCCGGACCAGCCCTTCTCGACGTGGGAGGTTGCGGGAGGAGGTGACCAGCTGGTACGCGGATGTCGGTTGTGAGTTCAAGACGTACGACGAGATGTGCGCGTGGGCCCACTACTCGCCCGGCGTCGCGCGCGGCGGCGCCTTCACCGAGTTCAAGTGCGAGTGCTGCGGGTACGAGCCGACCGAGCGGCAGTGGCGCGCCGACCTCGCCAAGTGGCACGCGATGACGGACGAGGAGCGCACCGCGCGGCAGCGCGCGCACCAGGACCCCTACGCCGGCGAGCAGCAGCACTTCCACCAGCTCCTCTACCACCCGCCGCTCCCGCACCACGGCATGGACCGCGCCGGCGTCGACCTCCTCCACCTGATCTACCTCAACCTGTTTAAGCACCTCTTCAACTACACCGTCCACCACAATCTGCCGGCCGCCAAGAAGAAGAAGGTCCGCGAGTTTTGCAAGGAGGCCGGCTTCTACTCGTACGACGCTGCGTCGGACGACGAGGACCCGGCCAAGCGCTGGATCGGGCGTGAGGTCAAGCGCTTCCTCGAGAATGCGGACAAGTACCTTCCCTTCCTGCTGCAGCTCGCGCACTTCCCCGACGACGACCTGGATGTCGACGACGACGACGACGGGTACGTGGCGGACGACGCGTACCCGCCAACCGCCGCCGACCTGGCGGCGGAGGAGCTGGAGGAGCCCGACATGATGAAGGACGCTGCTCGATGGGACCGCTTCCTCGAGCTGGTGCGCGCCTTCCACGAGCCGTGGCCGCAGGGCGAGGAGGACACGGACGAGTACCGCAAGGCGCGCGCCCTGATCATCGTCAACCTCGCCGCCGCCATGTGCAAGGATCTGTACGAGCTCAAGCCGCTGGACGGTGTGGCCTCGTGGGTGCCGCACATCCTCCTCTTCATCGTGCCGCGGCAGATGGTCGAGCTCGGCGACCCCGCCCGGCGCTCGTGTGACGCCTGCAGGGGGCCGGAGGACGCGTAGTGAGCGCGGACTGAGGCGCGGCCGGCCGTCTGCCAGACGGCCGGCCGGGCGCCGTATGGGCCTCGGGGTGCCCGAGGACTTTAGAGGTGCGGTTTTTTTTGCTTGTGTCTATTGGTTCATGTCATGGACCGGCCCTGGGGAGCCTTTTACCGCGCCCGGAGGATGATACGAGTCCGTAATGATTTAGCGGGAGGGAAATCGGCTGGTGTGTTGTGTTGTTGTGTGCCCTTGTTTGTTCCTTTGGCACCTTGGAGTGCTGGGGGGGGCGACAGGGGGGATGTGGCCCTGAGTTATGTGTACGCCAACTCAGGGTGTGTGGCAGCCACGCTGGCTGTGTGTCTTGTGAGCCTGTTGTGTCTGTGTGTCGCTCGTGCGTGTCGTCATCATCTGTCCCGCGTCCACCCATACCGCGTTGGTGTCCAGTCCGAGCCTGACTGTTCTTCACCTTTCTACCTACCTACGGGCGGTTGTTCATGCCCTCCCCACAAGACATGGCAGCCTGCTCCTGCTGCGTTCTTAATTGAGACTTAGTTAGGATCATTCTCATTCTTCCTAGTACCGGGGACCTAGTCTTGGTCCTTGCTCACCGGACGCCTGAGCCCATAGCAGCTGGCCCATACGATAGCCGGTGACCGGCCCCAGCCGCAGGGCTTGCGCTAGGGCTTGCGCTGGTCTGGAGCTGGTCTCCGAGTACCGAGAGCGCGCGGTGTGTCGCGGTCGGCCCCGAGAGGGAGAGCGCGGAGACGCGCTTCCCGCGTCGCGCTCGCTGCACTCTGCTCTGCGGCCCGTTCTAGGGCCCGCTGATGAGCGGAGAGCGCTAGCAAGACTGATCATGAGAACAAACTCAAAGCCTCGACATGCTGCTCACTACCACTCTAAGCGGGCACCGCGCAGCAACTACATACTGCCTCCCCCCCGGGCTTTTCCCCCTCGATATGACAGCCGTCAGCTCTACTCGTCGTCCTCCAGCTTGAGCGCCTCGAGCGCCCAGCTGCGGAGCGCCGCCATCCCCGCCGGGTGCGGCCCGTGCGCCGCCGGGTAGTCCAGGAAGGTGACCTGCACGCCCGCCGCCGTGTGCCTCTCTGCCGCGTCCTTGCCGCACTCGGGCAGCACGACGCCGTCCTGCGCTCGCACCTCTCTGTGAACAGCGCGTCTTCACACCTCGCCACCCTCGGGCAGCACGACGCGCCTGCGTGCCGTGGCCGATGAAGAGCGGCGTGCCAGCGTTGGCGCCGCCGCCCACGCGCTCCGTCAGCTGCGCGCCTGTTGACACCTCCACACCGTGAGCGGCGTCGCCTCACACGCCGTCCAAGCCAGGAGAGCGCGCGTAGGGACGGCCAGCCCGACAGGCACGCGACACCGGCCAGCCGCTTGGCGTACGAGTAACCCGCGAGCAGCGCCATTGCGCCGCCCTGCGAGAAGCCGCCGAGCACGATGTCCTCTGACGCGGTGCCCTTGGCAACCTCGGCGTCGATGAGGGCGTGGATGATCTGCGTCGAGTCCGCGAGGCCCTTGGCGTCGTCGGGAAGCCCGTTGCCGATCGGGATCGTCTCGAGGTCCATCCACGAAGTCATAACGTAACCGCCATTGCACGTAACGGGTGACTCGGGCGCGTCCGGGAAGGCGTACCGCACGGCCTGCGGCAGCCGGAGCTCGTGCTTGAGGTGGCTCCAGCCCCGGCCCGTGTCGCCGAGGCCGTGCAGCCAGATGATCAGCGGCGAGCGCATCGCCTTAGTTCGCTGCAGCGCACACGCCCCGTTTTATTTCTTTTCCCTGAAGAATTCTTTTCCAAAGAGTCCTCCTTCAGGGCTGTACGGAACCACACCTTTTCTCCCAGTAAGCTAAAAGGACACTGAGACTCTGAGACCATACAAGTATACAAGTGATGCCTGCCCCGTCCCTGAAGATTCGTTCAACGGCTTCTCCGACTGCGCTGAGTGGTAGAGGGGGGCCTAGAAATCGCGCCTCGAACCGTTTCTCAAAGAAAAAAGAAAAGGAAAACTCGCGATCTCCTATCGTCTTCTGCAAGCCTCCGCGACATACACATGCAAACTCTTCTCGCCCTGGCGTTCGTTGCGCGCGGCGCTCCCACTTTGCGCTGCTCTTCCATCATACAACCGCACCTCGCCACCCCCCGCGCGACCGCCGCCATGTGGGAGCGAATTGTCCCCGAGGAGGACAAGCACGATCAAAAGCGAAAGCCGGCGACTGCTGCCTCGACCGCGGTGCTGGAGGACCCCGACGACGATGTAGTGGACGTCGACATGCTGGCGGCCGAGATGGAGCGCCGCCGAGCCGAGATCGCGGACGCGGTCGAGGACGAGGACGAGGACGAGGATGAGGATATTGGTGCGGCGCTCGCAGCGGCTGCCGAGGCGGACACAAGGGTGGTGCTGGCGGAGCAGGCGGTGGAGCGGGCGCTGGAGGAGCTGGCGAGTGCAAAGGCGGAGGCGGCGGCACTGCGGGCCGAGGCTGAGCGCGTCACCGACCGCGCAATTGCGACGGCGGCGGCGCATGCAGAGGCGGCTGCCGAGGCAGAGGCGGCCGCCGAGGCAGAGGCAGACGCGGCGGCGGCGGCGGCGGCGGCGGCGGCGGCGGCTTCGGTGCCTCCGGCTGGTCCGCCCACCGTCTCCATCGGCGACGACCCGAACCCGGCCTTCTGGGCCAACTTCAACTCGCAGGCGCCCGAGGTGCAGGTGAACCGCGCCGTGCCGCAGAGCGCGATGGGCCGCAGCCCGGGGGCGCAGACGGCGACGCCGCGACGCAGCCGCAGCGGCAGCAGCCGCGGCCGCAGCGGCAGCAGCGGGGACGACGTCGCTCAGCGAAACAAGGCGGCGGTGGAGAGGGCGCTCCAAGCGGCAAGCGCACAGCCGCCCCCGCCGTCCCCGCCGGCGGCCGCGCCGGCGGCAGGGTCTCTCGACCTGAGCAAGGCGTTTGCGCAGGCGGTGGCTCGGTCTGGCGCCTCGTCCTCCGCCCCGGCGCGGCACAGGAAGGGCTCGCTAGGAGGCACCGGGCAGGAGGGGGCGAAGGCGAAGCGCACGCCGGCGCAGGCGGCGCCAAAGGGAGCCAAGCAGCCCGAGGTGTGTGGCCCAAGGCAGCGCGCAAGCAGTCCGCCAGTGAGGGTAATGGAGGGGTGGATGGCTCACCTAGGTGATCGGACTGAGGCCGGCGCCGTCCGAGGTCAAGGCGGTGGCAAAGGCGGCGGCCCGGGCGCCGCGGCGGCCCCGTGCGGTGGGAGACCGGCCTCAGGCGGCAGACGCAAAGCCAGCCGGCAACGGGGCGGCGGTGCGGGGCCGCACGCCTGCACAGCCGAGCGCCGGCACGCCGGCGGCGCAGGCGAAGCCGAAGCCGCAGCCGCTGGGGCTGGTCTCCAATGACGGCAGCTGGTGGCAGACGCCCGGCTGGGGCGACGGGCGCGGGTAGAGGCGGCGGTAGGGAGAAGGGCGGGGGGGGAGAGAGGAGTCAGTACAGTTTGGGGCGCGGCGCAGTAGAGCGGCGGCAGCGGCGGCGGCTCGTGAGGGGGGGGCAGGGGTGGGCGAGGCTTGCGTGTTGCATGATGCGGGGGAGCCGCGCGAGGCGCCGCAGATGCAGCCGCCTCTCTCTGCACGAGAGGTCTCTGGCGCAGGTGTGTGGTTGGGCAGCTCTCGAGGGGCAGCTAGCATCTCAATGAATGTGGAGACGCGCATCGTCTTGTGTTACGTGCGATCTGCAAACAAGCGTGGATGATGTGCGTGTAGTCGGTAGAACTCAGACAACTTTTCGATATTTATTACACATTGCAAAAAAAAATAGAGGCAAGAGAGTGCGGACTGCGGTGCGCGGTCCTCGTAATATCTAAAATCCGACCTCGGATTTTATAACGCACCGCACCCCCTCTAGCAAAAACTGGGAGCGCACTGAGGAGGCGATGGTGAGGTGATGAGGAGGTGATGAGGAGGTGATGGTGAGGTGATGACGCCGGTCGCCGCGCGACCGACCCGCACATCGTACATTGATCGTTTCTATCTCACAGGCGTCACGACGGCCGTCGTCTCCGCCCCGACTGCGGCCTCTTCCGTGCAAAGGCTTCTCCGGCCGGCCTGCCTGCCTGGTTATCCCAGAACACGTGACCCCGGCCGGTGCAATTACAGGCGGGCTTGCCTCGCTCGTCGGCCTCTGTACCGCACTTCCAGCACCACCGGAGTCCGCAGCGACACTGGAAGAGGTCGCAAGTCGCCGGGTCCTTTTCGACGCCCTGCCCGCAGCTTTTGCATTTTTGGTACTGCTGCAGCGCCGCCACGCTCGCCATCTCCTCCTCCCGCCGCCGCTTCCGCTGCTGACAGCCGTCGTCGTCGTCGGCAGCCTCGGCTGCGGCGGGGAGCGACGGGGCGCCAACCACGAACACCTTTAGGCAGCGCGGGCAGGTCGTGGGGCGCGGCGCGCTCCCCTCCTCGAGGGCGACACGGTAGGCGACACGGTAGGGGCAGTTTGGGGTCGGGCACGGCCAGTTGCGCTCGCCGCCACCGGCGGCCGCCCTGCTCAGCAGCTGCTCGTCGCGAGCCTGGTGGGCGGCGTCGCCTGAGGGAGGGGCGGGGCCAGGAGGGGCAGAGCGGGCTCCGAGTCGTGCACTCAAGGGCGGGGCGCTGGGGGGAGCGAGGGGCGGTACCGAGCATCTCTCTGATTGCCGCGTCGGTGAGGGCGGAGTTGCAGCTTGCAGTGAGGCAGGTCGGCTCGAGGCCTTGCGAGTCCCGCGCCTGGACCCACTGGATGTGGCAGTCGACGCACGCCCAGTGCGAACAAGTCTCCAGCCAAACCACTCGCGTCCCCCCCTCCACCGCCAGCTGCGAGAGGGGCTTTTCGCACACTGAGCAGGCCCACTCCTTCTCCGCCGCCTCCTCCTCCGCCGCCGCTGCCACCGCCTCTGCACTGAGCGGGGCATCGCACATTTCGCAGTGGCTCGCGGAAGCGTCCTGCTGGATGAGCGTGCAGCGAGGGCAAGCGACCGCCGCCGCAGCCGCAGCCGCAGCCGCAGCCGCCTCGGCCTCGCCACGGCGATTCATATTGTGCGCAGCTAACGGTGGCTCCACCGGCACCGCAGCCGCCGCGACCGCTGTAGCAGCCGCCGCGACCGCTGTAGCCGGGCTCAGCGGAGGGGATTCTCCGTCGCGTTCGTCGTCGCTGCTACAGAGGTCGATCTGCACCGGCGCGCGCCTTGCCGCCATCGTCGGTGAGCTGAAAGAATTCATTCGTGGTCATGTTCAAACCTAGCACGGCTTTTTCTTCTTTTGAGCGGAGCAGGTGGACTTCCAGTCGAGAAACCTACAGGCTGAAGAAGCTCCGCGCTCAACACATGCTCGTCTGGTGGGTGATGCTTGCCGTCGGCGTGACGGCCGTCCCCATCATTGGTGACCTCCTCTCCCTCGTGCTCGGCAAGCGCTGGCAGCGCCTCGTCTCCCGCTGGCAGCGGCCCGTGCTGCTCTCCACCGTCAGCTTCCTCTGCGCACTGGCGCGGCCGGTAGCCGAGTCTAGTCGTGTGACCCGTCGTCGCCTCGCGCCTCGGCACGGAGCCGAGAGACGGCATACCCCTCTCTCGGCACTCTATCACCGCAACCGGATGTCCCGCTAGGCGCTCTACTTCTTCTGGGCGACCGTGCTTCCCTACACTGCGCCCAAGACATCCGCCGCTCGCACCTTCCACGTCGCCTTCATACTGACCACGTGGATGAACGCCGTCTGGGCCTACTGCTGCTGCGTGGCCACTGACGCTTCGGCAGGTGCGGCCGGCGCGCCGCCGCGGCTAGCGCGGGCGATGGACGGCTTCCCGAGCCACAGCTGCGGCGCGTGCCGGGCGGCCGTGCCCTGCTTCGACCACCACTGCCCCTTCACCGGCGGCTGCGTCGGCGGGCGCAACTTCCGTCACTTTGCCGGTCACACCCGACCCCTCTCTTTCCTTGGGCGCCGGCCTGCATGGCTCACACGGACAGCTTGCCTCTAGTCTTTGTGCTGCACGCCACGCTCGGCATGGCCGACGCGTGCGTCCTCTCCTTCCCGCCCTTCCGCGACTGCGTGCTGGGCCAGATCGAGAGCGAGCAGCTCGGCATCGTCCGCACGCCTCCGCCGGACGAGGCCGCCTGCCTCGCCACCGGCCCCGCCTCCCTCCTCTTCATCCCCGCGGCCTCCCTCTTTGGCGTGCTCGCGAGCCTCGCGGCGCTGCACGGGCTGCTGCTGCTCAACGGCGCCACCACCTTCGAGCTCTCGCGGCTCGCGCGCCGGCGCGGCGTGGGCGTGCTCCGCGACTTGCTGCGGCTGCGCGCCGGCGGTGGCGACAAGTGGGCGCTGCTATGGCAGAGGCCGTCGGCGGAGGCGGGCTGGGGGCTGCGAATGCGCGTCCTCTTCCTCCCTAGCGCGCCGCCGCCGCGGCACTGCGCACTCCGCGCCGCGGCGGAGGCGGAGGAGGAGGGGCGGCCCCTGGGGAAGGGCTCCGTGTGAGGTGTGACTCCTGATAGCGCGTCGGGTTTTCTTCTTTTACAGTCCCGTGCCCGTGTATAAATAAATGAATACGCTCTAGAGAGGTTAGTTAGCGGTCTCCCCACCTGCGGCAGCGGACATCTCCAGGAGAGGATGGGCGACGCACGAACACAGAGGTACAGCGCGCACCCCGCCCCCCCCGCTCGCGGACCTAGCACTATCGCGCCACGTCGCAGGGGCGTGCATCACACAGGTGGACTGTGGTATGACTCCTCGGGTTCTGGGGACTCTTGACAGAGGTGTGTTGCTAGTCGCTAATTCCTAATAGCCTATAGTCGGACGGTTCCGGCGCGTGTCGATGGGCAGTTCCTCGAGGGCAGTTCGGGCTCAAGTGAGGGCCGCGGTCGCGGTCGCGGCCAGCGCGCGGGGCCTGCTAGGGCTGCCGGGTGATCTCGAAGCCCGCTATGAAAATTCTTCTTTTGCACAACACTGGGCACGGGACTGCACCCGAGGGTTTTACCAAGCTGCCAACCCTATTCACGCACTGTGCGCAAAAGACCACACCAACCAACCAACTGTTTCCGGGCCCGAGTGCGCGAAGTGCGGGACCAGCCAACCAGCCTCCTGGGCCGGCCAGGGTCCTGCCAGGGTCGCCCACGGGTCAAAAATTTCTTCGCTCCGCGTATTCAACACGTAGGACATCAAAATGGGTCAAAATGGGCTATTTCACGCCTCTTCAGGCTCCCAGATCCATCTTCTCACCACTGTCCATCCTGAAATTGCGTCACGAGGGTCACAGTGGCCTGTTAGACGCGCTGGGGTGCCAGGGGAAGGAGCCGTTACGACCGTTACGGCGTGGCCGACCGTTACGCGAGTGCGCGAAGTGCGGGACCAACCAACCAACATCTGGAGGCCTGGAGTGCGCAGAGTGGGGGACCACCCAACCAACCCAGGGCCCGGAGTGGGTGAATAGGGTTGGCAGCTTGGTAAAACCCTCGGGTGCTGGCGCGCAGCACGGAAAAATTTTCTTTTGATCGGGGTTGCGAGCGACACGGCCGCCATGATGGCGACGCTGGTCATAGACCTCTCGAGCGAGGTCTGGGACCACGGATTACCTCCGTTGGGCGCGGTGTCCGAGGAGGCGCTCCTCGCCCTCCTGCCTTCCGCCGCCGGCCTGCCCGATGCGCTCTGCGCGGGCGAGTGGTCGCAGCTCTCTGCGGCGCTCGGACTCACCAGTGATCAGGCGCGCTCTCTTGCCTGCATGGTCGGTACTGACGGGTAGCGAGTGCACTGGCTGTCGAGCGACGACATACGCTCGGAGACGCGGTTCCCCAGTGGAGAGCCATCGGAGACTCGGCCACACTTTGCACACCCGCCGCTTGCCTGTCTCTGCGCAGGCGACGGCGTGCTTGCAGCTGGCGGCCGTTCTGGGCGGCGGCGACGATCAGACGGCACAAGGGGAGCAGCGCGTACCGCTCGCGACGCTCCTCCTCCTCCTCTGGGTCCAGCAGGCGCCAGGGCAACTTTTCACCGCCTCTGGCCCCGACTCCGACCTTGACCTGGCCCTCGCCCTGCCATGATGCTGACCCTGCTCTGGCCCTGTGCCCGATCTGGCCCTGGCCCTCAGCCCTACCCTCACCCTGAACGCCGAACACCACTGCCGCCAGGCGCAAAGCCAGCTCTCCACCGCCTCCGCCGTCGCTAGCCGATCCCTCTCGGGCAGGTGAAGAGCCGGACACTTCCGAGACACGGGCGAGGACACGGCGAGACACGGGACGAGGCAGTTCCGACACTCTCGGGAGAAGCCTCACCGCCTCCTCCCCGCTTCCCCTGCCGCAGAGACGAGGCGCACCCGACGCTCCTCTTCCCGGAGGAGCCCCTCTCCCGCACCCCTCTCCCGCACCCCTCTCCCGCACCCCTCTCCCGCACCCCTCTCCCGCACCCCTCTCCCGCACCCCTCTCCCGCACCCCTCCTCCCGCACCCCTCTCCCGCACCCCTCTCCCGCACCCCTCTCCCGCACCCCTCTCCCGCACCCCTCTCCCGCACCCCTCTCCCGCACCCCTCTCCCGCACCCCTCTCCCGCACCCCTCTCCCGCACCCCTCTCCCGCACGCCTGACGAGTCGCCTCAGGTCGAGCCGCCGACTTGAGTAGGAGCCTCCCTCCTCGCCGGTCGGCTACCCCATCCCGACCGACTCCTCGGCCCTCTCCTCTCCCCGCTCCTTCGATGCGCCGGCCCGCTCTCCCGGAGGCGCGCCGCCGTCGCCGCGCACGCTCGCCGTCGGCGCGCGGCTGGGCCAGCTGCAGCACCCGTGCGCGCCGCGCGGGCAGCCGCAGCCTGCAGGTGGCGGGCGGGGCGTGAGGACCCGAGGTGCCCAGCCCCCTCCCCCCCCCGCCACCAGGCACCCCGAGCGGCAGATGGCGGAGGAGCGGCGGAGGCTCGTAGCCGCCTCGCTGCGGCCGCTGCTGCTGCTCGCTGGCCGAGGCGCACAGTCGCTCTCGGCGGCGCAGGTCGACTCGCTGCTCCTCCTCAATAATTATAGTTAATTATAATGTGAGTCAGAGTCATCGTCACAGGTCGACTCGCTGCTCCTCCTCCTCCGCCCCCGCGCCTGCCCCGCCCCCGGCCCCGCCCCTGCCCCGCCCGCCTCCCTCGCCGCCGCCCTCGGCCTCTGGGGCCCCTCGCCCGAGTCCGCGCAGAGGGGCACCCCCGTGCTGGCGGCACCCCACCCACGCGCCCCCGTGGCGGACCTCACGGCCGCGCTCGCCGCCGCCATCGCCAACGCCTCGTCCGACGCCGCGCCGCCGCCGCCGCCCGAGCCGCTCCCGCCTCCAAGCTCGCTCTACCTCGACCTCACTCCGAGAGGGGGCGGAGGCGGAGGAGGAGGCGGCGGGGGCGGAGGAGGCGGCGGTGGCGGTGGTGGCGGCAGCGGTGGTGGCGGCAGCGGTGGTGGCGGGGGAGGGGTCGCCGGCGCGTTCCTGTCGATTGTGACGCCGGCGGAGGATGTGCGAGGGGGCGGGGGTACGGTGGAGCGAGTGGCCGGCGGGGTGGAGGGGGCGGCGGAGGTGGTGCGGCTGCTGGGCGTGCGGCGGCGCACGCTTGTGCTACGGGGAGGTGCTCCGGAGATGCAGCCGAGATGCAGCCGAGGTGCAGCCGAGATGCAGCCGAGATGCAGCCGAGGTGCAGCCGAGGTGCAGCCGAGATGCAGCCGAGATGCAGCCGAGATGCAGCCGAGGTGCAGCCGAGACGCAGCCGAGGTGCAGCCGAGACCTGGCCACCAGCGCGGTGCAGGCCTCAGGCAATCGCCTCTCCCTCCTCCCCCTCCAGGCGACGAGTGCGCGTTGGGCGTCGCGCTGCAGATCATCGACTGCCACCACTGCCAGATCTACTGCTGTGCGCCCGTCCGAACGGCGGGATTGCCCGCCGAGATCACCCCGAGATCACCCCGAGATCACCCCGAGATCACCCCGAGATCACCCCGAGATCACCCCGAGATCACCCCGAGATCACCCGCGAGGCAGGTCGAGCTCCTCGGCAACTCGCACTCCTCCATCCTCCTCGGCGGCGTGAGTCGCGTCGTCTCGGCGCGGCTCTGCGAGCGGGTGACGCTGGTGGCAGCGGCGGCCGCCGTCCGCGCCCACGGCCGCGCTCGAAGCGCGCCGCCCGGCACGGCATGAGGACGCGCCCCTCACGCCTCGAGCCGTGAGCAGGCCTCGCCGAGTGCTGCCTCCAGCTGTGCGTCGGCTCGCGGCCGCTGCTCTGGGGGGAGAACCGGCGCCTGTCCCTCGCCCCGTTCGGCGCCGTCTACACCTCGCTGCCGCAGCACCTGGCCGCCGCCCGCCTCTCGCCCGCCCTGCAGCACAACTTCTGGGCCACGCCCGTCCTCTGCGCACGCGCCGACGCGGGCCGCGGAGGCGGAGGAGGAGGAGGAGGCGCGGGAGGCGTGGGAGGCGCGGCGGGGGCTGCGGCGGGCGGCGATGCAGACGACGCCCCGTTCACGCTGCTGCCGCCGTCCGCGTACCTTCCGTTCCACGTGCCGCACGACATTCCTCCGGCGGAGGAGGAGGCGCTCCCTCCCGCCGCGCCGAGATGGGACGAGATTGGACGAGAGAGAGGCCGAGAGGGCCGGGCGGAGACTGAGATAGGCGCCTCCGGTGGTCGAGCTGCCGGCCGAGTACGCGTCGGCGCTCGAGTCGTGCGTCCGGGAGATGGACGCGTTCTCGCACCAGCTGGCGGCGCTGCAGCCGTCCGAGGGGGTCCGCGGGGAGGTGACCAACCTGCTGCAGTCGCGGTTCAAGGACTGGCTGCTCCGCACCGGCAACATGAGGCAGATCACGGACCTGCTCGCCGCCGAGGGCGCCTGATTAGCAGCCCGCGCATCGCCGCAGTGTGTGATGAGAGCGTGAGGGCAGGTCGCAGTTTGAATCTTCATTGACATCGCCGCCGCCCACCTGCGCCCACGCGTCAGCCCAGCCCCAGCGCCCAGGCAAAAAGAAAGAAGAAAACAAAAAATTGCAAAAGACGGAAAACACGAAAGCAGACTCTTGGAGCACTTGGAGTGCAGTCATTAGCCTCACATCCAGGGCCGGGGAGCTAGAAAGAAAGAAAGAAAACAGACAACCCAAGGGAGGGATGGGAGGACGGCACGCCGCCACCACACAGGGATTTTAAGGAGAGGTGTGTGATGCGCTAGCCGTCGCCCACCCTAGGGAGTCTGCCTCTTCCTATCTCTCTTCGCAGTCTCTCGCCGCTTCTCGCTGCAGCCTTCATGCCACCTCGCGGTCGTCCCACTCTCGTCGTTCTCTCCCTTGTCATTTCCTCCTCTGTCGCGTCGTTCTCTTCTGTCTCGTCCTGCGACGCCGCCGCCTGCCGGTCCCTTGTTCTCGCGGCTTCTTTCGCCTTTCGGCGCAACTAAGAAGCGCACCCCAATTTATTCATTTCTTTTGTCAGTACGTTAGGGCCCGAGGCGCTGCAGTCTTCGTGGCAAAGGTGGCGCGCACTCCCCTTCCCGAGAGTCCTCTGCGCCGCGCCGTCTCAGCCGGCTGGGACGGCTGACAGCGCCGCCGCCGCGGTCACTGCCGCGGTCGCTGCCCCTGAGGGAGAGATCTGCACGCCGACCAAGTGCCTTTTGTGCAGTGATGAAACCGCGAGACCGAGGCTTTCGCCACTGAGCGGAGACTCGTTTGTATTCGTACACTGAGCACAGCGCCGCGGCGAGAGTTGCCACCGGCCGCGCTGCAGCGACGCCGCCCCTCACTCCTCCGCGCGACCGCCCGTTCCATCCTCGCAGCCGTTCGGGTCGCTCACCTCCTCACTCTCACTGCCCACCCTCTCACTGCTGCAGCCGGACACCGCCGCCGCCGCCTCCGTGCCGGCGTATCTTCACGGGGCTGGCGCCGATGGCGGAGAGCGAGCCGAGTGCGGCCGAGGCGCTCAAGACGGAAGGCAACAAGCTCTTCCAGGCCGCCGGCTTGGCTGCAGCAGGCGGTGGGAGGGTGCAGGAGCCTCTCCCCTCACCTTCTCGGGGCCTCCCTGCAGGCGTGCCGCTACCACGAGGCAGTCGAAAAGTACAACGATGCCATCGAGCTCTCCTCCGAGGCGCCGGCCCGCCGCACCATGACTCGTATCCAGATCCAGACTCGATCCAGAGTCGGTGGCAGCTGAGGCGGCTCCAGGCCCCACCGAGCTCTATCGCCCGAGGCTGGCTGTCCTCCCTCTCTCCTTGGCGTGGCGCGAGACGCGAGGTCCCGCCCCCCTCCCTCAGGTGCCCGCCTACTACACCAACCGCGCCTTTTGCCACCTCAAGCTCGAGAACCACGGGCTCGCCATCGCCGACGCGACCGTCGCCCTCGAGCTCGACCGCACCTTCGTCAAGGCGAAGAGCAGCGGCCGCCCTCCCGCGCTGGCGGGTGAGTGAGCTGTGACCGGCGGCTGGTGGACTGAGCAGGCGTACTACCGGCGCGGCTCCGCGCTGATGGCGCTAGGCAAGTGCAAGGAGGCGCTCAAAGACTTCAAGGCGGTGCGGCAGCTCAAGCCTAACGACCGCGACGCGCTGGAGAAGTTCAAGGCGTGCGAGAAGGAGGCGCGCGGCAGAGATGCAGCAGAGATGCAGCCGAGATGGGGCCGAGATCTAGGCGTGCGAGAAGGAGGCGCGCGCCCGAGGCGGCGCTAGCGGCGGCGGAGCTAGCGGCGGCGGCTCTAGTGGTGGCGGCGGTGGTGGTGGTGGTGGTGGTGGTGGCGGCAGCGCAAGCGGTGTCGGTGGCGGTGTCGTGTGTGGCAGCGTTGGCAGTGTGAGCGGTGGCGGCGCTAGCGCCTGTGGCGCGAGTGGTGGGCGTGGCTGGCGTCAGGTGGGGGCAGCGCGGTGCCCAACCCTCTTCCCCTCGCCGCGGTAGCAGCCAGCAGCGTGCCCCCTCTCCTCTCCTCCAGGTGAAGCGCGCCGCCTTTGAGCGCGCTATCCACGCCGACGAGCCGGCCCAGGCGCCCCTAGACTCAGCCGAGATCTGGCCGAGATCCATCCCATAGCTCTAGCCGAGATGAAGCCGAGATGAGGCGCGAGGTCTAGGGTTAGGGTTAGCGAGGCTCGGGAGGCTCTCAAGGAGGAGAGCTGCTGCAGGGACCCGACCCCCTCCTCGCCCTCTCGCCCCACAGGTGTCGGTGGCGGAGCAGATTCAGCTGGAGAACATCTCCGTGGACGACTCGTACGCAGGCGCGAGAGGCGGCCGAGAGGCGGACGAGATGTGACCTCCGAGAGGCGACCGAGGTTCGGCCGAGAATTCGCCGGAGTGACCTCGTCGCCCTGCCGCCGGCGCACAGGCCCGCGGCTCGAGTGGCCGCTGACGCACGAGCAGGCGCTGGAGGTTGCGCAGTGGCTGAAGCGGTGCGAGAAGCTGCATCACAAGTACGTGTTCGAGGTGCTGCTCAAGCTGAAGGAGGCGCTCGACGACCCTGCCGCCTTTTCTCCTCGCCTGTGACCAGCTGGCTGCACTCGACTCTGCCCGCCCCCCGCAGGTGCTCGAGGAGCTTCCCTCGCTGGTGGACGTGCCGATCCCGGAGGGGTCGCACATCAATGTGTGCGGCGACACGCACGGCCAGTTCTACGACCTGCTCAACATCTTTGAGACGCACGGGCGCCGAGAGAGCTGCGGGCGAGAGACAGCCGAGGCGCAGCTGCGAGCATGCTGAGCCGGACCTCGTCTCTTCTCCAGGTACCCGTCGGAGGAGAACCCGTACCTCTTCAACGGCGACTTTGTGGACCGCGGCTCCTTCTCGGTGGAGGTGGTGGTGCTTCTCTTCACCTTCAAGGCCCCCTCCCCCCCCCCCCCCCCGAAGGCAGCTGCGCCAGGGCGCGGACGGTTCTCCCGCCGACGCCTTCTCGGAGCCCTTGTGTGCAGGCGCTCTACCCGAAGCACCTGCACCTGACGCGCGGGAACCACGAGACGCTCAACATGAACAAGGTGTACGGCTTCGAGGGCGAGGTCAAGCACAAGTACTCGGCGCAGATGTTCAACCTCTTCACCGAGGTCTTCCACGTGCTCCCGCTCGCCTACTGCCTGGGGGAGGAGGTGCTCGTCGTGCACGGCGGACTCTTCTCGCGCGACGACGTGACGCTCGACGAGATCCGGGCCGTCGACCGCAGACGCGAGCCGCCCGACGAGGGCATCATGTCGGAGCTGCTCTGGTCCGACCCGCAGCCTGCGCCGGGCCGCGCGCCGAGCAAGCGGGGCGTCGGCCTCTCGTTTGGCCCCGACGTGACGGCGAACTTCCTCGAGCGGAACGGGCTCAAGCTGGTGGTCCGCTCGCACGAGGTGAAGGACGCCGGGTACGAGGTCGAGGCGGGGGGGAAGCTGGTGACGGTCTTTTCGGCGCCAAACTACTGCGACCAGATGGGCAACAAGGGCGCGCTGCTGCGATTCGACTCGAACTGCGACTACGTCGTGAAGCAGTTCGAGGCGGTGCCGCACCCGACGCACGTGCGAGCGATGCAGTACGCGGGGGGGATGGGAGGGCTGTTCGGCCTGTAGCTGCGGGCTCGCTCCTTGTACTCCCAGTCGAGTGCGGCTGTTCTGTCGGCAGGCTGTCTCGACACACGGCTCCCCCACCCCCACGACCCCCATGGATGCTTTGCTCATTGCTGTTGCGAGAGCTGTCCCATCTTGCCCATGCCCCAACCTACTCTGTTCGAGTCGACCACACACGCGGTATTTTTGTACAGACATATGCATCCACCAAACACGAGAACAACTCACCTGGACGCCCGCAGTCGTGGCCCAGTGTGGGCGGCCCATCCGCGGGTGTCTTGTGTGATACTCGTTTTGATGCGCGAGCAAAACCTGGAGTGTAAACAGGGCTAAGGTCGACTCGCAGCGAACGGCAACGAAGGTCGACACGCTGTGGAAAGCGAAAGGAGTGTAGGACTAGGAGACATGCAAACGCTGCCAGGGCACGCAACCAAGACCAAGCTAATTGGAGGCAGCGCTAAACTCTCTGTCTCGGCTCGTGCCGGCTGTGAATCATAGACCAGCGCGCCCTGACACTGAGACGTATTACCTTCTCTCTGGTGGAGCCTAAATGTGTTTTCGGGTAGTGACGAGGGGTGAGGGGACGGATTGAAGATCCCTCACACCAAGATCGTGCAGGGCGGGGACACATGTCCCTAAATCCCATCTCGTTCAGAGTTTGACTATACTCTATAGCCACGCGCATACTGACTGAGGGGTATCTGTCCGCTCGCTGTCTGTCTGTCTGCATACACACACAACACACACACACACACACACACACACACACACACACACACACACACACACACACACACACACACACACACACACACACACACACACAACAACAACAACAACAACCTGCACCCTCGTCAGGTTTTTCTTGGAGTACTAGGAGTGCAGTTGGTAACCGCAAAACCGCACACCCACGGCAGGGCCGGGGAGCTAAGAAGCGCACCCAGCGGGCCGGGTGATTGGCATCGGGCTAACGGGCAATAGAGCCCTGACCCCTAGGGGGGTGCGCGTTCGCAGGGAGTGGGCCATAAAACAAACACGGGTCTCTCCGTACTCCGAGGGTTAGTCCGCGCTCTTCGGGTTCCCCCTTAGTCAGTCAGACTTCCTTGTGCTTCGAAAAACACTCGTGTGCAAAACCAACTAGGGTCTAGGCCTAGCGGCGGGGCGCCCCCCCTCTCTCTACTCGGAGCTAATACACACCAGACTCGAACACCACCACATACACTCTCACCCACCTCGCGCTCGCCGCTCCGGACCCCCCCGGCCCGGAAGAAAAGAAAGAAAGAAAACAGCGAGGCAGACGAAAGAAAAGAAAGAAAACACAGCAGCCAAGGGAGGGATGGGAGGAAGGCACGCCGCCACCACACAGGGATTTTAAAGAAAGAAATAAAGAAACAGACAACCCAAACGAGGGATAGCGGAGTCCGGATTGCTTCCTGGATTTTTTTAACCGTGATACAATGGGGACGCAGCGGCTTGCGCGTCTAGTGCCCACAAATAAGTCGCCGCCGACACCCTAGTGCTCGCGTCCGGCCACGATGTCCGCAGCCGCCGTTGGGTCCAAGATCTGGCGCGCTCGCCACCCATACTGGAAGGCCGAAGATTGGCAGCCGCTCCTGCTCTCCACTTCTAGTGCCTGGCGCAAACGCTTGTTTCATCCTTGCCGCTGACGGCGCCCGCGGCGTGCTGCCTCCCGACCCTCGCAAGCTTTCCGTCTCTGACGAGGACGCATGGGTGGTTGCAACCGTGATCCGTGGCCCGCAGAGCGGCCACGTCCGCCTGCGTCGTGACGATGCACCGCCCGGCGTCGACATTGAAGTCGAGAGGCCCGAGGCGGAGGTGGCAGCCTGCAGCATCGTCTCGGACTCGGAGCCGACGCTGGCGGCGTGCGAGGACATCGTCGGTCTCGGCGACGTCAACTTTGGCGCGATGCTCCACTCCTTCCGCCTCCGCCTCGAGAAGGACCGCATCTTCACCAACATCGGCCCCGTCCTTGTCGTGATGAACCCATACCGTGCGAGACACCTCCGAGACGCATTCACGAAACCTCGCCCGCCACGCAAACCTTCCCTCCGCATCACCGACCACTCCGCTCGATCCCTGTGGGCCCACTCCGCTCGCAGCGCCACGGCCAGCGACGTGTTGGGTGACGCGTCCACGCGGTCCGCAGGCCCGGTCGACTCGTGCGCGCCTTCGACGATGCTCGAGATGGCCAAGAAGACGTCGGCAAGCACGGACGCGAACGACCTCCCGCCACACGCCCACTCATCCGTCGCTCGGGCCTACTCGTCGATGGTCCAGGGCAAGCACGGCACGCCGCAGTCGGTGCTCGTGTCTGGTGAGTCGGGCGCCGGCAAGACGGAGACCATCAAGCTCTGCATGGCGGCGCTCGCAAACATCTCGCGCTCGACCGGCTCCACCACCGAGGCGGCGCTCGAGTCCGGGCTCCTCCTCGAGGCCTTTGGCAACGCGATGACCGTCTACAACCACAACTCGTCTCGCTTCGGCAAGTGGTGCGCCCTCCTCGCCCCTTTCTGCCGCGCCGCCAGAGTGACTTAGCCCGATACCCGTGCTCAACCAGTGCTCAAACTCGGCGGTCCGCGCACAAGCTCGCCTCCCACCTCGACTTTATCTCGGCTCCACCTCGACTTTATCTCGGCTCCATCTCGGCTCCACCTCGGCTCCATCTCGGCTCCCGGCTGCGTCTAATCTACTTCTCGGCTCAACCCCGCGCCTCCCGCCTCGGGGCAGGTGCTCGCTCCACTTTGGCGCCGACGCAAAGATCTCGTCCGGAGTGATCCAGTCGTACCTGCTCGAGCAGTCGCGCATCGTCTCGGCGCCCTCCGGCGAGCGCAACTACCACATCTTCTACTACATGCTCGCCGGCATGCCCGAGCCTCTCCGCTCGCAGCTCTACCTGTGCGCCCAGCCCGCCGGCCCACCCTAGCCCGTGTTGCTGCGAGCGGCGTCTCTTCACGCGTCCCGCCGTGAACAGGTACGACTCACCCGCCGATTACGCCTACCTCCGCGACGGCGAGGCCAAGGCTCCGGGCATCGACGACGCCACCGGCTGGGAGGAGCTGACCTCGCGGCTGCAGCTCACCGGCTTCGACGAGGCGAGATGGAGCCGAGACGCAAGGCCGAGATGCGGCTGAGATATGGCCGCTTATCGCGTACCAGCCTCGACGAGCCGAAGGACGAGCCCCTTCCCGCACGCCGCCCTCGCCTCCGCCGCCCTCGCCTCCGCCACTGCGCTGCTGCGAGCTGCGCCTCTTCACACGGCGAGCCTGTCAACTGCAGGCGGAGCAGCGAACCCTCTTCGAGCTGCTCGCCGCCGTGCTCGCCCTCGGCAACGTGCGCTTCGCCGAGGCGGACGCGGCCGAGGCGGCCAGCCCGAGCACGACGAGCGGCGGGTGTGTGGAACGCGTCGCTTCACAGCGTCGGGTGTAAGCAGGTGGCCAACCCGAGCACGGACAAGGAGGACAACCCGGGCAAGGTTGCGGACGCTGCGGCGCTCTCCGTGGTGGCGGACCTGCTCGGCATGAAGCAGAAGGAGCTCGAGGCCAAGCTGACGACTAAGGTCCTCAAGATCAACGGCCCGTCCGTCTTCTCCAAGCGCCTCACGCGGCAGGGATCGACCTACACGCTCGCCCTCTCTCCCGAGCAGTGCGGCGACACGCGCGACGCCGTGGCGCGGGCGGTCTACTCGGCCGTCTTTGACCACGTGATCAAGCGGCTCAACCAGACGCTCGGCGCCGGTAGCATCGCGGCCTCCGATCGGCGCTCGATCGGCTTCCTCGACATCTTCGGCTTCGAGAACTTCGCCTTCAACTCGTTTGAGCAGCTCTGCATCAACTTCACAAACGAGCGGCTCCAGGCGCAGTTCACCGACTCGCTGATCAAGCGGCAGCAGGAGGAGTGGAAGCGGGAGGGCGTGCACTGCGCGCACATCTCCTTCCCCGACAACGCCGGCCAGATCGAGCTGCTCGACAACTCCAAGGGCGGCGTCCTCGCGCTGCTCGACGAGGAGTGCGCCGTCCCCAAGGGCAGCGACGAGGGGTACGTCTCCAAGATGCACACCGCCTTCGCCTCCAACGAGCTCTACTGCAAGCCGCGCCGCGGCAAGGGGGCCGCCCTCCACGGGGGCAAGCCGGGCGTCGTCACCAAGTACGACGCGCTCCAGTTCATCGTGCACCACTACGCGGGCGAGGTGCAGTACACGGCGAGCCGGTGGCTCGAGAAGAACCGCGGCACGCTCCACCCCGACCTCCCGAAGCTGCTGGCCGGCTCGTCGCGCCCGCTGCTCGCGTCGCTCTTCGCGGAGCGCGCCGCGGCGGACGAGACCAAGCGAGCCACCGTCGGCGCGTCGTACCGCTCCTCGCTGCGCGCGCTCTCCCAGACGATGGCGGCGACCACGCAGCACTTCATCCGCTGCATCAAGCCGAACATGGAGCAGCGGCCCGACCACTTCAACGGGCAGGTCGTCTCGCGCCAGCTGCGGTACACGGGCGTCGCCGCCGTCGTCGAGATCCAGCGCGCGGGCTACCCGATCTCGTACACGCACGCCAGCTTCATCGGCCGCTACCGCTGCGTCGCCTTCGACAAGCCCGAGCTGCTCGCGATGGCGCAGTCCGACCCGCGGCAGTGCTGCGCCGGCATCCTCGAGTACGCGCAGAAGCTCGCCGGCGACTCCGCGCCCAAGGAGCCGTGGCTCGAGTCGCTCCTCGCGCAGGTCGGCGCGACCAAGGTCTGGCTGCGCGCCGAGGTGCTCAACGCGCTCGAGGTGCCGCGCCGCTCCGTCACCGGCCGCGCCGCCGTCGCCTGCCAGCGGCTCGCGCGCGGGCTTGCCGCGCGGAAGCTCTTCCTGGTCGCCGTCAAGCACGCGTCGGGCGTCGCGGCCGTGCGCGTGTGTCTCGCCAACAAGGACGTGGCGGGCGCGGAGGCTGCGCTCGACAAGCTGCACGCGCAGTGGGAGAGCTCCAAGGCGGCGCTCGCCGCGCTGCCGCCCGAGCAGCTGGCCGGCGGCAAGGTGGCCAAGATGCGCGCAGAGCTCAACGAGCTGGCATGCGAGGTGCAGGACCTCAAGGACCGCGTCGTGCTGTCGTGGGAGTCGGGCGACCGGTACGAGGGCGGCTGGAAGGACGATAACCCGCACGGAAAAGGGACGTACCACTATGCGGACGGCAACTCGTACGAGGGCCGGTGGGCGTGGGGCGTCAAGGAGGGCAAGGGCGTGTTCCAGTGGGCGGCCGGCGAGCGGTACGAGGGCGAGTGGGCCGACGACATCATGCACGGCGAGGGCACGTACACCTTCGCCGACGGCTCGAGCTACAAGGGCGGCTACTGCAGGGGCGTGCGGCACGGGCAGGGCACGTGGACGTACAAGGACGGCGGCCACTACGTGGGTACGTGGGAGGCGGGCAAGAAGCACGGCCGCGGCGTGTACACGGGCCAGGAGGGCAACGTGGTCTACGACGGCGAGTGGAAGTACAACAAGGAGCACGGCGAGGGCACCTTCTACCAGCCCGACGGCGGCTTCTACACGGGCACGTTCTTCGAGGGCAAGCGCCACGGGCAGGGCCAGTACACCTCGCCCGCCGGAGAGGTCATGTTCAAGGGCGAGTGGCTGGACAACAAGCCAGTCACCAGCGGCTCGCAGCGGGTGGCGGCCGCGCCCGTCGCGCCCGCGAAGCGGCTCTCCCTCACAACCAAGGACAAGAGCGCGAGCGACCAGTCCGAGCTGGTGCCGACGCCGTCCACACCGCGCGGAGCCTCGGCGGCGGCGGCGTGAGGCGCCAGGTGGGGGGCCCTCTCTCCCCGCCTTTGTGGCCGGTCTAGATGGGAGGGTAGGGCTGCTCCCGGGTTGGCGCGAGAGAGTGACGCCGCGCTCGCCCTTGCGGCTAACTGCCGCGTCGTACTGAGAGAGGCGCGGTTGGCATGATGTGGCGGCTGTGAAGTAGTAGCGCGCAAGTGTGTGGGCATGGGATCAGATATGCGCGCGTGGCGATGGTGTGCATATGACGTGAGTCGACGCGCGCGTTGCACATTTTTTAACTGTAACACCACTAATATTAATGTACATCCCCCTCTCAGCTCACGCGTCGGACCGTCTCCCGTTTTGATCTCTCGGTCAGTGGGCGCCCGCCCGCCGCCTCTGAGGGGGTCGGGCCCCCTAGACTGATAACAAAAACAAGCTCGAAAACAGCCAAAATCAGCCTCTGCGAGAGAGGCACTGCGCGCCGCTGACCTCATGTGGGGTCGAATGTGGGGATGTGTGCCGACACACAATACTGATCTAAAACCTGGAAACCCGTGTTCAAAGCCGACCCTAAGCGCCATCCTTCCTGCTCTCACCTGATGCTGCTTCCCCGCGCCGCCTCCTTGCCTCCTTGGCCCCCTTGGGCGTATTTTCTACTCCCAGACCCAGTGGGGGGCCGGGCCCGCCCGGGCCCCCTCTTTGTTTTCTGCGGTTTTCTGTTTTTCAACACGCCCGCCCGCCCGCCACCCCGAGGCTGCTCGGCCCCCCACTGACCGAGAGATCAAAACGGGACGGCCTGGGGGACGGGGACGGGGACCTCCCGCTCTCTTTCGAGCCTCATACAGAGTTGTCGTGCGCGTACGGCTCTACAGTACAGACCTCCGCCACACAGGCGGGAGGCGTCACACATCGTTCTCTCGGCTCTGGCGAAGAAGAAAAGAAACGTCGGTACAAACTGTTGTACTCATTCCAGCGTGAAAGGGTTCTCTGCTGAGTTTTTGGTAAGCTCCTCGCGACGGCGCTTGTCCCTCCGGCTGCGGGTCTCTCTGTCGTTGCGGTGCGGGCAGTCGCGGCAGAAAGACTCCCCGTCGGGGCACTCGGCCCTGCAGTGCGCGCAGAAGTAGAAGTAGCCGCTCGTGTGCCGGCTCGACCGGCACGTGACGACGCTGCAGCTGTCCGCCATCTTGACGCCCATGTTGCAGCCGGGGCACCGGATCTCGCCCGCGACGTAGTCTTCCTCGGCGAGCTGCGAGCAGGGGACGGGACAAGCGTGAGCAAGCGACGCCATCCACGCTATGGCACGGCGCGGCGCACCTTGACGTCGTGATGCATGCTGCGCGTGACTGGCGCCGGGTGCTGCGGGAGGATGGCGACCGCGCTGTCGCTCTCGGGCTTCACGGCGCACTCGCCATCGGCAAGCGGCCGCCACGTCATCTCGTCGAGTCGCTCCCACTTGCGCTGGCCGTCGTCGTAGTGCACAAGAAAGCGACCCCACTGGCTCTTCCGGCCCGTCGCCATCTGGCCAGGATACCACTGGCCGTCCTCCTCCCAGAACACCTCAAGCCGCGTGCCCTTGTCGAGCACCGCCGCCGCCGGCGGCGGAGGCGGGGGAGGCGGTGGCGGCGCAGACACCTCAAGCTTGACAGCGGGAGCCGCCTCGCCCTGCCCGCCCCCCTCGAGCCCGCTCGGACCGGCCGCCTCGCCAGTGGCCGCCTCCGCTGGGGCCGCCTCCGTTGGCGCTACCTCCGCTGGCGCTGCCGCCTCGACCTTGACGGCGCCGCTCGTCCCGCCCCCCGCGGCGTCGGGCGGCGCCTCCTCACGCCTCGGCGCGCGCTGCGGCGGTGGAGCCGCCTCCCGGCCCCGCCTCTCGCGCTGCCGCTGCGCCGCCACGAGCGACCGCTGCTGCTCCTTCGCAGCGCGCTCCTGCTTCGACTTTTTGAGGTCCTCCGCCTTGCTCCTCTGCTCCTCGAGCCGCTCCTCAAGCTGCCTCTCCTTCTCCCCCTTGAGCTTCCCCAGCCGCTCCGACCTCTCCTTGGCCAGAGCTTGCAGCCACGCCCGCCATTCGGCGTCCTGGTACTCGAGCTGCCTGGCCTCTGCCATCTTCTGCTCCTTCTGCGCCTCCTCCCTCTCCCTCTTCACTCGCTCTTTCTTCTCAAGCAACTCCCTGCGCCGCGCCTCGCGGCGCTCCTCCTCCGGCTTAGCCTTCTGTTTCTCGGCTTCCAACGCCCGCTCCTCGTCGCGTGCCGCGCGCTCCGCCGCGCGTGCCGCCCGCTCCTCCACCGCTCGCTGCTGCTTCCAATGAAGCGTGCTCGCGGTCACAGGCCAGCTTGCTAGTCCGATAGCCCGGCCGGCGGGCGTGTCGGCCCACGAGGCCCAGGTGTACTCCTTTCCAGCAGCCTCTGACGTGTTGAACGGAAATGGACTGCCGCGCAACCAGTAGAATAGCACGACCCATTCGCCGCGGATAGGGCTGTACTTTTGCTCCATCAAAACCCAGCATACCTCGTTCCATGGTCCAGGCCGCGGTTCAATGACGACGCTCTTCTTGTCCGCGCTCTTCCAGACAGGAACGGTGGCCCAGCCCCAGGGGTTGGGCCGGCTTTCGGGGCTGAACTCGCAGAGCTGTGTTCGGTCCCGCCATCGCAACTCTACTGCCGGTGGTGGCCCAAACTTGGCCATGTAATCTCGAACCGTAAACGCGCGGTGCACGTGCAGTTCGTAGCCGCTCGGATAGAGTCCTCGCGCGTTCCAGAACTGTTGGAACGAGAGTGACGCGCCTGCCAACCACTGCTCCTCGTCCGCTTGCCTCGCCAGGCGCAGGCGCGCCTCGTCCTCCTGATTCCTGGCATGACCCGCCTTAGCCTCGGCCAGTCGGCGCGCGTGCAGCTCGCGGGCCTCGGCGATGGCTCTCTCGCGCAGCTCGCGGTCTGAGCGCCGCGTCTCCAGCTCCGCAAGCTCACGCTCGCTCGCCTCGAGCTCAACGCCCAGCTCCTCGAGCTCCTCTTCGAGCTGGCAGTGTGCCAAGAGGCGATCGTACGCAGCCTTCAGCCGCCGGAACGCATCGCCGCCCTCGGACGCGCCCCGCCGATCGGGGTGTCGTTTGAGCGCAAGCTTGAGGTACGCACGACGGATCTGCGCACGGCGAGCGCTCTGCTGAAGACCGAGGGCGCGATACGCCTGCTCGACTGTGAGGCTGTCCGGATCGAAAGGAGCCTCGTCGACAGTGCTCGTAGCGTTGCGAGCGAGCATGTGTGTACCAGACTGCCCGGCGCGCGCCGCAGCTTGGATGCTCGCCCAGACGGTAAGCGCGTCAGATTCCCGTGTGCTCCTTCCACACGCAGCAGATCTCGATGGCGGCGGTGGCGGGCGACGCCGAGAACATCAACAAGCAGGCGCCCCGGGGGCGCAATACCTGCACCGGTTATGCAGAGATATTTTATTCTCTTCTTCTCCATGAAAGACAGAGATTTTTAGCACGGTTGCCGTGCCGCCGACGGATGGCAGGCAACCGAGGAATACAGCAAGAAGGAGAAGCCCGCAGTTCGTACTCAGCTGCCCAAACCACCCAACAGACGGACCGCGGCGGAGTTGCGGCGGCGGAGACACAGCGAGAGGCCGGTTGGCGAGGCGTTCCTTCCTCCTGCTGACGGCGACGCGCTCGCACAGAGACGGTCCTCGCGCTAGCCTGGCCGCAGGCCGTCATCTCGGCCCTGTCTGGTCCAAGGTGGTGCGGCGATGTGCTGCGACGGGCTCCACGCGGCGGGCCAGAAAGTCATACCGGACAACACACCTAAAGGACTGATTCCAAGGCCTTTATTTATTGGAAGCCTGCCCAGCTGCCTGCGCAGGCAGCCAGTCGCTGCTCACGTTCATGAGCGCTGCTCGGCGGCCGCAACAGCAATCCATGCACGCCGAGCACGCGGCCGGCCAGCTCTATCGATTTGTCTGTGCCCTCTTCGCGATACTCGCACGCCACCTCCCATGGCTGCTGCCGCCAGAGCAGCCGCCGCCAAAGCAGCCGGCTCCAGCGCCGCCGCAAGAGTCGCCATCGCCGCCGCCTCCGCCGCCGCCGCCTCCGCCGCCGCCTCAGCCACTCCCACCGGCGGACGGCGCCCCGCCGGAGCGCCTCCTGCGGCACACGCAGGCCTCCTTCGCCGCCGCGGCGCGCTCCCGGCTCGGCCGCGGCGAGCGGCTCGCCCGCGCCCTCTACCGCGCCTTCTACTGCTCGGCGGGCAGCCTCGAGCGGGCGGTCGCCTCGCTGCCGGAGCTGCGCGCGGCGGGCGAGCTGGGCGCGGCGCTGCACGGCCTGTGCGACCCGACGGCGCCGCTCTCGTTTGCTTGCGGCGGCGGAACGCCGCCAGCGCCGCCGGCGGACGGCGAGACGGAGAAGTACGTGCTGTGCTGCGGCGGCGGCGAGGAGGTTGAGATGGTGGCGATGCCGGCGCCGGGAGGGAGGTCGTGGTCGCTCTGTGTCTCGTCGCAGGTTGGGTGCCGGATGGGGTGCTCCTTCTGCGAGACGGGGCGGATGGGGCTGCTGCGCAACCTGTCCGCGGCTGAGATCGTGGCGCAGGCGGGTGGTGCGGCTGCTGCGGCCCGTGAGGAGCCGCCCTCCCTTATGGTTGATGGTCTGTGAGCAGGTCGCGCTTGCGGCGCACGTGTTGGGGCTGCACGTGGCCAACGTGATCTTCATGGGCATGGGTTCGAAGCCTCTCGACCCCTTCTCTCTTCGCACGAGCTGCTCCTCACGCCGTGTGCCGTGATCAGGCGAGCCGCTCGACAACGTGGACGCTGTCGTCCAGGCGATTGCATGCGTGCCGCCTCCGGTCATGACGAACCCTCTCTCCCATCCCTTCGCTGCTTAATCACAGGCGATCCGCGTGCTGGTCGACCCCGCGGGTGCACTCTCCCCCTCTCTCCCTGCCAGGGGCTCGCCGCCTTGCTTGGCATCCGCCTTGACATCCCACCCCGCCGCAGGGCTCGCCGTGCCGGTGTCGCACGTGACTGTCTCGACGTCCGGCGAAGCGGAGCACGTCCACACGCTGCTGCAGGCGTTGCCCTCGGTCCGGCTTGCCTTTTCGCTGCACGCGCCAAACGACGCCCTCCGCTCGAGGCGCGAGCCCTTGCAGAATGCAACACACACACCCGCCACCCAAGCTGCGCTCGAGGCTGCCCGCGTGAAGCTGCGATCCACTTGCGTCCCCGCTCGAGGAGCGGACGCACCCCGCGCTGCAGGCTCATGCCGATCAACCGCCGCGTCCCTCTCGCGCTGCTCGCCGAGGCGATGAGGCACTGCATCGCGGCGACGCGGCGGCGGGTGACGGTACAGTACGTGCGTGCCTCCGCCGCGGAAGAGGGAACCTCCTGCCACCGCCTCCCCGCCTCCACTGCGTCCTCTCGACGCCGCAGGTGCTGCTCGCGGGGGTCAACGACCATCCGGCGCGACTCGGCCTCCCCCCCTCCCCCCTTTCCACAGGACCCTCGCCTGACCCTTCCCTGCGCCGTCCTCTAGGCGCACGCCAAGGAGCTCGCCTCCTTCCTCGCGGCCGTCGGCCCCGCCTCCCGGCTGCATGTCAACTTGCTGCCGTACAACGCGCAGAGCGGCACGCCGCGCTACTCAGCGCCCTCCGCAGACGCGTGCAAGGCCTTCAAGGCGGAGCTGGTCGCAGCGCGGCTCTTCGTCAAGATCCGGTGGACCAAGGGCGCGGACAAGATGGCCGCTTGCGGCCAGCTGGGCAACCTCAACCTCCGCCGCGAGCTGCGACGGCGGCGGCTCGAGTACGCGGAGGCGGCGGGCGAAGGGGCGAGGGATGCCACCGGCCTGCGAGCGCCGAGCAGAGACGGCGGGGCAGCGTGCGCGCAGCGCGATACTCTGGTGTGGTGAGGCTAGAGTCGATATTACGATGTATGTAGAAAGGAGATGGCAAGAATTTCGTCAGGGAGGGGGATCGGGGAACTCTGGTCAGTTCACTCGGAACTGAAACGTGAATCGGAGTCGAATCGGAACCCATGGAACGGCAAAACGCGGCAAACGGCAAGTAAGGCGCACCAGGAGCGGCAGCGCGACGAGCGCGAGCAGCGGGAGGAGGCCGACAGGGCGGCGGGGACCGTCCTGCCGCCCGAAGTCAAGAGGGCGGCGTCGAGTTGGTGAGCGCCGACGAAGCACAGAGCGATTCTAAGATCAGGTCTGCCACCTCCCCGCTGGAAACGAAAATCTAAGTTACAAATCTCGAATAAATCTCGAAGCACACTTGAATGCTCACTTGGCAGGTAACATATGCGCCACGCGCCCCAACCGCTCCTCTGGTCGCCGCCGGCCTCCGCGGCGGCGGCGATGTCCCAGCGCCACCCATCGGCCAGCCCTCAGATCGATCGATCGGCGCTCAAAGTCGGCTTCAGATCCGAGAACGCTGCTGGCGCCGCCGCCGATCCCAGCGGCGACGCCAGCAGCTTCCTCTGCTCTCCAATGCGCCGAGAAGCGACGCGGGGGTGCTCGGCCCGCCATGCACGACGAAGGCTCCGCCGGGCGCGCGTCGGCCGGTCCGGTGGCACCCTCTGCGCGCGGCACCTGCCGGCGCCCCGACGACAGCCGTCGCGCCACCGCTGATGGAGGGGCGGTCGGCGCCGCTGCCGCCGCGCTGCCGGTGGGAGGGGCACTGGTGGTGGCCTGGGCGGCCCTCCGCCGCCGCTCGGGGCGCCCGGGCAGCGGTGGCAGCCTGCCGCCGCACCACTTCGAAATGCCCGCTGACCACTTCGAAATGCCCGCTCCGGCGGCCCGCGATCGGCGCTATTCTTTTTTCTACAAGCAAAATTCGAGCCAATTGAGAAACTGAAGCGGGCAGGCTGGAAGCACTGAGGGACGGCCGATTTTCGCCCAGTGGCAGGCCTGATCTTAGAATCGCTCCACAGAGTAGCACGGTGCTGTTGCGTGTTGGATGGGGTGCACAATCATGCAGGCTTTTATATTTTGGATCATTGCTTTTGGAGGGGTGACGTGAGGCGGGTCTGAGGTGTGTGTGCACATGCATGCGGATGTCATCTTGTTCTATGTTCTTCCCCGTGAATGACAATTTGATCAATCAAAGTATGCATTATACGCGGTACGAGCAATGCATGAAGAGGGTCTCCCAGTGGCGCCACAGTGTGCCACTGTAGCCGTCTTGAGAAGGCGTCCGAGTCGAGCACTTGCACGCCCTGCAGCGGGATGATGCCGCGCTCGACCTGACTTTGTGCAGCCCTAGTTTACTCGGACTCGGAGGGAGTACCCCATCGTTGAGGTCGAGCGTCACCGCTGGCAGCCCTTGGCGAACGGCGACTTGAAGTCGTACCTATTTTGCAGCAGGGCGCAAGCGTCTAACTATCCACAGCCCCCTTTGGAGAGTGCGACATCCGACAGGCGCACTGGTGGATCCAGAAATTGGCCACGAACTTCTCGCCCTTTGTGACGGGCAGCGCCTCGTGGTCAGTGCGCTCGTCCTGTTCATGGGAACAAGGTGTGGCACCCAATCGTCCCTCTCGAGGGGTAGGCAGCTCCCGTGCACGACCACCTCGCTGTGCGGCGCGTCGGCCAGCACCGACGGCCAGAGGACGGCCTTACCTGCTCTCATTTAGCGGTGTGGAGAGTCGCCACACAGAGGACGGCCGCCGGCACGACGACAGGGGCTGCCGCGTTGCGGCTGGATGTTAACGGGACCGGAGGGGAGGTTGGGGAACGCGGTCGCGCCTCCACGCGGCACCTGTTGACAGTCTCCGCCATACACAGACCGCGCCTCGCCACGCACGCGTTGCGCGTGTCCACCAAGAGTACACACAGCGCTCGTCAACCCAAAAGGGGGTGCGGATACATCTCGCGGCTGCATCTCCGCTACTTCGCGGCACGTGGTTCAAGTAGCCTAACAGCGTGTAGATCCGCACGCCCTGCAACCGTTCGAGGTCGCCTGTTCACGGCGGGGCGAGACGACCTGCATAGCTCGCGGTCGCGCTGCCGCTAGGCGCGCAGGTGCCGTCAAGGATCTCGCATATTTCCCCTACATCTTGCTATGTCTCGGCGAGATGGTCGCGCCGTCGAGATAGTCGCTGTGTCGACCGTAGAAGGCGCAGTTCGGGTCGCCCACCCTCGCGCAGGCATGGTAGTAGACCTGATCCCACAAACCAGTCTGGTGGCAGATCTCTGCACCGCTCGCCTTGTGCAAGCAAAAGCAAGACCAGCTGAGCATGCTCCGCATTCGTCTCCGGCGTCTGGGTGACGTTGGCGACGCGCCTCGCCACCTGCCGCACGAGCGGTGTGAAGGGAGCACTTTTTCGCAACGCTGTGGTAGTGCCTGATCACCTGCTGCACGAGCGGGTCGTTGAGGCACGCGTCATGCTGACACCTATGGAAATCGTGACACGCGCTGACCATATCTCGGTCAGATCTCGACTAGATATCGGCTGAGATCTCGGCCAAATCTCGGCCTAATCTCGGTCGTATCTCAATCAAATCTCGCCCACCAGCTGTGCTGCGAGCTGCGGATCGTGGTTTCGACGTCGCCAAAGGTGCCGTCCTCTCTGAGGCCTGCTCACACATGGACCGTGAAGAGACGGATGCTCCCATTTCCCTCCGAGCCCGCTCCTCGTCAATGCCGGCCGCGAGTGACTTTGAGTAGCGGCCTCGCCCGTGACGGATGAAGGCGTCCGTCTCCTCCTCGGAGAAGAATTTGTGAAAGATGATCACCTGCTCACACACCCGGCTGCGAACGATGCCTCAATTCTGCTACTTTGGCTGTGGAAGAGGGCCGGCGGGTCCACGGAGATGCGCTCCGGCTTCAGATCCGCAAAGTCGGTCATCGCGCGGTCAAACGTCCGGTGCAACACTCCGGGCGGCAGCGCGGCCGTGCGGTTTGGAGGTATGGGGCAGCGAGCGTTGTACTGCCTCTTGCCCAGACCGACCTTGGCGCAGGTGTGGTTGCAGTTGACGAGCATGAAGCCGGGGTCGGACTCGCACTGCCCGTTGCTCGCCCACGTCAGGCACTGCGCCGAGTTGGCCCAGGCGTCCGGCGGGCCGAGGTCGACAGGCACCTCTGAAGGCCGAACGAAATCGGGCGGGGTAGAGTGGTCTGACGGCGCTGCGTGACATGCCGCCTGGACCTCCTCGATGTCGTAAACGCCAGCAAAGCTCATCTCTCCGGAGCTGGGCAGGCAGGCTGGGAAGCTTGCAACTCGCGTGGCGTAGTACTTGCCTCGCCGGAACGATAGATGGTAGGGAACTGCGGTATCCGCCTTGACGCCGAGGAACGAGCAGAAGCCGAGGCAACACGAGGCTGGGTCCGTGACGGGGATGAGAGTAAATGAGACGGGGACGCCGGCTATGGAGAGTGTCAACTGAGTGCATGTGCAGGCGCCGGTCGTCGTGCCGTCGCAAGAGACAGGCGACTCCACGCAGGCGCCTCCCGCAAGCATGCAGCCATTCTCGGCGAGGCACGTGCTGCTCCCAGCAGCGGCGCAAGTCAGGGGTGGATCACCCGCGCCGCCACCTCCGCAGGCACAGCACGCTTGCATGGCGGATAATCCACCTGTACCAGTGTGCTGTCCAATATCAAAGCACTTCGGACCCCACTTAGCGAAGTAGCTGCACCCAATGTCGCTGCCATCTGCTTGGACGAGAGTCGGGTGCGCCCATCCACGGATGAGGTCGCCGCAGCTCTTGCAGCCGACGGCGCCCGACGCAAAGCGGGTGCCGGTCTCGTCAAAACGGCACAGGCGCCCCGGGGTGCTCTTGAGCGCTGTGCAATCGTCCTGGGTCTGAATGTCTTGGCAGAGCGGGGTTTGGCCTTTGAATATCTGTCGATCGGACATCGTGACGGACGAGGAGCGAACCCCGTGTGGCCGGGTCTCGTTCGTCTCTGGCGGTGAAGGCGACCTGCAAAAGGCGATCGCCACGGTGGCCACGATGGGCACCAAGAGCCAGGCTAGTTGTGTGTGATTGTGCTGTTGGAGTTTGTGACGAGAGGAGAGATGCGTCGGGCGCGGCGGCTTGGCGGGCCGATGTGGCTGGGCGGTTTTCTTGCCCATGAGGAAGTGGTCAGGCTTCACGATGCTGCATGGCAACGGTGATGAAGAGCTCGCGCGAAGCGCTTGTCGGGAGCGCAAGCGGGTCGCGCCAAAAGGACACGCCGCACAATGTATTTACTGCGCGCGCAACTCGCGCCACCGAGAGAGAGCGCCCCCCCCCCCCCCCCTCCCTCGTACGAGAGGACCACCGCTGCGTCGAGGGTCGGATCTCGGAACAGACAGACAGGCAGGCAGGAGGCAGAGAGAGAGATCCGCAACTGACAGAGTCACACGGGAGCAAACAAACAAGCCTTCACCCACCCATGCCCTCCCCACATATCAGACAGTGCAGCTGCGCCCCGGGAATTCGCGCGCCACTCGCGCGCTCTTCGAGCTCCCCATTCGCGTTGCGCACGTCTCTAGAGATAGACGTTTAGTCCAAGGCCCGGAAGATGCGATGGCGCGTGTAGAGGCGCGCTCTCAAGACGTGGCGCGCTGCTTGCCACGCGCCTTGGCCGACAGGACTGGCTGCGCGTTGGCGGCCGCCTCGACGGGTGCGCCGCCGCCGCCGCCGCCGCCGCCGCCGCCGCTCGGCGCGCTCGTTGGGGGGAGGGCGCTCGGCGCGCCGCTTCGCTGCCTCGTGAGTAGCTCTAGCATGGCGAGGCTCTCGTCGCGCGTGCGCCAGTGTGGCTGCGTCGCGTCCGGCTCGAGCTGTGCAGAGACGATTGAGAGCGGCGTCTCGCCTACTCGAGTATCACAGAATCTGAACCCCACAGAATGGCAAGGAGAAGCGGTGGAGGCGGCGTCTCTCGCCCCCGTCGTTGGTCGCGGCGGGGTCGAGGCCGGCATCCAGGAGCATCTTCACGCACCTGCAGAGCCGTGGAGGGAGGCATAAGGCTAGCCACGAGACTGCAGGCGGGTGGTACACGAATAGCGATCCACAACCCCATCCCGCCCTCACCATGCTCTCAGCTCGGCTCTCTCTCCCCGATCTTGCGCGCTACTCGCGCACTGGCTCTGGTCGGTCGGGCTGATCAGTGCGATGTAGTCGACGCGTACGACGATGTGCAGCAGCGTGTCTCCGAGCCGCCTAGTCCACTCCGCCAGTCATGACAGACAAACAGGACTGATGCGCAGCGCCCGCGTGTCGCCGCGGCGCCGGCGGGACAGGAGTGGCAAGCGAGCGTCGAGACTCGCGCGATCCTCGGCATCCACCGCCTCCTCCGCCGCCGCAGCCACCTCCTCCTCGCTCGCCATGTCGCTCGCGCCCTCGCCCAGCGCCGCGCCTTCTTCCGCCGACGACGCCGCCGATGCCGCCGCCGCCGATGCCGCCGCCGAAGACACCATCGGCCCTCCGCCCACCTCTCTCGCGCCCGCCTCTGAGCTGGCGTTCTCCATCTTCGAGCGCGCCAGGGCGCGGGTGGTGCGCGGGTGCTGCTCAATGATCGGCGCCTCGGCCTCGTTACGCAGCCGCGGGGTGCGGCGGCCCTTGCTCGCCGTGCGGCGCAGCCGCTCCACCGCACACGCGACTCGCTCCGCGCGCTGCTCCGCGAGGTGGCCCGGCTCGAGGGACCTGGCCCAACATCCAGCAGTCAGAAGTCGTCGCGACGGGTGTCTGCGAGCGCTCCGTTGAGAAGACCAGCACGAGGAGGAGCCGCGCTCCGTGCCGGTGCGCCACGCGGCGCGGTGCTCCTTGCGCACGCGCACGAGCGGGTCGGCGCCGCGCGCGAGCAAGTAGCCGACGATGGGCGCACGAGCGAAAAGGCAGGCCTGCGCTCTCTCGCGGGGACGTGTGTGTGTGTGTGTGTGTGTGTGTGTGTGTGTGTGTGTGTGTGTGTGTGTGTGTGTGTGTGTGTGTGTGTGTGTGTGTGTGTTTGGGGGGCGGCGGCGGGCCGGCACGTTGAGGGTGGACGCGTGGCGAGAAGAAGGGTGAGGTTGATGCTTCGCGACGTGGGAGGCGGGAGAAGGCTAGGGAGATGGGTGAGACCTCGTGGTTCATAGGTGCGCTCCTCCTGCAGCGCCGAGAAGGCCCACTTGCCTCCTCCGAGGTCATCCACGCCGACCTCGCCGCTCTTAAGCCTCTCTTCCATCGCCGAGATGTACCTCTCGATGTCACTCGGCGAGAAGTGTCCGGCGGACCTTGCGAGCGTCCACCAGCGCTCGCGCTTCGCCATTGCGTTCGCGAAGGTCGAGGCGCCGGAGAAGCCGAGTCGAGGAAGGCGTAGTTGGGACGAGAAGTCGAGGTCATCGAAGGAAAGCGTGGCGCTAGAGGTCATGTAGCCTCGCGAGGGAAGGCTGGTGCTCCCACCCTTGCAGCGTGGCCGTCGCAGCGCGGGCGCCCGCTGGTCCTCGGTCGCAGAGCCGCCCTCGTAATGGCCGGCGACCGCCTCCTCCACACTCCAGCGGCGCGAGGAAAGGAGCGCCACTGCCGCGGCGGGCTCCAGGCAGGGGAGAATGTCCAGAAGGGACGCGACCGCCTCGTCCCGCTTCGCGTCGGAGGGCTCGTGAAACGCCTCATCAAACGCCTCATCGAGCGGCGGCAAGGTGGATTCGGAGGAAGAGCTGAAAGCGGGCCGGCGCCGCTTTTCGGCAGCCTCCTCGAGAGGAGCGGCCCGGGAGCGGCCCGAGCGGACTGGGCCGAGTCTACGCATACATATTTGTGTTCGCCAATGAAGCGCCTCGATGAAAAAACATTATCGCGACTTGCAGAGGAGGGCGGAGGCAGCACTTCGCTCCGTGTACTCAACTGCATGATCAACAAAAGGGCACACACGTTTCTCATCAGTCATCACCACGACTTCCCCACTTCGTGTCGTCTCCCGAATCTCAAGCTCGGGCTGTGGGCACACGTGGTCCTCCCCGTGCGCCCCTCACTCAGCCTTCCGCGAACCACGCAGCCATAGCGCGCCGGCACCCGGCGCCTAGCACTCGGGCCCCTGCATCTCCTTTTGGAACTGCGCCGTCACGCCGACGGTGCGCGCGACGTGCTCGGCGCTCACGCCGACGCCCTCGCTCGCCGCCAGGGACTGTGCCAGCCGGATGGTGTTCTTGATCTGGCGGCCGTTGAGCTCGTAGTCGGCGAGTGCCGATGGGTCGAGCTCGCCGATCCCTGCCGCGCCGAGCAGGTTTGCCCACACCTCGGCGCGTGCCGGCTTGCCGAGCGCCTCGTACCGCAGCGCGACAGAGATGCGCGAGTGGAAGGCGTCGTCAAAGGAGCGGACGCGATTGGTAGTGAGAAACAGGACACCCTGATGGTACTCGAGGAGGCGAAGGAAGACGCCCACCATCGCGTTGCGGTGGATGTCGTTCTCCGAGCGCCGCTCGAGGAAGATGTCCGCCTCGTCGATGAGAACAACCGCGTCCCACGCCGACGCGACCTCGAGGATCTCGCGCAGCTTCTCCTCGAGCTCTGAGCACGAGACGCCGAGCTCGCCGACGCCGACAGAGTAGAGGGGCCGGTGAAGCAGCTCCGCAATCGCCTCGGCCGTCAGCGTCTTGCCAGTCCCGGGCGTCCCATGGAGCAGAAAGATGCAGCCGCCCCCCTTGCCGGAGATGATGTCGTTGAAGTTGCTGCCCGCCGAGCTGCCGCCCTGGGTGACGAGCGCGCGCACGAGCCCCTTGCGCTCCTCCGAGAGGACCAGGCGGCCAAAGGCGTCGTCGTCGAACTTGACCGGGTTCAGGCCCTCGACGCGCAGCTCGAGCCACTTCTTCGCCGAGAGCGAGAAGCCGTGCAGGCTGTGCCAGCAGCGCCACAGCATCGCGTCCTCGATGCCAGCGTCGCCGAGCGCGCTCGACTCGTCGCCTCGCCGGTTGCTCATCCCCATGTCGTAGTTGGGGTTGAAGCGGGCAAAGTTGGCGCCGTCGACGACCACCCGCCCGTCCGCCTTGAACCGCGTCGTGCAGAACCAGCTCTTGCGGAAGCCCGCGCCCGAGTAGGAGAGGTAGTGGCAGCCGAGGGCGTGCTCCCGGAAGACGCGCCCGCGTGCCGTCAGCTTTGCCTGCTCCGCGTCGGTGATGGGGCGCAGCGCCAGGTCCGAGATGGGGATGGTGCCGCGGAAGGAGCCGATGCTGAAGTTGCGCTTGACCATCGTGATGCTCCGCCCGTTGGTGCGCACGAGCTGCGCGGAGACGACAAAGTCGTTGGAGAAGAAGGAGCGCGAGTAGTGCGCCTCGTCCACGATGGAACCAATCATGCACTCGTCAACGGTCGCCACAAACTTTGTCGACTTGGGGAAGAGGAACCAGAGCGCGTCGAACGAGACCACGCCCTTCTCGAGCATCGCCTCCACCTTGGCCTTGGTCGCCGCAAACTCGGCGTCGAGGAAGCATGCGAGCGCCGACAGGCCGGGGCGCGTGGGAGGAGGCAGGGAGGAGGTGCCCTCTTTGATGGTGGCGATGTGCGGGAGCAAAGCCACGGCGGTGATGGTCGGCTCCGCCTCGTAGAAGAGCGACAGCTGCGTGATGCGGCGCAGTGCCTCCTTGAGCGCCGCGCCGACGATGGTCACCTCGACCACCTCCTCGGTCTCACCGGTGGGTCGGCCCGAGCAGTCCACCTGCTTGACCTGCTTGCGGTTGACGCGAAAGTGCCCGGCCTGCTCGCCTACGGAAGCGGCGTCCTCCTTGGCCTTCTTCTCGCTCTTCTCCTTTTGCTTCTTGTCGCTCTTCTCGGCCTGTGCGCGGGCACGCTTGCGTGAGTGGCTGCGGCTGCGGCTGCGGCTGCGGCCGCGGGTGCGGCCGCGGCTGCGGCTGCGGCTGCGGCTGCGGCTGCGCTCGTGGCGCATCCGGCTCTGGTCGGGCGAGTCGGGCCAGCCTCGCACCTTGCTCTTCTCAGTCTTGTGGTTCGTGTCGCCGACGTCGTTCGTCTCCGCCTTGAGCACGGTGACATCATGGCCGAGCTCGAACGGCTCAAACTGCTCCTGCGCTTCCGTGATGGGAGCGCCGTCGACGACGAAGGTCAGGCTCTCGCCATGCTCGCCGAGCTGCGCCACCATCAGCTTGCGGAAGTCGGCAAGCGTCGCGAGAGGGCTTGTTGCGTAGACGTTGGCGACGCGCGAGCCGTCGTTGCGAGAGAGACGGACGCGTGCTGGCGTCGTCCGAGTCTGTGTCTTTGGAAGCGGCGAGAGCGGCTCGCGAGCAGGGTTCGTGCACTCCATCAGTCGAGACTCGTGGACTCGTGTGTGTGGTTCGGTCTTGGCCAGGACCTGTGCGGACGTGTCCACTCCACCCCCACGCGGCAAAAAAGCTTATCGTATATCTTAGCCACAGACTAAAGCGTGTTCGCCGTTGCCAATGTGCCACCTACCTCTCCCCAGGTTCGCGCAGCGAAGCGAAAATGGGCACAAATCCCCTATCCGCCTTGGAGCCCTAACCCACCGTCCGGCCAGTTGCGAAGCATGGCGGCCGATTCCACGCCGCCACAGTACGCCACCGCCGTGGTCGCGGCGCTCCGCGCGCGAAACTCGCAGTGCGGCGCGGCGTGCCGTGTCACACACTCGTGTCAGGCACTGCTCGCCGCGCACGCCGAGCTGCGGCGCGACGTGCAGCGGCAGCAGAAGCGGGCCGACCTGGCGGGAAAGGAGAAGCACGACATGCAGGCGGACCTGGCGCTGCTGCGCGAGAACGAGGCCAACGCGGGCGTCTCGCGTGCCCACATCGAGTCGCTGCAGGAGCAGCTCGAGCTCGCCAAGTCGCAGGCGGAACGTGCGACGCGAGAGGCGGTCGCCGCAAAGGCGCGCGCGGACGCATCGGTCGAGACGTCGGAGAATGTGGCCGCCAAGCTGTCGACGGTGAGCGACGAGCTGCTCGCCACGCGGGCAGAGGCGGCGGCGCAGACCTCGCGCGCGCAGGCTGCGGAGGAGCGGGTCGCCGCCCTCAGCGCGGAGAATGCGCGGCTGCTCTCAAAGTTGATGGAGGCGATGGAGGCGCAGGCGCGCGCAATGGAGGAGGAGATCGTGGCGCACGAGGCGCGGCAGCGCAGCGCTGCCGAGACGGCCAGCGGCGCGGATGACGCAGCCGCGGCCCCGGCAGATGAGCCCGCGAGCGGTGACGGAGGCAGTGGCACGGCGGCCACGTGACGATGTTAAAGCGGGATAGAAGCGATCAGTCGTCCAAAATAGTGACTCGTACAATATCTCCTCTCCAACGATGAGAGCACGATCTCCTCACCTCTGAGTCTCTCCGTCTCTCGTGTCTCGATCGCTCAATGTTCGCGGGGGTACGTGTGTGCCCGGCGGGCGGGCGCCAGCCGCCACGTGTGGCCGGTGGTGCCGGTGGCGCCGCGCCCCCGTAGCCCATGAAGCGGCATATGTCTGCAGTCTGTGCCGGCGGCCGAATAATAGTGTGGTGTGTGGGGTGCTCCGCAGATGACGCGCGGAGCCCGCCTGCGTTGGACTGGGACTAGACATGCCCCTCCTTGCGGATGGGCGAGCACTGCGCGTTTGCGACGCGGCCGCCGCGCACGGGCGTCGCCTCCTGCTGTGGCAGCGGCTCGTACCGCGCCTCGGCCTCCTTGCGGAGGGGCGCCTGCCGGTAGAGGGCCCCGCCCGCGAGGCAGGCGGCGAGCGAAGCGATGCCTGCGGCAGCGGGATAGGGGGCCGTGAGCGGCGGTTGCGGGCACGGGGGTGGCGAGGGCTTCGGGCGGAGAGGGCGGCGGTCGCGAGCCGACGGCGGAAGGGTGGCGCTCTTGTGTCTGGTGCCCTCTGGTGATCTCGGGTACGGTCTGGCGCGATCTCGTACGATCTCGGCGGAGGTCTCGCGCCCATGGCGGAGGCGTGGTGCTCCCACATCAGCGTGTTGAGGAGGACAGTGAGCATCTTGTTGAGCACGCCGATCACCTGCAGGACGAGTCTCGGGTGATCTAGCGCGATCTAACGCGATCTCGGGTGATCTCGGGTGATCTTGGGTCATCTCGGGTGAGCTCGAGGAGCGGGAGGAGGAGCGGGAGGGGGGGCGAGAGGGCGGGAGGCGGAGCGGGTTGGCGGGGTCGGTGCCGTGTAGGTCGTTGCGGCGAGGAGGGACTGGCACTTGAAGCCGGCCCACGAGATGCCTGCTCACGGCTGGAGCTGTGAAGAGGCGCTGCTGACGGCGAGAGAGGGAGGCGGACAGAGAAGAGGAGCCGAGTCCAAGGACACAGGAGGCGCTCAGCCAGCAGAGGCCCACTCCGCTCCAGGTCACCTCTCGCAGCAGCTGCAGGTCTTGCCCTACAGCAGCACCGCACACCCGTCGGAGCCTCGCTCCGCACGCCTCGCGCGAGCGGCGGTCGGAGCACCGAGGACGCCGATCAGCAGCGTCGGCAGCAGCGAGAGGGTGTTGGTGTAGAGCACCTGCAGGGGCGGACGCGTCGCGGACAGGTCGAGGACACGAGGCGCAGCGGCGAGGCTGGCTGGCGGAGCGGCACCGCGCTCCACGCCGACTTGATGCCGAGGTTGGAGACGAGGTGCTTGCCGTACCTAGCACCGCCCTCCAGCATCTCGGAGTTCAGGTTGCCTACTACTAGCAACGCCCACCAGCACCGCCCTCCAGCACCGCCCTCCAGCACCGCCCACCAGCACCGCCCTCCAGCACCGCCCACCAGCACCGCCCTCCAGCACCGCCCTCCAGCACCGCCCTCCAGCACCGCCCTCCAGCCGTGCACCCGAGATGGAGCTGCTTGCCGTGCTCGGCCAGTCGTCCTCTCTCGGCGTCCTCTCTCGGCGTCCTCTCTCGGCGTCCTCTCTCGGCGTCCTCTCTCGGCGTGCCGCACGTCAGCTGAAACACGAGCAGCCCCCACCAGACGAGCACCCAAAAGTAGGCGGCGAGGCCGTCGGCGAGGAAGCGGTTGTCGGTCGAGACGTAGCCGAGCGCGCCGGCGACGATGACGAGCATGCCTGCGCACGAGCGCGCCGACGGCAGCGCTCGCTTGTGAAAGGCGTAGTCGAAGACAGACACGGCCAGCGGCGCACACGCACGAAAGACGATGACTGTCTCCACCTGCGGCGATCGAAGACCCAACGACTCGAGAGGAGGGCCGTCTCCACCGGCGGCGTGGACGGGGCGGCCGCCCTCCGCGGCGGGACGGGACTCGGCTGCGGGCGGGTGGGGCGCGTGCGAGCGGCCGCACGTTCGCAGTCATCAGCACGTGCATGTTTGACCACGTGCCTCCCGAGAAGGCGAGCACGTAAACCGCAAAGTGCTTGAGCTTGCACCACTCAAAGGCGTCCGTCTCGACCCAGCCGGCGGTGGAGGCGAGCCGGACGGCGACGGCCGTCGACGCAAACTGCAGCCACGTGACAAAGGCGGGCGCGCCTGATGTGTGCAGGCGGCCCGTCGGTGGCGGAGGCGCGAGCTGGGACGAGGGAGGGAGCCACGCCGATGTGGTGCACGGCGAGCTTGTTGACGATGAGCATGAGTGCCGAGCAGGCGCAGTACACCGCCACCACAATGGCTGTGCTCAGCGGCTGCGTGGGGCGAGGAGGAAGGTGTCAGCCGTTGGTCCGGCGCTCTGGTCGTTGGCCGCGCGCACCGCGTTGAGCATCCCGCCAGGTAGCGGCGATGGTCGAGCGAGCGTGCGCGCGGCAGTGGCACTGCCCTGCCCGCCTCGAAAAAGAATTCACGTTATACATGAAGGTTGCAGCGAGAATCGGCGAGGGACTGCGAAGAGAGATAGGACGAGGCAGACGCCCAAGGGTGGGCGACGGATAGCGCACCACACCCCTCTTCTTAAAATCCCTGTGTGGTGGCGGCGTGCCGTCCTCCCATCCCTCCCTTGGGTGTGTGTTTTCTTTTTTGTTTCCTTTTTCAATTAGTCGAGTGCCTTCCTTGTCCCTCCCTTCCTTTCATTCCTTTCTCTGTGTTTGAAAAGGCGAAGGAGGGCTCGTTCGCTTTCCACCCACTGTGATTTTGTGAGCTCTGTGTCTTGATTTGCCAACAACACACCAAAAACCCAGTTCGATTTTTGCGGAGACGGCGCCCGGCGGAAGATGTCACGCGCCGGGCGTAACGGGCGTCCAAACCGACGAATTGGGCTGTGGGCGCCAGAGCGCCCCGCCCCATAGGCCCATTGTATGACGGCCGCTGCCGCGCTCCTCGACGAGGCACGGCGAGAGCGGCAGCTGCACGGCAAAGCGCTGCCGCCGCGGTCAACACCAGCGCCCGCAAAGACGGTCTTTAATGTCGGCCAGGCCCAGTACCAGCCTGCGCACCTCCACCGCGTCTCTGGCAGGCCGCGCCGCTGTCGTGCCGGGAGCGGGGCCCCCTGCTATTCGACGCGGCGTCAGAATGAGCTTCCGGCATCATCGGTGCCCGCGCCAGTCGCCGGGGCCTTCGATCCCTCGTCCGCCAGCGCTCCAAACTTCTCTGCCGCCCGCGAGAATGGCTCGCTCCCCGTGAGGCGTCCGGCCTAGATTCAGCAGAGACACGTGTGCCATACGCCACAAGGCCCTGTTACAAGCACGCACCCGCTACGTGTGTAGGCTCGCGAGCGCCAACAAGCGTGTGCTCTGGTCCCTCCCGCCCGGTGAGGCGGATGCAGCGGAGCTCCTCCCTCTGCTCCTCGAGGGATTGTGCGACCCGTCTGCAGACTGCCGCTTCCTCGCCGCCCAGGGCGCGGCGGAGCTCATCGACGCTTCAGGGCCCACCGGCGGACTACTCCCAGCCACGGCGGACGTCATCCCGCCAATTCGCGCAGCGCTCGGCACCATGGACCCGCCAGTCGTGTGCGCCGCGCTGCAGCTCCTCCGGCAGTTCCTGGGTTCGCACAAGCTTGCCGGCGCGGCTCTCCGGCCGCACTACCGCCAGCTGCTGCCGAGGCTCGCGCCGCTCGTGCTGCGCAGTCAGGAGCGCCAGCTTCGCGACGGGAGCCTCGACCGGTTGAGCGACCGCGAGATGCACCCGGGCGATTTGGTCGCCTCGACCCTTGCAGAAATGGAGGCGAGGGGGGGAGCCGGCGCCGGGGCTGAGATCAAGACGGTGGTTCCCAGCTGGCGGCCGGCGGAGGAGGAGCTCCACCGCGGGTTTGCCGCGCCGGAGTTTCGCAACGGCGACGTCGTCGTTGTCGCTCGAGGGCTCGTCTCACACGTCGGCCACCGAGGGACACAAGTCCTTGCGAAGGGCACCGCTTGCGGCACCACGACGCTGCACGGGCTACGGGGTGGGGTGCGTGTTCCCCTATCGCCTATTAGTTCCACCCGCTCACACCCCTGGGACGGTCGACACATTGAGAGGCCCCCACACTTGTGTGTCTCGCAGGTTGGCGAGGCGGTCGACCTACTCGTTCACGGCCGCCCACGGCTGGCGGTGACTTTTGTGAACCCGCAACGACGACCTCAGTCTGCGTCGAGACCTGCAAGCAGGCAGCAGGCGCGTCCGCGGTGAGGAGGCAGGCGGCTCGCCAATTTCATCACGCATCTCTTTTCTTCTCCGCTATGGACCGCGATCGTGCAAAAAGGAGTCGGCCCAACATGACTCGTGGGCGGGGGGAACGGCGGTGTACTCCAGTGACCAGTGTACGCATGTTTCATTTTCATTTTTACAGACCTTGGTATAAGAACCTCGTATGATGGTTTATGTGCTCCGATACGCGTACAATCGTACTGCTGTGTGCCGTAAGCAGGGGTTTTGGAGATGGGGAGAGCTACTCGCGGGCCTTCACACACGCACTTGACCCTACTCTTACCCACAAGCGGGTCTCGCGAGAGCGAACACGATTGTTGTCACAGGTCGTTCCTCCGCCGCCACCCTCGAGTCACTCAAGGGCATGACAGGCACGCACGACGCGCGCGTGGAAGCATGGGCCGATCACGCTGCACGCGGCGCGCGCGACTACATACGATTCCGGGGCACCCTCTTCGCCGTCATCCCGGCCTCGCAAAGGCAGCTTCCGGCGGCCCGACTGAACAAAGCGGCCACGTGGGTGGACGTGCTAGCGCCTAAGACAGAGCGACCCACCATGGACACGGAGCATGAGGAGGCCATGATGGCGGTGCTCCGCGAAGTCTACGGCGCGTGGCACGCCGGCGAGAGCACGCGGCGGCACCCCGTGATGGGGCGAGCGTTCCGGCGGCACGCCGTGCGGACGTTGCGCGCCGACTCGGCCGACTCGAGTCTGGCAACCGCAAGTGCCAGTGTCGCCGTGGCAGACGGCGGCGACGGCGACACAAACGCGGCAGAGCCAGGCGAGAGGGAGAAGGCGGCTGTGCAGCGATGCGTCAGCAACGCCTTCGACCGTCTCGACGAGGAGAAGCAGCGGTCCATCGCCATCGCCCGGCAGACGGCCGAGCTGCAGCAACTGGCGCAGCCAACGAGCAAGGCCGCTGCCGCCAGCTATGCGCTCCTCGCCGAAGACAGCGACGTGACCCAGGAGCTCCTGCTGTTGAAGAAGTGGCGCGAGAACGCGCAAGAGCACCCGGAGTGCGAGCAGGAAAGCTCCTTCGAGCGGAGCGCCGGGGTCGTCGCATTCATGGCGGTGGACCTCGAGTTCATGATGCTCCCAGGCAACCGCCCCTCCTACTGCGACATCCTGCAGGTCGCATACCGGGGTGAGACGGGGACGCGCGTCCTGCTCCTCGACACGCACGTCAATCGGCGAATCCTGCGCGACTACTTCGTCAACCACGCGACGGCGGGCCAGATACCGGGCCTCAAGTCGTATCTTACGGACCCCAAGATCGTCAAGTGCATGCACTCGCACCGGAACGACACGCGAATCCTACGGGAGTACGGGATCCGACTTAAATCGGTCCTCGACACTGCGCTCTGCGACGCGCTCTCGCGGGGCAAGGCGCTCCACCAGGGTCGGAACCTGGGCGAGGCCCTCAAGGACACCCTCAAGGTCGAGCTGCCTCACAAGGCCACTATGCCACGGGAAGAGCGAGGCATCTTCCGGAAGCGCCCGGCGGCGCCGCAAACCATCGAGTACTGCGCGCACGACGTGCTGTATAGTGTGGCGCTGGGCAGGGAACAACGCAGCCGGATTCTGCAAGCTGCGGGCGGCTCCGACGCCTTGGACGTCGCCTACGCAGCCTCCGACCGGTGCAGCGGTAGCTGCGATGGCCGCGCCGCCGCCCGACACCGACGTGGGCCGAGACTGCGCAGCGGGGCGGCTGGGCATAGGCACGTACGTGACCACAGTCATGGGGGGGCACTTCCAAGTCGTCCTAGACGTCAAGGAGACCTGCGAACGAATCCTGCAAAAGGGCACCGTGCTGTGCAGCTACTACCTGCCCGATGAGAAGGGCCACTTCGACTACGCAGTGCGGCCGCCCGAGCCACCCGAGCTGTCGGCGGAGGAGGTCGCTAGGGCCACCCACCCCATGCCCGAGGGAGCAGACGTGGACACAGAGGCGTACGAGCGGCGCATCAAGCAGCTAATGGAGACCTACACGGAGCGGAGGCGCTACGTGTTCCCCAAGGGGGACCGCATCGGGAGCTGCCTGGCGGGCGTGTTCGATGTGACCCTCCGCCCCGAATTCGACCCAGAAAAGGGCGGGACGAAGGTCATAGAGAACAAGCCCTACTTCAACCAGGGGCACGAGCAGAAGGAGGCCATACTCGAGATGCAGCGGACCTTCTTTGCGGTCGGAGCACTGGTGCCCTCGCAGGAAGCGCACGGCTGCGCCTGTGTGGTGGTACCTAAGCCCAAGGGCGGATACCGGGTGGCCTTCGACTTCCGCACGGTCAACGCTGCTACTGTGCCTGCGTTCTACCCCCTGCCCACCCTGCAAGCATGTCTCGACAGGCTGGGCGGCGCACGCTTCATGACCGCGCTTGACATGAACAGCGCCTTCCATCAGATCCCGGCCACGCCGCGGGCATCGAAGGCCATGAGCCTCAACATGCCCAACGGGCGCTACTCGTTCAAGTGCATGGCCATGGGGATGCAAGGGGCGAGCGCTTGCTTCCAAGCAATCATGGAGGAGGTGCTCCGGGGCCTCGACTTCGTCATCGTGTACATAGACGACGTCCTGATCTGCTCGAGAACGTGGGAGGAGCACCTCGGGCACCTGGGGCAGGTCCTCGACAGACTCGCCAGTGCCGGCTTCACTTTGCGCGCGGCCAAGTGCAAGGTTGGAGTGGGGGAGGTTGAATTCCTCGGGTACGTCGCCAATGGCGACGGTTACAAGCCCTCGGAGGCCAACACCGCCGCCATCGAGAAGCTGCCCTTCCCCGGCAACGAGGAGAGGATGCGGCACTTCATCGGCCGGGAAATTGAAAGGCACCCATCACCGCGACAACGCCTTGCTATCAAGGGCCAGAAACGCGCGCCTCATTGCCGTGAGCCAAGACCATGGCGGACCTGAAGAGCAACACCGCGTCGGCGGGCTCGGTGCGACCACCCTTGGACATCCCCGTCGCACGCCATCGCACGCTCGCGACACGATCAGCGATCATCCCAAACCACAACGCTGCTGCCGTCGCCGCGCCACCGCCACAGTCGCTTGGCTCGACCTCAACCGTCTCACATAGGGATCCCCGACCTCGCTCACACCATCACACCCCACCGCGGCCGCGAGCCACCACTTCACCAATCGGCCCGCCGCCTCGTACAGGGCACGGAGAAGTGGGGCGAGACCTTTGGCTGCTTCGAGGACTGTGGTGGCTGCATGTACGTGTCCTGCTGCCCGCTTTGCGCCCGCTGCACGATCGGCGAGATGATCGGCCCAGACGTAACGGTCGGAAAGAATATGGAGCCAGCGAACGAGTTCGCCAACTGCCAGAGCTGCTGCTTCAATTCGTGCACCTTCAGCCTCATCGGGGCTTTGATCGGGCTAGTTGCATGCCCGGACAAGACATGCTGCTTCTACGGCGCGGCGCTGCGCCGCCCTCCCCGCTCGACCCAAACTGGCCCCACTCACCACACAGCTCCCCCCGCCAGATATCAACATCATGAAGGCCGCGGCGGTCAAGCTCAACAAGGACTCGGCATCGCCCGGGCCGTGCTGCGAATGCTGCCAGGTGTGGTGCCTCGGCTCCTGCACCACGTGCCTCATGTACCGCGAGCTCAAGACGGCGAACAACAAAGCCAAAGGCGCGCCAGAGGCGACCGAGATGGAGCGCTGAACGAACGGCCTTGCCTGCCTTCCGCTTGAAAAGAAGGCACCCACCACTCCAAGTGCTCCACTCACTCCAAGCGCGCAACGGATTTGGGAACCAACAAAGGGGAGGTCCGCGTTTTTGTCGGCTCAGAGGCATAGACGGATTACTCAAGTGTTGTGGGAGGGGATGGTCGCGCCGTGTCAATTATGCCAGTAGTGCTGTCAAGTGAGCTGATGTGGCGTGCGGGCTCCCGCGCTCAGGGGGCGCGCCAGTGTGGAGAGCCCGGATTCCCGCTAAAGCCTAAACGAAATATCTCTCTTCACTCACATAAACGCACGACCCCGGGCCCCACTCACGCATTTCCTTCATCCGTCGTCCGCTTCGTCCCGGGTCCCAAACGTCAGCCCTTGCCCGGTCAAGAGCTCGCGGCCGACACAAAACCCTTGGTGAGTCCAAACAGGCGATGTCGCACGCAGCCGCTCGGCGGAAGGAAAGAAAGAAAGCAAAGAAGGGCATTGCACGAGCGCCACCTACGGGGTACCAGCTCTAAAGTACTCTGAACAACATCGCACAGCCTGTCTGGTATAGCCCCAGCCTACTCCGTGAACTTTCGAGGGATGCTCGAGCTCGGAGCTCCAAGCTTGTTCCCACACCTACCCAACGCGGCCGAAGGACATCCACCTCGAGACTACCCAACGCGGCCAAAGGATATCCACCTCGAGAACCTCGAGAACCTCGAGACCGGTATAGCCACGAAAAAATAGAACGTGTCCGCATGGAGGCAAAATTCGCCCGCGCCGCTGCTCGCGACGATTTGCGGCAGCGACGAACTGCGGCGGCGCAGCTCTCGTGGACTGGGACGGCGATCCGCTTTGCGCTGCCGCTGCCGCTCGCCGCGGCATTCACCTTTAGGGCAGTGGACGGCCTCATCTTCGAGCCGGCGCTCAACGAGGCTGGGCTGCCGCCGCACGCCCTGCTCGGCTTGATTATGGCGACTTGGGTCTCGCTCTCCCTGCTCTCCGTCAGCCGGCCATCTGTTGCGCTCGCGCTGGCTGCCACCGCCCTTGGAACCCTTAAGCAGAGGGTCGATGGGGGCGTCCTCAAGCCGCCCGCGGTCTCGCCGACGGCTCCAGTCGTGGCGCTCGTCACGGGCGCGAGCAGCGGCATCGGCCGTGAGGTTGCGGCCGAGCTCGCCCGCCAAGGCCACACCGTCGTCATGGGCTGCCGCTCGGCTGCCCGCTGCTCCGCGGCGCGAGTTGAGATCTTGGCCAGGCTCGACGTGCCGGGCTCGCGGCTAGTCATCCCGCCAGACGCGCCACTCGACCTGGCGCGGCTCTCGACCGCGGCGCGCTTCGCCTCCGCGACCGGCGAGGCGACGGGCGGCGCCGCTATCGAGCTGCTCGTCCTGAACGCGGGCTTTGTGCCTCTGGGCAGCGGCGGGAGCGGGCGGAGCGGCGAGTCGGGGCTCGAGGAGGGGCTCTACGCCATGTACTACGGACACCAAGCTCTCGTGCGCGGCCTCGCCTCGCTCCACCTCCTTGGCCCCTCCGCCACCGCCGTCGTCGTGTCGTCGGATGCGATGCGGTTCGGAGGGTTCGACGGCTCGCTCGAGACGGGCTCGGGCGCGAGAGGTAGCCGAGACAGAGACAGGCAGCCGAGAGTGCGCCGTGAGAGTAGCGTCTCGAGTGATCGCTCGAGCCGTCCTCGGGCGAGGGGGCGGCCTCGCGGGTGCGGCTACGAGTCGATCGTGACCGAGGGGCGGTGTCGTCCTCAGGCGAGGGCGATCTCGCGGGCGAGGTGACGGCGGGCTGTGCGCTGCCCGGCCCTCTCCCGTGCGCCCCGCTCTGCTGGCCTGCGGCTGCGCCGGGCGTGAGCAACCTCGTCGAGAGCCCGCTCGTGCCTGCGACCGGCTGGTCGTTCGGCGCGTACGCGCGCGCCAAGCTGAGCGGCGCCCTCCTCGCCGGGGGAGCTGGGACCTGTGAAACGTCGCGTCCGTGACGCGTGACACGTCCCGCAGGCGTGCTGATTACCCGAGATGACCCGAGATGACCCGAGATTACCCGTGACACGTCCCGCAGGCGTCCTCCTCGCCAAAGAGATGCTCGCGCGCGGCCTCGTGGCGCGCTCGACGTCCGTCCACCCTGGCGTCGTCAACACGGCGACGGACCGGCACCGGCACCGCCCCCGCCAGCCCTTCTGGCGATGAGACAGTCCCGGCGCGTGCTGCAGGCGATCCAGCGAGCGACCGCGACCTGCCGACGACGCTCGCCGCGCTGCCCCCCCTCTCGCTGCCTGTCTCTTTCGCTGAGTGGGAGGAGCTGCTGCCAAGCGTTGGCGCGCGGCTGACGGACGCGCTCGAGCGGTACGCGCTGCCGCTCTTCATGCGCGACGCCGCGACCGCCGCCGCCGTCGTGCTGCGCGCCGCGGTGGGCCCGACCCATCCCACAGGCCGGGCCGCCGAGCTGGGCGTGCACTACTTCAACGGGATGGGCGAGGCCGTCGGCGACGCATCGCTGACTCTGCGCGACGAGGCGCGGCTCGAGCGGCTGAGTGGCAGGCGTGGGGAAGGGGGGGGGGGGGGCGAGGGGTAGGGTAGCGGGCCAGCGTGGGTAGCAGGCCTCACGCGCCTCTCTGACGTGTGTCAGGCTCTGGGAGCTCGCTGATGCGGCGCGCGAGGCGAGGGCGGAAAAGGGAGGCTCCGGGAAATGAGGTCCCGGAGGCTGGGTTGTCTTGCGGCTTGGCGTGCGGCGCTGGCTCCAAATGCAGGGCAGGCATACTGGATCGCGGCGTCCGGAACTGGATCGCGGAGTGTCCGGAAATGCTCGATTACAACGAGTCAACCGGCCCTCGGGCCCTGGGGGTGCCGCTCGGCCGGGGCCCCGGTGGGCAAAACCCGCCTAATTTATCGGGGGGAGAAATCTCCTGCTTTGCGTTTTGGCTACATGATTGTCCATGCAGTGAGCGCCCTGCCCCGGGTTCCCCAATCCGGGCGGGGGGGCTGTCGATATCGTTCGTTCGCGGAATTTTCCTTGTTTCCAACAGGAGATGTGAGGGGGACAGGCCATGTCCTCATCGTAACTGGTAACGCCACACCCAATGGGGGGGAGCGGCAAATTGCGCCCCCCCAGGCACTGGCCCCGATCGATGCCCAACCTCGGACAGCATCCGATGCAAGGCGTGGTCCCTCTCGACTCGCAGCGAGTGCGCCAGGCGGCGCTGCGTCGCGAGGTCATCGCACTGGCAGGCATGCCAGTGCCCCTGGCTCAGTTGAAGATGGCCCTCGGTCTGGGCTTTGAGCGCCCCAACGCGCAGGACCCGGCGGAATCCGGGCCGCGTTGGACAGACGAGTCCAATCGCCGTAGCCCGGAGCTCGAGCGCTACATTCGCGAGATGCACGTTATGCACGAGCGCGCGATGGGCATTCTCCAGACTCGGGTCCAAGCGTCGGCCGCTGTGCCCCCGCCGGCCGACTGGAGCAAGGGCGCTTCGCCAAGGCTGCAAAAGAAGCGCCAGCGCGATTCCGCCGAGCTTACCGCGGTGGAGATACTCGCCCGCATGCGCGATTCCACAAGCCCACTGCCAGCCTGAGTCCCTTTTGCTAGGTTTGCAGGGTGGTGAGCAGAGGGGTCGTGTGTCGGGGGCGGGGCGAGGTCGGTCTGGTGCAGTGGTCGGTCTATCTCTCGGCGGGGTGCTTGTGTGCTCGTGGGCCTCGCGTACCCACGCTCGTGGCCTTGTCCGCCTCGAAAGCCTGGGTCTTGTACACTTCATGCAGTAGTCACAAAATTAGAGCCGACACCCTGACGCATAGCTATGGTGGAGAGCGTGCATGAGAGAGCGCGCGGGACGTAGCACGCACCTCGACACCTTCACTGGCATTGGCACGACGTCCCTATTTTAAGCATCCTCGTACATGCGCCGTGCCCCTCTACCTTTCAAGTGAGCCCCTGCAGTACCGCCACTCCCGGCCCCCTATGGTCTGGTTCAATTTCTTGGGGCTGAGCTTCACGTAGTCATCAAACGGATGGCAGCGGAAGCGGAGAGGACGGTTACACTTCGCGTCGGCGAGATTCCGCGCAGTCATCATCGTTCGAAAATCGAGAAACTCGGCTTCTTTCCGCGATCGCGAATTCTGTCTCGTGTTGGATCCAAAGTGTAGCACCCTCAGACAGCCCTTTCTCAGGTCGCGACCGCGGCGCATCTCCGCAAAGCCGCGAGAAGACTCCTCGGCCTTGGTGGTCCGTCCGATGTCGAGCAGCGTGATGGATAGCGAGCGGAGGTACGTCGAGAGAGCATATCCAGCCACCACATCCATGAGGATGCGAGGGCCGCCCAGGACGGTCCGCGCCTCGATCTCACGCAAGGGAGGTATCAACGCCCGCACCAGGTCGCTCGAAAAGGCCATAAACGGGCCCTTGACAAAGGGAAACGGAGGTGAGTCTCCAAAGCCGTCCGCCCTCCTCCACCCAGAGAGAGACTCCCATGCGCCCCCACCCCAAGCATACATCTGCGCGCGCTGCTCGTCGTACGCGCACCACTCCACCGCGCCATAGGCAACGAGTCTGGCGCGCTGGAAGCCGAGCAGGTCCGCCTGTATCTTTGGAGACACGAAAGCGTCATCGTCAGCGTTGGCTATGAAATCGGTGTGATAGACCAAAGCAAACTCGAGCCATGCGCGGAACTTCACACCATTCCCACTCCAGGTGTCGTTGACTGGCAAGACGACATGCGTTCGGTTTGCAAGCAGCTCCACGCCACCGAGCACAAACCGCACGGTCCACGCACGGCCAAAGCGCGCCATCCACGTGTCTGCGATGACCACGCGCCGCCGGTAATAGGATGGATGCGAAAAGACACCGAGGGCGACGGTCGTCTCGCGGGTGTGTGGCACGGCCATGGGCGTCGCCATTTGGAGGCGAAGGAACGAAAGCAGAACTTCTCCGCCCTGAGGTGGCCCTTTCAATTCAGAGCGAACTTGAGCACTTGAGCACTGGATAGGGTCGATTCCGCATGGTACGGGACCCCTCGATCGTCTCGCCCTCCCTCACTGGTATGTTCATTGGGGGGGGTCATAACAAACACGGTACAGGATCGAGGTGCACGGTGCACGCTGCCGAGGCAGTGTCGTCCCCCCTCTCCCCGACGGCGATGGCGGTGTGACCGATCGAGCTACAAGAGGAGCTTGGTCAGCAGGATCCGAGTCCATCGTTCTGATTTTGCCTTTCCCTACCCTGCAGGAGACAGCAGAGGGTATGTGCGCCGCGCGGGGCCGGGCAGGGTGGGTGGGCTGGGGGGCGAACTATAAAAGGCTTGGGAACACACTGCCAGGCGTCCAACGTATGTACGGTGTGAAGTGTCGTCTCGAGTCGAGTGTGAGTCATGGAGCGCCTCGAGGCCTCGTAGAAGATTCTGTGGTGGCCGACAGAGCTTCTCTTGCTTGGTTGGGGATCCTACCTACTTGCTTGCGTAGTTGCGTTGGACGCAGTGCCTCGCAACACGACGGCCTGGGCCTCCCTGGACTCCTGATTAAATACGGCCCTGTAGTAGCCTGTTCACGCGCGCGCGAGGCGCATAGGTGTGTTTTTCTTGTGTACCCCACCTTTTATGTGGGTCGTCTGTATATACCGGTATGTGGCTCTTTCTACGAAGGTGGTTCACTTCCTTCCGTTTCGTTCGGCCTGCCTGGCTCCGGCTCCGGCGGCCGTCACTAGGTATGGCTCTTACAAACATACCCGGAGAAAAGAAATCCGAAATCTTTCTTTGTTTGTTTGCTCCGTTTCAGATTTTGTTTTTTTCGCGCCGACTCACTGCAACAAAATGATGCGCTGCTATCGCCGTCTTGCCCCGTTACCGGCGGGTGCTCGCACGCTCCGCCGCGGTCTCGCATTAGCGGCTGTATGCGAAGCGCTTGGCGAGCGCTTGGTGCATCGGACGGATTGGAAGGTGGGCCCGCCGGGCCGCGGGCAGCTGCGGATCCGCGTAGCCGCGGCGGGCGTCAACTTTGCTGACTTGCTGAAGACTCGTGGGCAGTATCAGGAGAAGGCGGAGCCGCCATTTGTCCCGGGGAACGAGCTGGCGGGCGAGGTTAGCGAGGTTGGCGACGGTGTCGAGGGCTTCTCTCTCGGCGACCGGATCATCTGCCTCAACCGCGGCGGCGCTTACGCGAGCGACTGCGTCGCCGACGCGGCAACGTGCCTCAAGCTTCCGGACGGCCCGTCGGTCGACCTGGGCGAGGCCGCGGCCCTGCTCGTCAACTACGGCACCGCGCACCTCGCGCTGACGTCGCGCGGCCAGCTCCAGCCCGGCGAGTCGGTCCTCGTCACCGCGGCGGCCGGCGGGGTCGGCCTGGCCGCAGTAGAGCTGGCGCTCAAGCTCGGCGCGCGGAGGGTCATCGCGGCCGCCGGCTCCGATGCGAAGCTCGCCGTCGCCTCCGACAAGGGTGCCGACGCCGCGTGCGGCATCAACTACACCGGGCTGGACGGCAAGGCCTTCCGAGCCGCGCTCAAGGAGGCGGCGGGCAAGGGCGGCGTCGACGTGGCGCTGGACATGGCCGGGGGAGAGCTCCTCGAGCCCGTCGTCCGCTCGCTCAACTGGAACGGGCGCGCCGTCGTCATCGGATTTGCCGCGGGCAGCATCCCAAAGATCCCGGCCAACCTGCTCCTCGTCAAGAATGTCTCCTGCTCCGGCCTCTTCTGGGGTGCTCACCTGCAGCACGACCCGGCCACCCTCCTGGCGTCCGCGCGGCAGCTCATCGCGTGGTGGGCCGCCGGCGAGATCCGGCCGCACGTCTGCGCACGCGTGCCGCTCTCGCGAGCGCACGACGCCTTCGACATGCTCGAAGGGCGCCGGTCCACAGGCAAGGTGGTCATCGTGCCGGATTGACCATTGAGCGACTGTACACGTGTAACCGGAAAGTCACGGCGGCCTCCCCCGGCAAAATCGAGAAACGCCTCTGGCGCCTATTTCTCGTCTAGTCCTAACACACCACGCACGCCCCCGCCACACACGACACACCTCTCCCCGGGCGCTACTGTATTTTCGTAAATGTGTGTGCACCGCAGACGCGAAAGTAATGAAGTTAAAAAACCCGAGAACTGTGCGCGCTGGCCCCACGCCACACTTCACCACACCACCGGCTCTCAAGCGTCTCACCTGGCAAAGCTGCCTCGAGCCACCCCGCCCCCGTCTCGCGGCGCGAACACGGCTGTGGCGACGGCGAGGGCGACCGCAGCACCCAAACCGAGCAGCAGCCGAGCCGAGCCGCTCTGGCCCGGGGAGGAGTGTACAGGCCCGGCGGAAGGCGGGGGTTCGTGGTGCTGCACGAGCGCATCCGTGTACGGAGGCCGGCTCGGTGGGGCGGGTTCGCACGGGGGCGATGCGGCGCCTGCCTCTGCGCTCCGCGCCTCGTCCTGCTCGCGCAATGAGCCGCTCAGGAGGCCGCTCCCGAGGAGAAGCCGCCTAGGAGGAGCCGCCGCTCCGTCAGAGGCGGCGAGCAGGCGCCGCCACGGCGCTCCGAGAGGTGGGCGCACCCTCCCAGCACGTCCGGCACGTTAGCCTCTCCCAGCAGCCCGCCCACGACCGCACTCGCGTCGCCGTCGGCGCCGGTCGAGACAAGGGCCATCTTCTCGACCTGGAGAGAGGGGCAGGGGGGGGGGGGGTTGAAGCCGGCGAGGTGCGAAGGGCAGCGGCCCTCTCCCTCGACCGTCTTTGGCGGCAGCAGCGGCTTGACGAGCCTGAAGGCGAGGGGCGGGAGGGGCCTCGGGGCCTCGCGGAAACGCCTCTCTCACCGCCTCTCCTGCCGCCGCGATTGGGCGAGGGCGTGGCGTTGCTGGGGAGGCGGAGAGATGGGAGGAGGGCAGAGAGGGGCGGTGCTTCGGCGCGATGCTTCGGCTGACGAGGAGCTGCGGCTGCCGAGCTGCGCCGAGATGTCTGGATGTGGCGGCATGTGCCGCTAGTGCGGCGCCGGTTGAAGAGGAGCTGGAGCAGCGGCGGCGGGTCGGCGTGGAGCTCGGCGTGGAGAAGCTGCGGGAAGGCGGTGGCCGAGCCGCTGTTTGCGCGCGCCGTCGCCATCCACAGGTAGGGCGAGACAATCTCCCTCGAGATGCCGGCGCAGAGGTTGATGCGGAGCGTCTTGTGCAGGACGCCGCTCCGGCGGGTGGCGGCGTCGGTGACGGCAAAGGTGTACTCCTGAGTGCGGCGGCGGAGGCGGGTGGTGCGCGGCGCCTGCCCTGGCTCGGCGGAGGGTGCGAGAGAGGTGGTCCTCTGCCGCGAGAGAGGCTGGCCGGAGGGCGTGGCCTGGAGGCGAGGGTGAAGGCTAGGGCTGGGCCGCCTTGAGGTGGGTCAAGAAGGCGATGATCGTCTGGGTGGGCACTTTCGCCGCCATCTCTCGGAACTGGCAGCGGCGCAGCACGAGTAGTGCCACCAGGAGTGCCGCGTCCTCTGCCATGAAAACATGCAGTCCTAGGTACGGCACGCACTCAAGGTAGCCGGGCCAAGCGTCGATCGGCAGGGCCATGACTCGCCGCGTCACGCCATCCTGCTGGTTCTTCAGCCGCCAGGATAGTCCACGTGCAGCCGCTCGGCTCGCGGATGCCGTGTCTGGGTAGGAGAGGCAGTATCGAAGCAGCCAGATGTCGTCGTGCCGTGACGGCTCAAAGCCGGGCTCGTCGCGTAGCGCCTTGGCCAGTGACGCTATGCGCTGCGCGTGCTGCGCGAGAAGGTCGGAGACACGCTGCTGCGGGTGGGCCGCCACCATTCGGGACTTTTACGGGCCGAAAAGAGAAATTGATTGCGCGGGAATAGGACCGCCGCAAGCGGCGTGGCGTGGAGCGGTTATCCCTCCGGGGGCCCCTCTGCGCCGGGGAGGCGTTGTTGGAGGCTAGTACGCAAGCGTCCGTCGCCCTTTTCAAAGATCAAACTCGGGGCCCACTCTAAAACGGCCAACTTCTGGCCGCTCCGCCGCCACGCCTCTCCGCTCCGTTAACGGCCACACACGAGCCCCACGCAGTCTAAAAGAACTTTACCACCAAACTCCCACGCACAAAAGAAAACTTGCCTCCTCGACGTCAAGCATGGCGCTGATTGCGACCGCCGCTTCTGTGACTGCGACCGCGCCGCCGCTCCTCCCAAAGTCACCCTCACCCCGTGGTGCGACAACTCGTTCCGCGTCCGCGTGGCTCCAAAAATACACATTTGATTTTCGGGCCTAACGGCGGCTATGCACGGCGGTCTCTTCGTGGCCGCGGGCACGCTGGGCTGGCGATCAGCGGCTTTTCCCCTCAGTTGCTCCGAAAGCACGGATTTGGCGGACGTTCTTTGCGTTGGCTTCAATTTTACGGATGTCTTGGCACCAACTGAAGGCTTGCACGGACATCGTCGGATTTGGGTGTGCACGGACCACGCGTATATTCTCGGATTTTTTTACCGTATTTTTTCGTATGTGGGGGTATATCGCAGATTTGTCAATGGTACCGCGTCTGCGACGCGGGCGCCTTGCAGGCAGAGCCCTTAGCCACCCTTTATTTATGTCTTGCGCGGTCAAAACCAACTTGCGCGTTTGTACCAGGCCGGCGCTGGCGCAGAGCTAGCCCGACGCGGTCCCCGTGCTCAGGCTGGTCGGCAGCCAGGTGCTGAGCAGGCGGAAGCGGTCCGGCTCGACGCACGGCCCTCCCCCCTCGAGCGCCTCGAGCCAGCGCGGGTGCACCACCGGGATGGCCCAGCGCAGCGCCGCGCGCAGCTTGTCTGGCCCGCACAGCCGCGCCGAGAGGGCGAGCAGGTGCGTGGTGCCGGGCCGGCCGGGGCCCGAGGCGCGCAGCGCGCAATCGAAGCTGCCGCCGAGGGCGATGACCCGCCGCCGCACCGCCTCCCGGTCGGCGGGCGACAGCCCGCTCGTCGTCAGCGTCGCGCCCGCGAGAGGCGGCACCCGGAAGGCGGCTGGACAGGGCCGCTTCGCCTCGCGCACGCACGCGGTCAGCCAGTCGGGCGTGACGGCGGGGATGCGCGCGCGGTGCGCCCGGATCGCCTTTGGCGTGTAGCCCGCGCCGCAGACCAGGTGCGTCGTGCCGGTGGTGAGGGAGTCGTCCCACTCGCCGCCGAGCGAGAGGACGAGAGCGCGCGCAGAGTCGCGGCGGGAGCGGTCGAGTCGCGTCGAGCAGAGGGTGCAGCCGCGGAGCAGGTTGACGCGCACGCCGTACCGCCCCGGGCTCGGCGGGCCGCTCGCAAAGTCGTCCTCAGGCCAGAGGTCGAGGCAGTGGCGGCGCCAGAGCGCGGCGTCGCCCGCCGCCGCCCGCATCCCCCACGAGACCCGCATCAGCCGCGCGCCCTCGCGCGGCGAGCACCGCTCCAGGATCGCGGCGAGCATGTCGGACGGCAGCGACGCCATGGAGAAGCCGGAGGCGCCGGCCGAAGCGACGGCGGGCGCGGCGACGGCGGCGGAGGAGGAGGAGGATTCGGCGGCCGGGAGGCGCTGGGCTGGGCGCCGAGTGCGGCTGCCCTGCGGGGCGACAAACGCTTGCAGGCGGCGGCGGGGCGTGGGTCGAGGGACTGGCTCCATCGTGCGAGGTGGTGTGGGCACACCCGAGGGCGGTGTGCGGTGTCGCGCGTCGGAAGGGGGTAGGAGTCCGGCGAAAGAAGAGAAAAAAATTCCGAGTTTTGCGCCGGCGCACTTCTGCGCCGGCGCCGGCGCACTCTACGTTGGCACCATAAACGGCGTATTTTGTGTAGCATTAGCAATATCGTCGTAAAGTGCAATATCACCGCTACCATATAAAAGATCATGAAAAAATTTAAAGTATATTTAACGGCACACTCTACTCCTCACCACATACACCCGAAAAAAATTGAGGTACAAGAATGACAGCGTCAGTCGCTTCTGGTTGTTTTGCGTGCCGTTTGTGGATCGGTCGCTCCGGCGCCCCGGCCGCGATCGAGTGGCTGCCGGTTCGAATCCGAGCGAGTCCCATTAGCTCAGGGGTCAGAGCGAAGGTCTTATGAGCCTTAGGCCGCGGGTTCGATCCCCGCATGGGACAATTTTTGTTTGGGTTTGGGTTGTTTCGGTTTGTGGTTTGTGGGGTTGTTGTGGTTTGTGGTTTCTCCGTTTGTTTGTGGGGTTTTGTTTTGTTTTTCAGTGTATGTAGGATTCTCGTTTTTGGGTTTGTTTGTGGGGTTTGGTTTGTCCGATCTCATCAGGGCGAACGCTCGCCCTCGGACCCGTCGGCCTTATTCGCAACGCACGACACGAGCACGCACAGAAAGATAATCTTTGACCTCCTCCGAAACGTGTGTTCCATCGTCGACCACACAGCGACCACACTCGTCACGAATGCCCCGAACCACACCACAACCCCTCCTTGCTCTAGCCGCCGCGCTGCTCTCCGTGGCGTCGGCCCAGACGCCGTCGGCCGGCGTGCCCTCTGACGTCAAGCACATCCGGTGCGAGACGTGCGAGTCTCTCGTTAGCGCGGCGCATCGCCGCTTCGCCGAGCTCCGCAAGGGCTCAAAGAAGGCCCTGTCCGAGGAGGACGCCATGTCGGTCGTCGAGACCGTGTGCGACCCCGAGGCGGACGGCGGAGCGTGGCTCCGGTCGCTCGATCTCCAGGAGCAGGGCCGCCGGCTCCGGCTCGTCAAGCAGGCGGAGGACGGCCCGTGCGGCGTCGAGTGCGCGACCCTGCGGCTGGCCTGCCAGGCGCTGATGGAGGAGGGCTGGGAGAACGAACTCGGCGAGGCTCTCTACGGCGCGGTCGACGCGGACGAGCTCGCAGAGAGCGCCTGCCGGGAGTGGTCGTCGGCCTGCCGCAAGCCGGCGCCAAAGCTCGACCCTGCGAGGCCGGCCGGGCCGCCCTTCCGCGCCTACACGCAGGAGGAGCGGGCGGCCCGGCTGGGCGGGCCGCCTCCGGCGGGCCTCCTCACCGCCGCCGCCCTGGCCGGCCGGCTCGGCCTGCCTCCGCCGCCCGCCTCCGAAGCCGACCCGGCCCTCGACGGCTTTGACGACGGCGGCGGGGAGACGTCCGGAAGAGGGTCTGCCCTCTTCTCGCTCGACCGCTCCGAGGCATTCCGGCCGGTCGCCGGCTGTTTGCCGCCCTGGTGCGCGCTGGTCGTCGGCGCCGTCGGCGGCGCCGTCGGCGGCGACGCGGCCGCGGCTCGGGGCCACGTCTCTGTGAGCGGCGCCGCCCCGTGGCACGACGACCAGGCGGTGGAGGCGGCGGCGCTGCTCTACGCCTCGCACGGCGGCGCCGGCGTGCTCCGCTTCTGGCGCGCGTGGGCGGCCGCCCCGCGCTGCGCCAGCCGGCCCGCCGCGCCGTGCGTGATGAGCGTGCTCCGACGGATCGAGCTGCCGCCGCTCGAGCTGGCCGCCCTCTCCGCCGCGCTGGCGGCACGCACCGAGGCGCCGATGGTGGAGGCGTGGGCGCAGCACGCCGCGGCGGCGATGGGCCGAGACGAAGGGCGCGGCGCAGTCGTCGCGGCGGCGTGCAACGAGACGCACGCCTCCATCCGGGCGGCGGTCGCGGCGGCGACAACGGGCGCGTGCGCAGGCGACGCCGCCGAGGTGGTGGACCACGCGCTCCCCTCGGCCGGAGAGGGCGCCGGCTCTCCGCGGCTGGTGGCCTACGTTGACCCGCATTCGCCCGGGCTCGCCAAGGCGATCGAGCGGCTGCTGGAAGCGGCGGCGGGCCGGTGCGCCGTGTCGCTGCGGTACCTGCCGGCGGCGGGCTCGGGCACGGTGCCTCTCTTTGGCTTTGGCATCGACGTACGCCCGCCCCCCCCCCTCCCCCCAACCCCCCCGTCCCCCCGCCCCCCGCCCCCCGCCCCCCCGCCCCCCCGCCCCCCCCGTGCAAGCATCCGCTCTGTGGTCGAGCGCGGCCGCGTCAGCCGCAGGGCTCGCGGGTGATAGGTTGCGCTTCGCTCGACCGAGTACCGCGTGGTGGACGACGACAAGGAGACGGCGGCCGACGGCGATGCGGAGGAGGCGGACAAGGAGGAGGCTGCGGACGCGGCCGCCGGCGACGCGGCGCCGTCCTGGATGCTTCGCCACCGCGCGAGCGAGCCGCTCGTCGGGTCTGCCCTGCCGCCCTCGCGCATCGCCGGCCTCGGCGTCGCCGCCGCCGTCGCGGTGCTCAAGTCGCGCCGCCCGCTCGCGGCGCTGCGCGACGTGAGCGGCGCGCTGCCCACCCTCGCCCGCCACCTGTCTCGGCTCAGCCTCAAGTCGCCCGCGAATGCGCCGCTCGTCGAGGCGTTGGCCGCCCGCTGGCCGCTCCTGAACAGCGCCCGAGGTGCGCGCCGCCACCGCCCCTCCTGCCCCGCCCCTCTCCTGCCGTGCCCCTCCTGTCGTGCCCCTCTCCTGCGCCGCGCCGTCGCTTCTGCGCCGCACCGCCCGCCTCTGCGCCGCACTGTCGCCTCACAGCGGCCCGTCGCCGTCGCGCAGGCGCGCTGCTCCTGAACGGTCTCCCGCTCGACCTCGAGCGCGAGGACGCGGCGCACGCGGCGGTGCGGCAGGCGCTCGCAGAGGCGACCGCGGCGGCGGAGCTGATTGGGCTCGGCCTGGCGCCGCGCGCTGCATCGCGGCTGCTGGCGATGGCGCCGCCGCGGCCGCCGCGGGTCGACGTGCGCGAGATGGAGGCGAGGGTGGAGGTGCTTTGGCTGAGCGACGTCGAGACCGACGCGCCGTTTGCGGAGTGGCCGACCGATTTGGCCAGCGCCACCCGTGGCTACGGCGGCGCCTCGCAATTCACGAGACACAACTTGCTCACCGCCGTGTTCGTCGTCGACCCGGCCTCCCGCGCCGGCGCGCGACTCGCCGGCTACGCCGCCGAGCTGTGCCGCAAGGCGGCGCCTGTGCGGGTGGGCGTACTGCTGCGGAGCGGGACGTCTAGCGGGACGTCCGCACCGCGCGCGGGCCTCGGGGTGCGCCTCGCGCGCCACGCCTTTGAGGCGGGGGGGCGAGGTGCCCTGCTTGCCCTGCTGCGCAGCCTCGACGCTTCCGCCGCCCTCGGGGCGGCGGAGGGCGGTCACCTTCCCGACGGCGCGCTCCGCGAGGCGCTCGCCGCGGCGCTGGAGCAAAAGAGCCACAAGCCGAAGGGCAAGAAGCGGAAACGGGCGGCCAAGGGCGCCGACGCGGGGCGGGGAGTCGAGGAGGCCTTCGAGCGGCTCGCCGGCGGCGACACGCAGCAGGACGAGTCGCCGGCATTCGGCTTGCCGGACGAGCCGCTGGTCCTGGTGAATGGGCTCGTGCTTCGCGGCGACGGCAGCGGGCTCCGGGAGGCGGTCGGCCACGAGCTCAAGCTCGAGGCGACGCAGCTGCGCGGCGCGGTCGAGGCGGGCGCCCTCTCGGCGGACGCGGGAGACGTGCCGCGCGCGGTGCTCTCCCTCTGGGCGGGGCGCGGCGAGCTGCTGGACGAGTACTCGGAGGGGGCGGTCAACAGGAGCTCCGAGCTGCGCATCGGCCGCATCCTGGCCGAGGCCCGTGCGGAGGAGGGGCGGGGCGACGCGGAGGCGGAGGTCGACGCGAGCGTGCTCGCCGCCGCGCACGCGGTGCTGTCACGCCGCGTGTGGCGCGAGGCGCGAGCGCGGCCTCGGCTGGGCATGACTGCCAAGGTCGGCGCGTGCGGTCCAGGCTGCCTCGAGCTGCCTGGCGAGGGCGCGGGCGCGGCGCTCCACCTCGTCGCGGTGGTGGAGCCGCTCTCCGTGCGGGCCAACCTCGTCGCTTCCCTCCTCATCGCGCTGCGCCAGGCGCTGCAGGCGCGCTGCACGCTGCTGCTCGCGACCGCGCCGCTGCGGGAGGAGCCGCTCCCCGCGCCTCGCGACGCGCTGCCCCTCGCCGAGTTTCACAGCCGCGCCATCGGCCCGCTCGACGCGCTGCAGCCGCCGCCCACGGCGCTCCTCGAGATTGTGCGCTCCGCTCAGACGCTGACCCTCAGCGTTGTCGCGCCGTCGGGGTGGAGCGTGCGGCTGGGCGTCGCCTCGGACGACCTCGACAACTTGCAGCTCGACCAGCTGCCGCCTGGGCACACCGTGACGGCCTCCGTCTCGCTGGCGTCACTGCTCGTGTCTGGGCGGTGCGCTTCGGAGCGCAGGAAGGGCAGGAAGGGCAAGAAGGGCCGGGGCGGCGGCGAGGCGAGCTGCGCCGGCGAGGAGTTGCGCCTCTCGCGGGCGGGCGCGCCGGCCGGGGCGGAGGCGGAGGCGGAGACACGTGTGATGGGCGGGAGCGTTGGCGCGGGCTACTTCCAGCTGCCGGCGCGGCCGGGTTTGTGGCGTTTGGCCGGGTCGAATGTCGGCGACAAGGACGTGGCGCTCCTGTCCTGGACGGGCGGCCGGGTGGCGGTCAGGCCCACCGCCAGCCAGCCGAGGGACGCGGAGGCGAGCGCGCGCGGCGGCCGCGGGGGCGGCGGCCGCGTGCACGTCTTTTCGCTCGCCTCGGGCGCGCTCTACGAGCGGTTCCTCCGGATTATGATGCGCACCGCCGCCGAGCGCTGCTCGAGGCCGGTCACGTTCCACTTGCTCGAAACTTTCCTCACGCCGGAGATGCGCGACGCGGTGCACAGCGGCGCCCTCGCGCGCGCGGTGAGCGCCGGGCTCGACGCCGCGCGCGCGGCCGAGATCCGACTGGTCGACTACCGCTGGCCAGCACACTTGCGCCATCAGCGCGAGAAGCAGCGCCTCATCTGGGGGCACAAGATCCTCTTCCTCGACCTGCTCTTCCCCCTCGACGTGCAGAGGGTCATCTACATCGACGCCGACCAGATTGTGCAGGGCGACGTGGCTGCGCTCTACGACATGGACCTCTCCGGCAGGCCGGTCGCGATGACGCCTTTCTGCCGCGCAGACCCGAACGCGGACACGACGGGCTACCGGTTCTGGGAGAGCGGCTTCTGGGCGAGCCACCTCGAGCCGCGGCCGTACCACATCTCGGCGCTCTTCGTCGTCGACCTCGCAGCCTTCCGGCAGCTCGGGGTCGGAGACACCTACCGCGACTCGTACCAGAGCCTCACGGCCGACCCGAGCTCGCTCGCCAACCTGGACCAGGACCTGCCCAACTACCTGCAGCGCGCGGTGCCCATCTACTCGCTCCCCGAGGAGTGGCTCTGGCGCGGCACGCGGTGCGGCATCAACCCCGAGCTGCGAACAGCGCCGCGTCACGGCCCCTCGCTATGAACAGGTGCGAGACGTGGTGCGGCAACGCCTCCAAGCCGCGCGCCAAGACCATCGACCTCTGCAACAACCCGCTCACCAAGGAGCCCAAGCTCGAGCAAGCGCGGCGCATCGGCGGCGAGCGGTGGCGACGAGTGGACGAGGAGCTGCAGGCGGCGCTCGCGGGAGGGAGCGCGAGCCGCGCAAAGGAAGAGCTCTGATGAGGGGTTTTGCGCTCTGTTCTTAGTTTCGCCCACGCAATCGGTGGTCTCACTCTCAACACACTCTCTGTTGTGGGCTGGGCTGGCTCAAAGCTCTCTCTCGCTCGTTGGCACGCGTGGTATTTTTCACGTTCCGCTTCCCCGGGCGGTATCCGTGTGGATGTTTCGTGAGGTTATAGTTATAGCGGGATTACGCAACCCGGGCCGTCCCGTTTGGCGGTCGGCTCGGGCCCCCTAGTAGTAAAAAGTCTAAGAGGCTAAATCCTAAACATAAAAGTGTAAAGCCGCGGTAGAGGCTCTATAGTAGAGAGGTAGAGCCAGTCTCGTGAAAACACGAAAAACAAGCTCGAAAACAGCCAAAATCAGCCTGCGAGAGAGGCACTGCGCGCCGCTGACCTCATGTGGGGATGTGTGCCGACACCAATACTGATCTAAAACCTGGAAACCCTTGTTCAAAGCCGACCCTAAGAGCGCCATCCTTTTCTCTGCTCTCACCCTCTGATGCTGCTCCCCGCGCCGCCTCCTTGGCCCCCGCCTTGGGCGTATTTCTACTCCCAGTGGGGGGCCTGGGCCCCCGTGCCCCCTCTTGTTTTCTGTTTTTCAAAACGCCCGCCCGCCCGCCACCCCGAGGCGGCTCGGCCCCCCACTCACCGAGAGATCAAAACGGGACGGCCCCGCGCCGCCCGCGCTCCGAACCCCGCGCTCCGAACCCCACTCGCCAGAGCGCGCTGTGCGCTGCCGCTCAGCCACTCTCTCGCCACAATCTCTCACCACTCAGATCTCAGTCGGTCTCAGACTCAAGAGAGTGGAACGCGCGCATGATAGAGCGCGACAGCATGAGACTCTCGAGACCGTGCAAGACCACGTGACGTGAGGTATGGCCTCGCCCCACTGACTCTTCGCTCCCCGAGAGGAGCGTGCGCATGCACTCTCGTGTGTACCCCCAACGACGCGCGAACCCCTACATCACGTCGACCTACATGCATGCATGCCAGCACCCTCCCAATCCCTAGTTGGTCGTCACGGCTCGTTGATGATGTCAGCCAGTGGCTGGTTGGTTGGGGTGGGCGAGTGCGAGTGGCGGGCCCGGCGGGCGGCACGCTTCTCGGAGAGAGAGAGCCCAGCGTCGAGCACCTCCAGCTCGGACTCCGGCTCTGCCGGCGTGCTGGTGCGTCGGCTGCGACGGGCAGCGAGCCTCTCGGAGGGCGAGAGATGATTGAGCGTGCTGCTCTCCTCCTCACTCGCGCCTGCCGCATTCAGCCCCGCGCCGCTTGCCTCCATCTCCTCGTACACCGCCGTTGCAGGCTCCTCCTCCACCCCTGCCGCCAGCGCCTCCGGCTCCGCCTTTGCCTCGGCCTCCTCGGAGCTAGTCACCGCCTCAACTAGCACAACCGAATCGGCAGGATCTGCCGCCGGCTCAGCTGCCTCGTCCGCCTCGGTGGCAGCCACCGGCTCGGACGCCACCGGCTCTCGTGCGGCCGGCTTTACCGCAGCTGTCTCTGCCACGGGGAGTGGGGCCACCTCGTCGGCGTCCGCCGTCTCCTCGGCTGCGCCGTGTGCGCTGACGTCTGCAGCAGCGCCCAGTCGCCATGGTGGGTGCGAGTGAGCTTCGTCTCTGGCAGGAGGCACAAGCCCGACCTGTCGCCGCTCGTGTACTGGCAGGCGAGTAGCCCCTCACCCGGGCCGAACCCGAGAGCGGTGGCCGAGCGGTCCTTCCCGAGCGCGACGGGCGCGAGAGGTGCCCAAGCACGCTCCGCCTCCTCCGTCATACCGCCCTCGCCACCGATGAGACGCCAGACGACCGCAACGCCCTCGCGAGTCGCTGCTGCGAGCGACCCGCGCAGAGGGTCGTGCGACACAGCGACGACCGAGCCCGTCTCACCGCCGAGGGCCGCGGCGCCGGGCACATCGGCAAGCAGCAAGTTGTAGTGGTCGCCCTCTGGCACAATGTGCAGCCGCACCAGCGAGTCGGAGCACGCGAGGGCGAGGTGGCCCGGGGCCGCCCAGCTGGCTCCCTGCAGTCCTCCCTTGCCCATCGCTAGCTTGACCTTGGTCTTTGGCGTCGGCTTGTTGTTGGCCAGCTTGAAGGTGCAGAGGAACGAGTTCGCCAGCATGCAGACGAGCAGGTCGGAGCCGCCGTCGTACAGCATCGCCAACACGGGCGCGCCGAGATCTGAGATGACTTCATTGCACTGGCCCGTGTCGGTGGCATGGCAGACCGCACCGGCGGGCCCCGCAACGTAAAACGGCGGGCAGTCGGGAGCAGCGAAGACGGAGGTGACCAGCTTCTTCACCTTGCCCGCCGTGCGCGAAATGGCGTGCGACAGCCCGCCGAGCGAGGCTGGCTTGTACGAGCAGACCGTGGACGGCCGACCGCGCGAGTCGACCTGCAGGCAGAGAGCAGCGCTCATACCCGTGCTAGGTGAGCCTGTGGGGCTTCTACAACACGAGCCTTCCAGACTGAGAGGTTTGCCGGCCCAGCCTCGGGCTGCCGCCCGTCGCCAGAGATGAAGCGCTCGGCCTCGGGCGACCACTCAATGAGGGTGACGGCATGCGGCGCGTGCTGCTCTTGCTCCTCCCCGGATAGCCGGTCCTTAAGCGACCAGACTAGCAGCGTGCCGTCGTCCCACCCGACTGCCAGCAAGCCGCCGTTGTGGACGTGCGCAGGCGCCCACGCCAACTTGAGCGGCGAGGCGGCAGCATCGCGTGTGCGGATGACGACATCCTCGAAATGGTCGCCATCGCCTCGGAACAGCAGCACTGAGCCGCCCTCTGTTCGGTGCGCAGAGCGGACACCTTGCAGAGCGACAGCCAACAGCGGCTGTTGCGCGTCTGTGTTCCACGCAAAGCCAGTGACCTTACGATTCGCGATCACAGGGATGGGCTGCGGCGTGAAGATGGATGGACCAGACCTATAGGGTGGGGAGCGGGAGGTCCAAGGCGAGAGGCGCGGCGGTGCCGCGCTCCGGGCAATCCCGGCACATCGGATGAAGTCCGGCGCAGAGCGTTCCGTTCGGAACGTTTCACGAGTTTTGTGCGCCTTCACGCTCTCTTTTTCAGTGTACGTACTTTTAGCTTACTGGGAGAAAAGAGAGAGGGGGTTGTGTTCTCTAGGCCCCTAAGGGCCCTACGCGCGTATGTAGCTCTTACGTACATTCCCGTAGGAGGACTCTGCTGACAGGGTTTGCGATGAGGAGCGACCCTTTTTCGTGTGAGAGAGAGAGAGATGTGATCTGTGATCTGTGAGGGTCCGCCCGCAGGCGCATTTTGTATACCGAGGCGGTGCCCGGTGCCGAACCTGTCGGACCTTGAGACAGCGTTGTAGATCCCTGGGCGAGGGTGGTGGAGAGGGCGGTCCGGCGGCGGAGCACCCACCTCCTCCCGGCGTGCCGGGAGGCAGGATGTCATCCCCCGTGATCCAGACCGCCCCGTTGGAGGTAGGGAGATGTTTAGCAGTTGTTGTCGTGTGTGTGTCCGGGCATCGTCAAAGGACGAACGTTCGAATTCGGGGGAAAACGATTTGGTACACAGACCTTGTTATCTTAAAATCCCTGTCTGGTGGCGGCGTGCCGTCCTCCCATCCCTCCCTCGCTGTCTGTTTTCTTTCTTTCTTTCTTCAACCTGCCCCTCTCCGCGTATGGGAAGCCCCCGGGTACTGGTTAGAAAGAGAGCCCAAATCACTGTGAGAGTCGTGATTTCTTGTTGGTCTTTAAAAATCTCTCTCTCTCTCTCTGGGGTTAGCTGCGCTCAAGAAGAAATACCCGTATCTCCCACGGCGCTGCGCGCTGCGTCTGCTGGTCTAGACACTAGAGAAGAGAGAGAAAATCGCAAACCCTGTCAGCAGTCCACCTTCGGGTATGTTCGTAAGAACCACATACAATGAGAGAGATCCCAGTAAGTAAGCTAAAAGCACATACAATGATCAATGAAAATCTCTCTCTCCGGTCTCTGCTACACAGAGATCTGACAGGTTCATCACCGGGCACCGCCTCGATATACAAAATCTGCCTGCGGGCCGACCTTCACAGACCCTGTTATTGATAAGAAAATACCTCGCGCACGGAGATGAAACGAATTTGCGAAACAGAAGCAGGAGCACAGGCGGCGATGTCAGCAAGTACCATTTCCTTCTACACGACCTCCTCCAGTGCTCTGGGCGCGAGGCTGGACTCCTCGCCACAGACCTTCTCTCGGTCTCCCAATATGCGCCGCTTGCATGGCGGGGGCGTATACCTACCCGCTTCGGGGGTCAATCGTCCGGCAGGCGCGTCGTTCGGTACCTGGTTTGCCCCTCCCCCATCATCGGTCGGCAGCTATGGCGTCACGCCCGGTGAGCGTGCCATCATGCAGGAGGCGGACCAGCAATATGCTCAGCGCATGCAGGGCGCTGAGATGATCGCCTCAAAATCCTTCTCCGACCTCAGCTCCAGTGCAGCCTCGGAGTGGAGACCAACAACAAGCCAGCAGTACCACCGTCCGATGTCCACCGCCGCACTCAGCCAGCAGCAGCTTCGCACCTTTACCCACTCGAAGATGGTCTCGGCAGAAGACCGCCTGGACTCGCGGCCTTCTTTTCTGAGCTCCGCGGAGCCGGTCAGAGACGCCAGCCAAGCCCGCCAGCGGTTCTGGAGGCTGCGCGACGCGGATGGCACCTCGCGCGTGGTCGATTTGGGACGCAGCGAGGCGCTGCCGATGATCAACCCCGCCGTGCCAACGCTTCTTCGGCATCCCCGGAAAAACTCGTTCGTCCGCGAGCCTATGTCAGTCACTCAGGCGGACTTCTCCCTCAAGGCTGTGTGCGCCGCGTGAGAGCGGAGAGGCTCCTATACCACCTCCTTTGAGTGCATCGACAATTATCTAACAATCTCGCAGAGTATAGAGAGCCGTGGAAGCGATCGGATGCGAGAGCGGACTGGCAACTTGCGCGCGCTCGTCGAATTCTCGCGGACACAAGGCGAGATATCCGTCTCCACCGAGAGCCTGGCGAGACGCGCAGAGTTTTGTGGCGCGTGTTTTGAAAGGATTTCGCGTTCAGACACTCGGTGTCAAAGCACCCCAGGCACTCTTAGTGGATCGTCAACAAATAAGAAAAACCACACACGCAGACATCGAGACACAGCCACAGAGGGTGCTCGTCTGCTCGAGGCGGCGTCAACCCGCAGCGCGTGCGGGAGCAGCGAGAGCCAGCGTGTTATTGCTGCTTCATCTCGTCTCTGCCGACGCCCAAAGAGAAGCCCTCGGGCACCTCGAGCTGCCTCGCCGCCTCCTCGGCGTTCGCCGTGATTTGCGCCACCTGCCACACGAGCGGAGGCGGGAGCGGTGAGACAGCAATTTGGCGAAGGAGGGCGCAGTGGCAGGCTCACCTTGCGGCGCGCTACGCTGGAGATGAGAGCAAGCGCGCCGACGGTGGCGGCGAGGCCGAGGACGATGAGAGGCCACGGCGGGGCCGCGCCGTCGCCTTGCAGCACCTCTGCTATCGACTGCATGAGCGAGCCGAGGTAGACGCAAAAGACGCAGTTTGGGGCCGCGCCGAGGGCAGTGGCGACCAGATAGGTCGACGTCGGGACGGAGGTGAGCCCGAGCAAGTAGCAGTTGACCGGCGCCGGCAGAGCCGGGGAGAGGCGCAGCAGCACGATGAGGAGAAACGGCTGCTCATCGACGGCGGCAAGGACGCCAGACGCGAGCGGGTAGGAGCGGACCAAGCGAGTGGCGGTCGCGGAGAGTACACGGCGCGAGAGGAAGAAGGGGAAGAGGGAGCCAGTGAGGTAACCGGCCGCCGCCGCGGCTATCCCAATCTGCAGCCCAAAGGCGGCTCCAGCGGCGACGGAGAGGATCGAAGTTGGTATCAACAACACAAAGCCCGCAACCTGCATGCAGACGAGCAAGAGCGTGCCCCGGAGTGGCCCTAGCGCCTGCACGGCCTGCAGCAGCTTGAGAAACCTCGCAAGGATCGCCGCGCGGTGCTGGATACAAAGCCAGCCGACGGCGGCAGCGGCCGCTAGCGCGAGCAGCACGAGCAGCAGCCGTAATGGCCTCGCGAAGCGGCGCGGCCGCGGATGAAGTGGCGGGAGGCGAGGTGAGGGCTGGACCTCAATCGCGGCGTTAGGCGGTGGAGAAGGCGGCATGCGCCGATAGGTCGGGACACACTTGTGTATGAATTTTTGCCCGGCCGGGTATCATGATAGGGGTAGGTAGGGTAGGGTGTGGGCCCTCCAGTCGGAAAGAATTTTCCGCGCAAATCACGATGTCAACCCTCCCCAAATCCTTGATCTGGTGCTTGTATGGCTTGAGAGTGGCCTGCCATGTCACAGGAAGGACTGTGGTTGCAGGATAGTACCACCAGCCATCACTTTAGTTGGTATAGTACCCCACCTTCACCCATCCCGCCGCCTCCTGCTGCACCTCGTCCGGTAGATCGGTGTCATAGCCGGAGGAGTCGGCGGAGGACGCCCGCTTGGCGGGCGGCGAGTCCGGTGAGGGAGAGCGCGACTGGCGCGAGGGCCCGCCGCCGCGCGCCGACAGCGCGTTCTTGTCGACGAGCCGGGGTCCAGCATTGGCGCGGCCGCTGGCACTGCGGCCCTTGCCGCGCTGCTGCTGCCCGCGCTTCCTTCCCGGATTAGGGACAGTGAAAGTGCAGCCGCGCCTGCACGCCGCCGCCGCCGGCGGCGGCGGCACGCGCGCGGCGGCGGCCGGGCCCGCAGGCGCGGCGGGCTGGCCTCCCGCGGTGGCACCCTGCGGGTGCAATGCGGCTGCGGCGGCGTACGTCATGTTGGTCGCCGGCTCCGCAGCTGGCGGCTCGGCGGCAGGGGCTGGCGGCGCCGCAGGGCTCGCGCTCGCGGGCGGCTCCGTGGCCTGCGCCTGCCGCTCATGGCGGACCGCGCGCTCGAGCTGTGAGTGCGGGTGGAGCTGCACAATGACGTCGCCGCTCTGCGTCGCGGTGAAGGAGACCGAGTACGGCGCGTCGCCGTCGTTCTTCTTCTCCGCGTAGACGAGCGCGTAGTCGCACACCTGTCGTTGGTGGTCAGTGAATATGCTCTCCGTGCAGCGCTCGGCGGCGCCGACGCGAGCAAAATCACTGCCGTGGTGATACCTTAGCAACTTGTGCCGTTGTTGCGTCTTCCGTTGTTGCGTCTTCCCGCGCAAAAAAAGCAAAGAATTTCGCCGAAGTAAAATTCTTTTCGTCGCGAAGATGGCGGGCCGGGCCCAGGATGCTGCCATCGGTCATCGTATCCTGACGCCATCGTCATCGTCATCGTCAGGATATGCTGCTGATAGCTCTCCTCAGCAGCGTCAGTGGCGTGAGCGTGGTCTGGAGTGAGGCTGGGACCGCAGTCGGCCAGCCCGTCAGCGTCCTGCAGACCGACTCGCACCGGCTGCTGCTCATCGGCCGCGTTGTCGTCGGCGCAGAGTACCGGATGGAATGGGCGAGGGACCAGGCCGTCTTCTCCGGTATGGCGCTGATGCAGTCGGTCGGGTTCCTCACCGAGCCCGTCCCGCGGAGAGTGCTTGCGCTCGGGCTCGGCTCCGGCACTGCGCCTGCGTTCCTGCGCGCCCGCGGCATCGCGACGGACGTGGTCGAGATCGAGCCGAAGGTCATCGCCGCGGCGGAGGCCCACTTCCTCTTTGGCGAGCACCGTGCTCCGGGCAGCACGCTCTGCGCGGACGCCGTCGCTTACATGCGAAACGCGACGGGCGGTGCGCCCGCCTCGGCCTCGCTGCTGTACGATGCCATCCTGAGCGACCTCTTCGACGGTGGTCGCCACACCCGCCCACCGGCCCGCGGCTCGCACCGCGCCAGCCCGGCGCGAGATCCCACCCCCGCCTCCCGCGCCCCAAGGCGACAACCCGATGGGGCTCCTCGACGCGGACCAGCTGCGCGCCCTGAAGGCGGGCTGGCTGCAGCCGGAGACCGGAGTCCTCGCGCTCAACATCGTCGCCTTCCGCACCGGCCCGCACGCGCGGCTGGCGAGGGCCGTCGCCGCGACGCTCCGCTCCGTCTTCCGGCACGTCGTCGTGTACGCAGACCACGACCCGCGCGCCGCCGACGGCGACAGCAGCCTGCCCGGCAACCTGCTCTTCCTCGCGTCCGACACGGCGGTCGCGAAGCGGCTGGCGACGCCGCCGGACGAGGGCGACCCGCCAGAGTCGAGCTTCTACCTGCACGCACACTTCAAGGGCTGGGCGCCGCCCGAGCTCGCAGCTGCCGCCGACGGCGAGGAGGGAGACGTTCTCGCCGCGGGCAGCGGAGGAGGCGGAGAGCCGCCGGCGTGGCTGCGTGAGGCGGCGGCCGCCGTCCGCGCAGCGGTGCCGGAGATGCAGCGCGACGCGCTGCCGGCGGAGGGGTGGCAGGTGGTCGAGCGGCTCGTGGCGGAGCGCTCCGGCGGCACGGCGACGGCCAAGGAGGAGCTCCGATGACGGCTCACATGCGTCACGGCTGTGATCGGGCTGCGGCTTGCGCGCTTCCGCACCTTCCGGCGTCCGATCGAAGCGAAATATGTGTTTCTATTTCCCCCATGTGTGATTGTCAGCACGGCGGAACTCCCCGTCTCCGCAACCTCTCTCCGTCGTCAATGGAGGTCAAGCCCAAGGCGGGACGGGACGGATTCCCACGACAGACGGATCGGTGTGCATCACAACTGCGTGCCTCGAGAGTGTGCAGCTCGGTGCAGGACACAGACACAGAGAGGGACGAGGACGTCGTACTCGCGCACAGGCGGGCTCGTCTCGCTCTCAGCGAGAGGTGCTCGTCGCACCCTCAACGCCCTTCCCCGCAAGGCTCATTACGCGAGCGTACTCCTCGGCCTGTGCCCTCGCCTCCGCCCTGGATCGCTCCTCACGCACCCGCTTCATCGCTGCTGCTTTCGCCGCCTTCTTCGCCTCCTTCTCTTCATTGGTCTCGGCCGCGCACAAGCTCGGCGAGCCCAGGGCGAGAAACGAAGCAGTTGCGGGCGCGAAGAGGGCGCGGCGTGTGAGCTCCGGCGGCGCCGACACGCGCAAGGCTCGTGTGAGCTTCGGTGGTGCCGGCAAGAGCAAGGCTCGTGTGAGCTTTGGCGGCGCCGGCACGCGCAAGGCTGACGCCGACAACGCCAGCAGCGCACAGATCGCCCGCATGTCCAGGCAAATGAAGAAATAATGTTGCCCAGTTTTGTAGCCCGATGCCGATCATCCGGCCCGCTGGGTGCGCTTCTCAGCTCCCCGGCCCTGGATGTGAGGTTGATGACTGCACTCCAAGTGCTCCAAGTTTTGTTGCTGCGCAATCTCCCTTCTTTTGTGTGCGAGGGTTCGCGCTGCGCTAGGCTCAGAGCGAGTTCGCGCTGCGCTAGGCTCAGACGGCGAGTTCGCGCTGCGCTAGCTAGGTAGGCTGAGACCTAGCTGAGGGGTCGCGATTTCTTGTTGGTTTTCAAAAATCTCAAGAGAAGATCTCTCGGCTACGGGACCGGCCCCAGCTTCGGCTGAGGGCTAACAAGCTGCCGAGCCCAAATCACTGTGAGAGTCGTGATTTCTTGTTGGTCTTCAAATCTCTCTCTCTCAAAATCTCTCTCTCTCAAGCTGAAGATGTTCACGGGCCCTCACACGAAGGTGGGGAGCCCCGGGTCGCGGGTGGGTCTCTTTAGGTTTATTTAGCTGTACTCGTCTAGGCAGGGTTTGCTTGCTCGTTCGTCGTTGCTGGAAATTAAGACAACAACAAACGCTAACCTCTTTCTGGCCGCGTCGGCCCTCCTCTGTACCGAGTACACCAACTGAAGAAATAACGCAAGGCCCTCAGCGGAGCTAGGAATAGGACCGCCGCAAGCGGCGTGGCGTGGAGCGGTTGAGCATCCCTCCGGGGGGCCCTCTGCGCCGGGGAGGCGTTGTTGGAGGCTAGGACGCAAGCGTCCGTCGCCCTTTTCAAACTCGGGGCCCACTCCGTCCGCTACGCTCCGACCCGAATTTGGAGGGCCTAAAAGTTTAAGGTGTTGCTGCGCAAAAGGGGTCGGACACAGGTCGCAGCTCATGCCAAGAGCTAGAAGGGGAGCTAGAGAGAACGACTACCCTGTCCCGTTATTGCGTACACCAACACCACAAAAGCTCTCTCTCTCCTGTCCTCACTCAGGGGGGTCACAACTACCGAGTCCCTCGACTAGCTGCCACGTTGCCGACCGAGAGCGGATCTCCTCCTGCTCCGCAAGGAGGGTGGCCAAGGCTAAAGTCTTGCCGGAGCCGCCGGGCGCGTTGACGACTTGGAGAAGGTCGCCCTTGTACTTGTACTTGTAAGAGATGCTCGAGGGGGTGCTTTGTCGGACCGACGCGTGGCGGGGTAGCAGTGAGGGGAGGCGCACCCTCACTCTCCTCGGTTGCAGAGCTCGTCGGAGGCTGCGGCACGACGGGAGGGTCGCGATAGCAGTCCTCGGGCGAGCCGTGTCCAACCAGCGCTGGGACTCGTTGTGACGGCAGACGCCGGCTGCCTCTCCAACCGCTTCTGCAGCGTCCTTCTTTGCCCGGTGCATGGGCTCGATCCGATTCCGCTGCGTGTCGTCCCCAGCGGCGGTGCTGCGCGGGAGGCGGCCGCGGGCACGCCGCAGCAAAACTGACCCTAGGGATTCCCTCTCGGGGGTATACCGGAACTGATCGTGAAAACTCTCGATACGAATTGGTTTCGTTGCAGAGCATAACTCATAATAAGAGTCCCTCTGAAGTTTGCGCCCGGAGGCGCCTCTTTTTGCTCGCCAGCCCTCCGCTCAACGGCCGTCGCGCCTCGTCGTCCTCTGCTGCAGTCGCTCCGGTAATCAGGCCGAGAGTACCAGGGAGGAGGGGAGAAGAGCCCAGGGTGGGGAGAGGAGAAGAGCCCAGGGAGGGGGGAGGAGAGGAGCCCAAGGCGGCCTCCCTCTCCCTCCCCTCCCACCGGGCCTCCCTCTCCCTCTCCTCCCACCGGGCCTCCCTCTCCCCCTCCTCCCGCCAAGCACCGACAGTCTCGAGGGGCCAGCCGCTGGGGGAACCACCTCCGAAGGGGGGGTGGACGTACGCCGGCGGCATGAGGGCTTCAACCACACAGCTACCAAGGGAACGTGACCCACACAAAGCACCAAAGTCACACAGGCATACCCCCCGGCGCAGTGTCCCCCGCTATGTGTCACCGTTTGTCGGGGCACGCTATCCTGTGCAGTCAGGGCAAGTGGGGGCGGGGTGGAGTGCCCAGGCCTTTGTTTCCTGGGATTTCTCTGCCCAGTCCGGGGTTGCGTCGAACCTTCCATCACCCTGGGAACGTCCGGGTGTTGGAAGTAAAGATATATTACTTTTCGCAGCCGACAGTCTACCGCCTGCTAAAGAAGCACAGCGATGAATGCGGCACCGGCGACGCATGGGGCATGGCAGGCTGGTCATGACGCAGTTATAGGGTGTTGAGTGTTGTGTGCCGTCAGAGTGACTCTCTGTGTGTCAGGGATAGCCAGGGCCGTCCATCAGAGCTCCAGTAAGCTCGGAGACACCCCATTAGCGCGGCTCGACCTCTTTGAGTCACTGCCTTCCCGCGGTTTTGCTGTAGAGCCTCTACAACAAACTCTACAGCAAAATCGCGCTCTACAGCGCTCTACAACGCACGCAGTTCATCCCGCGCCGGATGTAGAGCTCTACAGCTCTACAGCGCTCTACAGCTCTACAGCTCTACAGCGCTCTACACTCTACATCCATCATCCTCTACACACTACACCCTCCCTCAGCGGGTGGTGAGCAGGTGGTGAGGGCATTGATTCGATCCTCGTGTTATTCGTTCGCGGTCACCCACGGACGATCGCTGGAGTGGGCCGAAGGACAGAGGCTTGCTTGTGTGGGGGCGCGCGGGCGCCCACTCAGGCTCTCGGCCTCCGTTGTCTCAGCCTTCAGTTCACCTCTCCTAGCGCCGACCGACCGAGTTCAGTGTGGTGACCTTCATTTCGGGGTCGAAGGTGCTACACACACTTGCCCCCTGGTGTTCTGGCATTCGGCGTTCTCCATAAGAGTTCGGTGCAAAAAGAAATACCAAATCCACAGTGCGATACTGTGCACATGTGTTAGCACAGTGTCATATGCTCGCTCTCACGCTCGCCGCCGCGCGCGCGGCGTACGAGCGCACGCCGCGGGCTGTCGTCATCAACCTGCCGCGGCATTCAAAGCGGCTCGACGCCGTGCGGGCGCAGCTGAGGGCGCAGGGCGTCTCTTGGGAGAAGATGCCGGCAGTCGACGGCAGAGCGCTGTCGAAGGAGGAGCTGAAGGCGAACGTGACGGTCCTGGGCAGGCATCTGCTAACACCGGGCATGATTGGCTGCTTCCTCTCCCACCGCGGCTGTTGGCGCCGCTGCGTCCAGTCTGGAAAGCCGCTGATTGTGTTTGAGGACGACGCCGTGCTCATGCCGTCCTTCCGCCGACGGCTCGCCGCGGCGCTGGCCGAGCTGCGCGAGGACGACGAGTGGGACGTCCTCTTGCTCGGCGCGTTTGGCTGCGTCCACCCGAGCGGCAGGTACGGCCCTCGTGACGTCTTTCGGCTGTTCGGCTTGGTGGGCGGATGGCTCTTCTGAGAGGCGCCGTTCTCGCAAACACACACTCAGCCCGTGTTCTCGACAATAGGTGGGCGGAGGGACGAGGAGGGCGGAGGTGCTGCCGGGCTCGGCGGGGCTGCACGTGCCGTGGCGCGCCTACGGCACGCACGCGTACCTCGTCTCGCCGCGCGGCGCCCGCAACGAGCTGCGGAGGAGGCCCTTCGTGCGTCAGCTCCCAAGTAGCCTCTTCACTCTTTAGGCGCCCGCAAGCTGCTCGAGAAGCTTCCGCGCGCCTGCTTCCACGTCGACAACGTCGCGTGGGGGCTACGGCCGTTGCGGCTGCTCTGCGTCCACCCGCTGCTCGCAAAGCAGACGCACAGCGACACGACCGTCGGCGGCCTGTCTGGAGAGGAGTGGATCCCGGCCTGGTTCAAGCAGGTGGACGACTACACGGGCGTCTCCTTCTCGTGGGCGTGGAATTGCCCGATGGTCCGCCTCGGCCGCGGAGGGCCGCTCGTGACCGTCGGCCGCGCCTTCGGCTGCAGCTGCATCGCCCTCACGGCGGCGGTGCTGCACGCCTCGATCACGCGCTCGCTCGCGCTGCTGCAGGCGTGGGCCGCCTCCGTCTTCGCCTTCGGAGCTCTGATCCGCCTCCTCTCTTCGCAACACAAGTAGTGAGTCGCCTCTGCCGCCCTCCACCCCTCCGACATGGCATGACGAAGACTCGAACCATCTCCCCGACGGCCTACTGGCGTGCATGTTGGATGCCCCCCCCGCGGCGCAAGGGAGGGTGGGGCGGTCGGTGCCGCACAGGGAGGCTTGCGCGCTTGTGCCGCCGCATTGCATGTCAATATTGCGGCACTTCTCCATTTAGCATTTTCGCGGCGGGGTGCGTCTATGCCGTTGTGTGGCGCCAGCCCCCACGCACCGCGACGCAGGTCGCAGGTCGCACTCGCTGCTCTAACCTCTATTTTTGCATTTTGGCTTTTCCATGTGTGCACGCGCTAGAGGAGCCGCAAAAGTGGAACAATGCTCCCTGTAGTACTGTGACGGGGAGCACTCTGAAAACTCCCAGCAGTGCACGTGTGTCGCCCATGTCAGCAACACCTGTGACCGCACCTCTCTCCTCTGCACCTCGCACCTCGCCACAGCCCACACCCCCTGTACACACGCCCTCTCGCTCTCCGAACGAGACGTCATGGGAGCAACCCAACACGCAAACACACCTCGGACTCGCACGGGGCGTGTGGCGGAGGCTACGGCCGAGCGGGAGGGGCAAGCAACCGTCGAAGAAGAGCCGCGACCTCAGTCCGCCTTGCCGGCCTTCGGCTTGGACGAGTAGAGGACGACAGACGACACGACGAGAGCCACCTGCGGGCGGAGAGGGCGGCTGGCCAGGGGGGGTGCGCTGCCTGCACGAAGAAGGCGCGTCGCACCCCTATCAGCAGCGAGGGCGCGGGGACGACGCCGGCGAAGGCCGCCGACACCAGCGTGGTGACGACGATGGAGGATGGCTTGGCGTACGAGTAGAGGATGTTGTCGGCGTACCTGAGAGGGGGGGAGGGGAGGGGTGGGGCGAGGCTGCGCGGGCGGACGGCGGGCGGCGGCAGGCGGCGCTCGTGGCGGGAGCGCGGTACGCGGCCTCAGGGGTCCAGACACGGCTGTCGTCAGGCGCGGAACGCTCAGCGGATTGACAGATTTCATGCTGTTCTCATCAGCGGCCGCGGCGCCAGCGGGGGAGCGCGGGAGGGGGGGAGGGCGCTGCAAGAGGCGAGGCGCGGCGAGGGCAAGGGCGCGGGAGCAGCCGGCGAGGGGTCGGCGGCGGGGCGGCGGCGGCGGGGACTGGGTGCGCACTTGAAGGTAGCGGGGATGAGGAGGCCGTTGAGCGCCTTGAGCAGTATGACTCCCCAGACGGCCGGGGTGAAGCCGTCGAAAGCGGCTCGCAGCCCGCCGGCCAGCCCGCCGAGGGAGAGGGAGGGGAGCGCGGCGGCGCCGGCGCCGGCGAGCAGCTCGCGACTCGCGCCCAGGATGCGCGCCACACCGATCCAGATCATGATCCAGACGGTGACCTGCACGTTGTTGACGTACTGGTTCTCGCCCTCTGTCTTGAGAACCTGAGCGGAGGGGGGGGAGAGGAAGTGTCTAGGAAGTGTCTAGGAAGTGTCTTGAGAACCTGAGCGGAGAGGGGGGAGAGGGGGGGGGGGGGAGGGTCAATCGCCGGGCTGGGCCCATCAATCGGCCGGCGGCCTGAGCCCTCTCTCGCGGCGCGGCTTCCCCCGCGCGGCTCTGCCGGCACGTGAACTCTGCCGGCGCGCGCCTTTTCATACGCGACGTTTGGCAGCGCCGAGATGAAGGAGGAGAAGAGGACGAGAAAGACGCCCCACAGGACGGCGGCGGGTGCGACGCCGGCCGCCGTCGCGGACGCCGACGCGCGCGCCAGCTCCTGCATGTTGACCGTCACCGCCCCCGCGATGAGCATCCCGATGGCGAGGACCTGCCTCAGCCGCAGCCGCTTGCCGACGAGGAGGAACATCAGGCCAGCGGTGAAGACGGTCTTGGACTGGGAGAGGACCTGGTACGCGACGGCGGAGAGGGCCGATAGCGCGTCGAAGTAGAGCAGGTTGTTGAACGTGTAGCACAGCGCGATCCAGCAGTTGCCGAGCGGCTTGGAGAGCGCCTCTTTGAAGACGGGCGCGATCTGCGACGCGCCGCCGCCGATGCTGCAGATCGCCGCCACGATGAGCGGGAATTTGAACACCTCGGAGAGCACCGCGACCGTTGCGCCAGAGTACGACGTCTGCAGCCGCGTCCAGCGCGTCAGCCCGTCAGTGGCGCACTTGTGCAGCACGAGAGCAATGAGCAGCAGCAGCGAGCGGTGGCGCACGAGCCAGCCTCCCGTGGAGCCGGGGCGGCCGGCGGCAGATTCGGCGGCGTCGGCGAGGAGGCTCGGCTCCTTCGCGCGCAGCCGTGGCGATCGGCGCGGCTCCATACCCACCATCACGGCGCGAGGTGCGCTCGCGGCAGACGCTCGCGCGGCCGCCACCGGAACCCGCGGCCCAACTGGTGACGCGAGAGCGACTGCGAGCGTTGCGATCCCGACGCCGACGCACATAGACGGTGCCTAGAATCAGGACGGTTAAACTTCACCAACCAGCCATGACGCTGCTACGGCGACAACCAGTTGCTATCGCGTGCCGCCAGGGCAGCTCGCCAGGTCTCGCTATCACGAGTGGGGAAAAAGGAATTTGACCTTTCCGGGGAAAAGGAGCGTAGCGTCGTAAATTGGTGATGTCCGAGGCGCCTCCCTTGGCCTGTCTGTTTTCTTTCTTTCTTTTTCCGAGGCGCTGCGCTAGGCTCAGAGCGAGTTCGCGCTGCGCTAGGCTCGGACGGCGAGTTCGCGCTGCGCTAGGCTCACAGACGGCAAACAAACGAGGCCAGGTAAGAATTTGGCGAGCCAACTCCCTCGCACAACACCAGGCACGGGACTGGCGGCCTCAGGCACAAACAGATAAAAGAAACCCGACGTGGTGATAAAAGAAACCCGACAGAAAAGAAACCCGACGTCTGTGGCCATGATGATGCCTCTAGGAGGGCCGCTTATCTCCGTGCAAGAGGCGCTGGGCTTCGGGCCGGAGCCGCCAAAGCCGCTTACGGCCAAGGAGGCTGAAGCGGCGGCGGAGGTTGAGGGCCTGACGCTGGCGCGGTCGGACAAGAGCTCCACTGAGCGTAGGCAGAGCCCACAGGTCGGACCTTGAGACAGCGTTGTAGATCCCTGGGCGAGGGTGGTGGTGTCCCCGTCGGGAGGGGGCTGTCGCAGTGGTGGTCTACCGTCACCCCGCCAGCGGCCCGGCGGGTTCGGCTTAGGCCTCCTCTGTTATTGCAACAGCCCCGTCGGAGGTAGACCGCTCGTCTAGCCGATCAGCCTTAAGCGAGCGGTCTGGCCGTTGGAATGGCCGAGTTTGGTGGACTTTACTCCGACTGTGATTTTTTTGTGCCAATAGCACTTGTGGGAGTTCGTACATACATGTACATGTTGTTGTTGTTGTTGTGCATGTGCAACATACAGACAGGCCAATTCACATAAGCACCAGCAGGGCGCAGCGCAGGCCGCCCCCGCGACAGCCCAAACGAGGGACGGGAGGAGGACAGGGTCCCCACCTGCACGAGCAGGATTTTGCTGCTTTGCCTTTCGGGCCGCGGAATTCTCGTTGTGAAATTCTTTTCAAGGCGGCCAGGCCCGTGTTGCATGCCTGGACGGACGAAGGCTGGCTCAGCCGCCTCCCAGCGCGGGCACGCTTCAGCGGCGGCTACAGCTACGCCGCTCGCGCTGCCGAAAGGGATCAAAGCGGCGGCGGAGAACGGCAAGGTCGACGTGGTGCAGACGTGGCTCAGCGGGGCTGGCGCGGGTTGACGCGACGTGCGTGCGTCGCTCCTCTCAGAGCGGGAACTGTGACGAAAGGTGACTGAGGCGGTTGTCAGGAATCATCATACGGATCACATGGTGACTCTCTCATGGGTGGCACTGCCACCGGTGTCGCTCGACGTCCTGTCGACAGCGTGCCGTCTGCCGACAGCGACACAACCATGTGGGACGCGTCGAGTATCGACCTCTACTGCTTATCCAGCCTTCGAGTGTATCCTGGCTGTGATCCCACACCCACTGGTGTCCATCTCAGAGACCGCAGGAGGTCATGAGGGGCGATGGGAGTGCCAACCCCAAAATGCCTTAAAAAACCGAGCCCAGTACTAAGGGCGTACCAGTACGAGCTCGTATAGTATTGGTATAGAGGCTAGAGCTGGGCGAGTGGGCTCCTCTTTTTCGTTTTTGTTCACACATTTTGGTGGTTGTTTACACATAAATAATGTTCGTGTCGTGCCACTTGCAGCGGCGGGCTCTCTACTCTCTACTCGAGCCGGAGCTTGATGTTGCCCCAGCCCACGACTGCCTTGTGCCGTTCGAATGTCTCCACGATCTCCCTCTGCAGCCGCTCGTGCAGCGCGTCCACCTCGGCGTCGCTCGGGTGCGGCGTGCGCGTCACCTCTATCGGACGGCCAAAGCACATGGTGATCGGCGTGCGGTAGGGCACCGGCAGGTAGCAGCGGCCCCAGTACACGAATATCGCCGCCTGCGCCGCCCGCGACAGCCGCTCCATCAGCCCGAACGGGTCGAAGGCGGCGGAGAAGGCGCGCGTGTTGCCCATTGAGTAGACGGGCATGATCGGCCGGCCCGTCCGCAGGGCGAGCTTCGCGAGCCCCTTGCGCGCGCGCAGGTACACGACCTCCTCGGTGGGGTGCTGCGCGAGGCGAAAGATGCCCGCAATGCCGTCGGGGACGATGCCGGCGCAGGCGCCCGACGAAAGAGCCTTTGTGATGTCGCCGGCCGAGGCAGAGACGCAGCCGAAGAGGGTGAGGTAGCGCAGGAAGGGCGTGAAGAAGACCACGCTGGCGGCGACACCCACGAAGCTCGCAGAGGTGCAGGCGTTGATGGCGGGGATGGACAACACGTTGGCGAGGGGAAGCACTCCATGAGGCGGGCCGCAGCCGACGAATGGTGCGACCGCCTCTCCGTGCTCTCCATCGTCGCCCGACCAGAGCCAGCGGTAGCTGAAGTATCTGTAGAGCGCGAGTGAGAGGCGAGAGCGTGCCAGCGGCGCAGCGACGTCAGGCAGCGGGTGCGTGGCGAGCGCGAGAGCGGTGGTCAGCCAGTATACGCAGTGCACCCACGAGCCGAAGATAATGCAGGCGATGCCGCTAGCCATGAGCACCACGGGCCCGCCCATCACGACGCTGAGGAACGTAAGGGCGAGAACGCTGTCGGCTGTGCTGAGCGGGGCCTGTGAATTCTGTGAAGCCTGCGCAAAGCCGCCCTCATCGGAGACGACGGTGTACTTCTCCTTTATGAGCTTGAGCCGCTCTGCCTCGGGCAGAGCGAGAACGGAGGGGGGCAGCGCCCAGAGATTGAGGCACTTCATGCGTACCATAGAGCCTGGGAAGGATCGCCAGTGTCCGTGCCGCTCGCCAAGGCTCGGATTCCCTTCCCCCCGCCCGGCAAGGGGGGACCGAGTGAGGCGTGGCAGTGCCTCGCCAGCGCCGCGGCGTGAGGGGGGAGCTAGCGCTGACTTCTGATTGTCGTTGCTGTCTCTCCGTGTGTGTGTGTGTGTCCCTTCTCTCGAGTGTGTGTCTGTGCTTGTTTGTTCGTCTTGGGTCCTGGGGTTGTGTTTTTGAGAGAGATGTTTCGCAATACCAAACAACTCTAACACTCACACGTCATTTGGGGCCTGGAGCCCTGGCAGACTGAAGTTTATGGTGGTTTAAAGTTTGCGGGGGGGGGGGGGGGGGGGTCAGCTTTGCGCGGTCGAATTCAATTTTGGGGGGGCCGGGGGACAGCCCTGGCAGACTGAAGTTTATGGTGGTTTAAAGTTTGCGGTCGGGGGGGGGTGGCCCGACAGTCCACCCCGTCCCCACCGTGGTGCATCACCGAGATGCTGTGCCGTGCCCGGTGCAAGGTGCCTCGTCATCATGCCCACACGAGTCATGGCCGCACACGAGCAGCGAAAAGAGCAGCGCTCTCCGATCAATCGCATCAAGAGCCTCAACCCTCTACGTGCTCGAGCAAAGGCGCCCGCGACCGGGACGGCGTCAATGAGCCCAAGTCCCACCTCCTCCCGGCCTGACGCGAGCAGCTCCACCTCGACGGATGGCAGCACGAGTCCCACTCCGTCTAGCACACCGACTGAGGGCACGGAGTCCAACCGTCAAGAACTTACGAGGAGGACCACTATCAAGCTGGCGCTACCCATGGAGGAAATCACGGGCTCGGAGGCCAGCGTTCGACAGCGCGCTGCTCTCGAGCCCTAACCAGGTGGGCGGGCGCACCGGGCGTCGTCATGGGCGGGAAGCGGCTGCGAATCAGCATCTTGGGACTCGTCGCTTTTGTGGTGGGACAGCACACGCATCAAGACGTCGGAGGTACCGCAAACCTCGAACGTTCCGTGTACATACTATCATTCCATGGGCGTGGGTGTATCATGTTTTTGTCTCTCTCTTAACTTACTGTGCTCTGACCTCTGTGGGCAGCAGACGTGGGAGATTAAAAGGATTACTTTCTGTTGTCTGGGAAGAGAACTATTTTTCTCGTGACTTCGGTGGCCAGCTCGAAGCCGAGCTGGATATCCATGGACGAGAAAAGATTTTTACAACAAAACTCCCGTGCGAGAAAATAACTCGCGATGGGCGGCGGTCCGCAACGAGAAGGACGTCCCTGAGTGTTGTCGTCGGCTGCGCCCAAGATAGTTGCGGACTGTCTACTGTGAGCGCATCGAGTTGGTGGTTCGACAGAGTTTTACGCCATGTACAGCGTCGACGTTCCCAAGGGTCTTACCGAGGGACAGCAGTTCAATGCAGAGCTTGGTGGCACCACATTGCTCGTCACCGTGCCACCGGGCTACTCGGGCGGGATGTCGCTACAGCTCAAGGCGCCCCCAGCAATGCCCGTAGTGCAGGGCACCGCGGTGGTCGGCGGCGGCTCCTTCAAGACGGGTGTCTTTGACTGCTTCGACCACTGCGGCGAGGGCGGAGGCTCCGTTTGCGCCTGCCTCACCGGCATGTGCTGCAGCTACATTGCCGTCCCGCAGGTAGCGATTCGCAGCTCTATCGAGCCATCTTGACTGTCACGCGTATCCGATTTGCGCCCGCAGGTCTACAGCCAGGTCGCCAAACAGACCGGCGACCGTCAGGGGAGCAAGGTGTGCTCTCTCTCAGCAACCTCCCAGTTCCCATTGGGCGCACCTCCTTCCCTCTCCACCATGTAGTACTGCAAACTGATGGTCATCGTCTTTGCTCTGGTCGTGCTGGCCTCCACCATCACGTCCGTACGCTTTAACATGTGCGTCTATGACGCCGCCTCCTCCTGCATGCACGACGCGGACGCCGGCTTGGCCAAGCCACCGCCGTCGCCGCCGTCGCTGTCGCCGTCCACCTTTGGGGAGATGGCGTCCGTGTGCGATCCCGACTCCATGACGGAGGAGGAGCTAATGGCGTGTAGCTTGGGCCTCTTCCTCGCGGCAATCAAGGAGGGTGAATGCACCTATGAGGACTCGGTCGGCGACGGGGAGGAAGATCCTATCGTGTGCTTCGACTGCACCGTGCAAGGCCTTGTGGCTCGCTGCGGCCGCGTCGCCACCAGTACCGTGAACGCCGTCTTCATACCATTGGGTGTGAGTAGGCTACGTTCAGTGCACGCTTTCCCACCAGTGGCTGTTCCGGGCCATCTATCAGCTCACCGTCATTGCGGGCCTCGCGATCTTTGTCCTGCTGATCCTCGCGCGCGTCAAGCACCGCAGCGCCCGCGGCATTCCTGGCAACCCGTGCTGCGACTGCTGCTGCACTCGCTTCTGCATCAGCCACTGCTGCAGCGGGAAGGAATGTCGCTTCACACCTCTAAGATGCTGGAGTAGGCGTCTTCTGGTGCTCTAGCTGTGTCACGTGCCAGATGATGCGCGAGACGGAGCTGAGCACGCAACCCTACAGCACAGATCCATCCATGCCCTACACCATCTGCCTCGACCCAGGGGCGGAGGAGGCATCGCCAGCAGCCGTCAACGGAGCGCCGGGCTCCACCCTCGTGTGATTGGTTAGCGCCCCGGGGGCCTAACTGATTCACCCACCACTAAGCAAGAAAGAAGGAGCGTCACTTCGGGGTTCGTCGTGCGTGTCTCTACCCAGAGGAGACAGATCCGCCTTGTAGAACGGGAAACGATCGCGTGAGTGCTTCTTTTAAAGGAAGAAAACTTCTTTGCGAGTCCAAGAGAGCTCGTTTTTCTCAGGCGCATCCGTTTCGTTCAAGTGTGTGTCCGAGCGCCTCTTTCACTCGCTCTGCAGGCGCCAATGGTCCGTTGCATTGAATTAGTGTTTTTGTGTATCGCGCGCCTTGCGGGGGGGGCGCGGGAAAGAGGAACCTCTTAGCGCCATCGCCATAGTGCTGCAAGCAGCGCCGGGCGACGACGGCTCTTTTCATCTCTGTGCTCTGCCCCTCTGGGGCCTGGTGGACGAAGGACTCCCTCGAACACACAATGTTGCCGCTCTGCCTTCTCCTCTCCTGGCATGCGCCACAGCGCATACGCGACGCGCCGCTGCGCATGTCAGCCGCTGAAATGCGCTGGCCTCTCCGCAGCCGGAAGCACGTCGAGCCTGCGACGCCTGAGAGCACGCTGCGCCTCGAAGCCGCCAACGCTGCGGCCGCAGCCTTTGCGCCCGGCACTGCTGCGGTGCCGCGGCGGCGGCGTTTGGAGCGCGTCGAGCGCAAGCGCGCGTCGAAGCGCCGCTTCGCCATCCGAACGACGCAGGCCATCAACACCCTGATGCGGGTCGCGCTGCCGACAATCGTTGCCTCGGTGCTCGGGCTGCTCTACTTTGACAACGTATCGCTCTACATCCGCTCGCTGCTCGACGTCGGCGCGATCGGGATGCTGATGGCGGACGAGGCGCAGTTTGTGCAAAACTTCCTCACCGTGATCGGGCTGCTCTTTTCGATCCTCGCAGGGAACGCCTACTCTGCCCTCTACGAGCAGCAAGAGGCAATCTACTTTGCCCTGTTCCAGGAGGTGTCGGAGGCCAAGTCGCTGCTCGAGCAGACGACCCTCGTCTGCCAGGGCCGCCCCTTTTACCAGGCGGCCCTCCACTACATCCGCCTGTACGTCAAGCGAGACCTGAGGCAGCTCGACGTGCCGCCGGCGCGGGCACTGAGAGAGAGAGAGAGAGGCGCGAGACGTGCCTCCGGCCCGGCCCGCCGCCCTCGGGAGATGGCCTCGGACCTAGAGAGGGAGGGGAGGGGGAGGGACAGCGCGGAGGAGGCTACCGCGCGCCTGCCCACGCCCTCTCTCTTCCTGCCCCAGGCGCAGCTCCTCTCCTCCAAGCCAATGGACGACCCTCTCGAGTCGATCATGTACATCACCTCGGTCGGCGTCCCGTCCGTCGTGTACGAGACGGTCAAGAACCTGCGCCAGGCGCGCGGCTGACGCACGACACTCCCCCGACCCGTCCACGACCCTGACGCGCCTCTGAGCCGTGACGCGTCCATGACACGTCCACGACGCGCCCCTGAGCCACCCACGGTGCGCCAGGCGCGCGGATACCGTCTCGGCGCGATGCAGCGCAAGTTCCCCGCACTCGGTGCGCGAGGGGCGGTGTGCTGCCGCAGCTCTCTGCCGTGCCCCGGGCTCACTGCCCCCGGCGCGTGTGTCGCTTGCAGGGATCGGCCTGCTGTACCTGCTCGCGATGATCGAGCTGCTCGCCTTCCCTCTGCTCGGGGCGGGCTCGGCGGGCAGCGCCTCGATCCTCACGCTGCAGTCGATCCTGTTCGCCTTTCTGTGCGGCGCGCACGTGCTCGTCCTGCGCATCATCCAGGAGCTTTGGCAGGCGAGCGGCGGAGTCTTCAACGTGGACGAGGTGCTGCAGCAGATGGTCTTTGGCCTCGAGGAGGCGCCGCACCCTTACCTTCGCTCGCACGCACACACACGCACGCACACACACACACACACACGCACGCACGCACGCACGCACGCACGCACGCACACACACGCACGCACGCGCACACACACACACACACACGCGCACACACACACACACACGCGCACACACACACACACACACACGCGCGCGCACACACACATACACGCACACACACACACACACGCAGGCGCAGGCGCAGGCGCAGGCGCAGGCGCAGGCGCACGGCTCGGCCGCCGCGCCGCACAACTGCTCACGCCCTCCTCTCAGGAGCTCGAGCTGCGTTCCCGCGCGTCGGGCTTGCCTCCCGTCTCGCCGCTCTCAGCGAGCCTCCCTCCCTCCTCGATCCGCGCAGACGGCCTCACCCCGTGGGGGCTTGTCGCCGGCCGCGCCACCGGCCTGGAGCTTCCCCGAACACTTTCGCGGAGCCTCCCTGTAGGTGGGACCCTGTCGCCGACCGGGGCACCGGCCGGATGCAGCAGCCGCCGCCGCAGCAGAGCGAGATCGACGAGCTGCGCGCCGAGCTGCGCGACGCGATCGCGCGCGCCGAGGCGGCGGAGGCGGCGAGCGCAGCTTCGGGCGCGCGCGGGCTCTCTGCGCCGCAGATCATGCGGAGGGAGCTGTCGAGCCAGCCCGCGCTGGCGAGCCAGCCCACGGGCGGGCCGGCGCTAGGGACGGAGCAAGGCGCGCCCCAACCTTGCGCACTGCCCGCCGCGACGACGCCCCCTCACCCTCCAGCCCCCGCCCCTCCCCGCGCAGTGGCGGCCCACCATGCTTCGGGGGTTGGCGTTGCGGCGGAGCAGCCGGCGGAGCACTCGGCGGCCGCGGCAGAGTCCACGTGGCTCGGTTTGCCGCCGGCGCAGGACGGGGAGTCCGCCGAGGAGCGACGCCGCCGCTTGGCGCGCCTAATCTCGAAGCGACGGCGCGTGTCGCTTCTCGGCCGAATGCGGCTCGGGATGATGCGTGCCGTGCAAGCTATCGGCTCCTGACCGAGCCGGCTCCGTGCGCGTAGTACAGAGTCTGTGTGAGCGGAGTGCGAGGCGACTCTCGCGGAAGCCTGTCTGGAGTCGTGGGGGGAGGAGGGAACACCCCGAGCGCTCCATGCCTTCTAGTCTTCACGGAGAAATTCTTCAGAGTCCGACGTGTTGTGTACGCGTTATACTCTACCGCCGACAGTACGCGCAGGTCCCGCAGCGCACATACTCCACATAGAGCCGTATGTTTATGAGATTATGTAAAGCGTACGGGCTACGGCGCGGAGAAGGCGGATGATCGTACGACATGAACGCGACGCGGTTGCTTCCCCCAGGATTAGTCTTCTCTGCCTGCGGGAACAGCGAACACCCTCGGGCGGCCGGGTGGAGCTGCGGCTGGAGCTAGCACATGGCTCGATAGAGCCGAGACCCTCTGGGGGGAGGCGAGGGCCCTAGGGGGTACCCATGCGGGGGGGGGATGGGGTCCCCCAGCCCGCCGCAGGCGCCGATTTTTGACCGCAGCGAATATGTTCACACCTTGAGCGGAGGCCAATTGATTCGCGAGACTCCGGCAAAAAGGGGGTTGGCAACGGGCTTTTGCGGACGCAAGCCTTCAGCTGGTGCCAAAACGTACCAAAACGTCCGTCCCGTCGACCAAATACGCGGTCGGTAGAAATGGCTTGCTTGCAAGAATGGGATGCCGACAGGCGTCAGGCGGCGCATGCCGAGAAGTCGCTTGCCGTGCGGGAGCTCGTGCGCCTCTCCCTGCGCGTGCAGTCCACGGGCGTCGTCGCGGAGCTTCATCTCGACACGGCACTGGTTGCTCCGAGCGGCAGCGGAGCTGATCACGAGCGACGAATTCGCCGGGGATGCCAGGCAACAGATGGGCGCGCAGATAATTGGCGTGTGGCGTCCTAAACAACGCGACCGACGAGCATGCTCAACTGCTGCGCGACGCTCTCTGCGACCCCGACTTTTGTATGCGCTTTGCCATTCGCCGCCGCATTGGCTCAGGGGGCACAGTCCGCTTGCAGTGGCTCTTCCGCACGAATAGCGTTGTTGGCCGCACGGAGGAGCAGGTGCGATCGCACATCAACCTACCAGCGGCGTCCTACGAGGCGGCGTACTGGGTGGAGCGCAACTTGAGCAGCTATGATGAAGTGGTGCGGGACGTGATTTACTTGCGGAGCGGGGCTTCCTTCGAGCGCGAGGCGGAGGCTCCAGCCGCGCTGCACCTTGTGGTGCCGCCCGAGTTGGACAAGCGTGGCTATTGGAAGGGTACTGGATTCATTCACAGGTGTGTATTGGCTGCAGCCCGGCCAGCCAGTGTACGGCCACCCCATGACCACTGGTCGCCTGCAACATGTTCGCCGGTTGAAGGAAAGACATAGGCTCGCTGCGACGCTTCCCACACCGGGATCTCTTGCCCGTAAGTTGTGACAGCCCGTTGTGGATCGCGCACGCGCGCCGCAGCTCGCCGCACTTGCTTGAAAGTGAGACCCGGCAGCTGTGGCAGCAACGCCTCGTGAATTTTCTTGTCGCTGAGGTACATGTATCCCCTTTGCTGCGTCAGCCCCTTCACGGCAGCGAGTGCCTCTTTCGAGGACGGCATGGCGTCAGGATGTTGTTCACGCCAGCGCTCACGGGCGATAGTCAATGCAGACCGGACTGCAGATTGATGCGACTCCCCTAGCGCTGTGCTGCAACGGTGGTGTGATTGACAGGCTTGCCGTGCTGCTCGAACACCTCGTACACGCGATCGACTAGCCTCAGCTGTACCCGATGCGGCATTTGTGGCCCCGAAAGTGAGAGCACTTGCTCACGCTTTTCGTTGGTCCATGTCATCGGCGGCGGTAGCGGAGGCGGCGGCGGAGGAGGCGGAGGCGGTGGGGGCGGAAGGCGCGCGTAGCTGACGGCATCGGCTGCTTTGGCCTTTGCGAGCGCCTCGTCCTGAGCCAGCATCCCGGGGATGTCAAGCCGATGCCGTCCTTGCAATAAAGACTCTGGAGAGCTCGTCTGGCTCGGGAGGGAGCGGAGACGGTGGGCAGCGAGCGAAGTGGGTGAGACTGATGATGCTCCTTCGACTTAGGGAGCGGTTCAGCTGCTGGGCGGGCTTCAGGCTGGTGCTCACGCGAAAAGGAATCGACGCGATGTACAAAGCATACAAGAAGAGGAGAAAGAAGAGGAGGGACGCCAGTGATGACGAAACAGAAGCTAGCGCAGACGAGGGCAGGGCAGACCCGGGGACGGCGGAGTCGGAGCAGACGGCATCGGCCGCCGAGGAAACGTTGGGAAGAGGCACGAGGAGGGCGGCGACCTCGACCGACTATGGAGGACCCGTCACCAGACGACGCAGGGCAGACGACGGGGAGGCGGAGCAGACGCGCAGGGCGAGACGAGGGAGGGAGCAGGATGTTGCTGAGATCAGCAGGAGGATGTACGACGAGATTAGGAGCAGCAGGGACCCGAGGGACCATGTGGAAGACGGCTAGTGCTAGTCCCCCATCGGGAGGACGACCCCGGCGTTGTCCGAGAGGATGACGGTCGGTCCGGTCGGCGGGGCGCCGAGGGCGACGAGGACCTCGCGGGCGTATGCGACGAGCTCGCCCGCTTTGGCGCTGGCGATGGCCTCGCTCTCGTGTGAGGAGTCTGCTCTCGGCCCACCGCGTGAGGATGTCGTTGTTGACCTCGGCGGTGCCGACGAACTCGTGGTGCTGGCGCGGCGCGATGATGAACTTGACCTTGAGCTCGGATTCGCACCAGCTCTTCAGCGCAACGAGGTCGGAGCCGGCGTCGACGATGAACACCTTTGGTTCGTGGCCGGCTCGCTCGGCGTCGCTATGCACCTTGCGCATAAACGGCTTCCAGTCGTCGGTGGTATGCCTCCTGGTGGTCTCGGTGTACCCGTACGACGTGTACTGACAGACGCCGTGGAACTGGTAGGTGTGCCCGTTCAGGGCGGACTCGGCCTCGGTCCTGCCAAAGCCGTCGAAGATAAAGGTGTGCCCCGCGCACGGCGCCCGCTTGATAGTCGGCGTGCTACGTACGGGCTTCTTCTTCGAGCGGGAGAGGGCGAGGAAGCGGTCCCTGTCGATGACCTCGGCAGCGGCTCGGCTGATCTTGTCGATGTCGATGCCGCTGACGCAGCGCGAGATGCTAATCACGCCGTCGGCGTCAGTGTTGAAGCGGGCGGCGTGAAGGGCTGCCTGGTCGGTAACCTTGAGCCTGGCGGCGGCGGCGACTGCGGCGTTCGCTTCGAGCTCGACGTCGGGCGTAGGCGAGACGTCGAAGGTCACGTAGTACAGGCCGTTCACGCGCTGGATCGGCGTCTCGCTGCCGTCTTTCCACGTGATGCAGCGACGGACAGTGGAGACGTCGGCGCCGTACATGTCCTCGAGGTAGCTCCCGGAGATGATTGACCGGTTGATGTTGTCGGAAAACACGGCGCCGCGGAGGTCGATGGCGTGTCCGTGTCCGTGTCGAGGTGTCGAGGAGTGGTGTCGAGGGTGTTGAGGCCTCGAGGGTGTCGAGCGTGTCGAGCGTGTCGAGCGGGTGTCGAGTGTTGTCAAGGTGTTTAGCGTCTAAGGTGTCGAGGTATCCAAGGTGGCAGCCAGGATGCAGTTGCAGCCCATAACAAAACTTGGGCCGCAGCTGCAAAGGCCAAATCCCTTAGTTGCAGCCTCTCAAAGTTGCACCCCTGTTGATGTAGCACAACCTGTGTGTGAGCACAACCAGTATACTCTGTGTGGACATTTGAGGACATCAAGCTCACTAGTGCCAGGAGTCATTGCCACTGCACAAGGTGCTGTGCAGGCGCAGCACCTAAGGCTACAGCACACCCCATGCAGCAGCGTCGCCGCTGCAGCGTTGTCGCCGCTGCAGCGTCGCCGGCGCACAAAGCGCAACTGACCACAGCGCTCTTGGCACAGGCTGGTGCCATGAGTCAGTGGACATTGCCACTGCACAAGGTGCTGTCCAGCAACAAAGGGCTACAGTACCCCATCGCAGCAGCGTCGCCGCCGCTGCCAGCGTCGCCGTTGCAGCGTCGCCAGTGCACAAAGCGCAATGGACCACAGGTCTGCACTCATGGCACAAGCTCACTGGTGTGAGGATTCATTGCCACTGTACAAGGTGCTGTGCAGCACCTGAGGGCCACCTGAGTACTGCCATGGTTGCTACATTGGTCATTGCAGGGGTGCAACTGAGCTGCAACTTGAGCTAGAACTTAAGAGGCTGCAACTGAGGGATGAAAGTACTGCCAGCCAAGTTTGATTGCTGCTGCAACCCTGATTTTCTAACTCTGTGACTCCAAATGGGTCTTCTCTACGTCTCTGCTGTGTTAGGATCATCAGAGGTGACGAGGTGGTGTCGAGCGGTGTCGAGCGGTGTCGAGAGGTGTCGAGCGGTGTCGAGCGGTGTCGAGCGGTGTCGAGCAGTGTCGAGCGGTGTCGAGGTGTCGAGTTTGGCACCTTGACACGGACGAGCATGGTCCCAGCCTAGATGGTGTCGAGGGGTGTCGAGGGGTGTCGAGTTGGTCGAGTTGGCATGGGGTGTCGAGGTGTCGAGTTGGTGTCGAGGTTTGGTGTCGAGGTGTCGAGGCCAGGGCTCAGCTAGGGTGCCCACAGGACCCAAAAAAAGAAAAGAAAAAATGGTGATCGCAGCACTTCGTGTTGGAGAGTCGAGATATTGAGAGTGTGACTAGGAGGGAGGGACGCTGGGGATTCTCAAAGGTATACCCTTGGAATGGCCGGATCCAGCCTTAAAAGTACGAGATCGCGCGCGCTTCGCGCGCTGCACCGCCTGTTCTCCGCGGCTGTGTGACGACGCGTGCCGTGTGCCAGCAGAGTTGGGCGCGCGCGGCGCGACGGCGCCCGCGAGGGAAGGCGCGGGTGCAGCGGCCGCCGGCGGCCGTACCGCCCGCCAGCCGGCGCAGCAGCGGCCATCGCAGCGGCCACCGGCGCAGCAGCCAGAGCAGCCGGTGCGCGCCTTGCGAGGCGAGTACTGCCGTCCGGCAGCCTTGAGGCGGCCGGGCGGCAGTACTCGTTCGAACTTTGCGAGCCGTGCGCGCGCCGAGGCGCCCGCGGCGCGCGCCCGCCCGGCTGCCAGTAGGAGGCGGCGCAATATGGCCTATAGTACAGCCCTTGAGGAGGAGGAAGAGGCTGGCTGGCAGTGCTGTATGCCGCCGAGGGGCAGTTTTGGGGTGCTGTCCCCATCCCAGGGGGCTGCAGAAGGCGTCCGCAGCCGGGACAACCCGCCCCCCCAGCCGAGGCCGGTCGAAGCCCACTTGGTCACAGCCATGAGGAGTCCTCTTGGTGCTCCTGGCGGCCGTTTGAACCTCGGGCGCGCGCCGATGGGGGGGGGGGGGGGGGTCTTGCTTGCTCCACACCGAGCGCCATCGGTCCGGACCGGCGTGACCACGAGGGGTGGCCTGCACAAGGTCTGAGGACTGAGCCGCGGGCGCTCGGCGCCAAGTGCAGTGTCACGCTCGCGCTGGAGCGGGACACAATGGGGAACCCTCGTTTCCTAGTCACTCGGTCCCCCAACGGAAGAGGCCTCGCTCCTATTGGAACTGGCCAACATCAGATTTGCCGCGTGCGTCCCTTTTTGAGGCGGAAAGCTATTTTCTTCTGGGTCCTGTGGGCACCCTAGCTCAGCTTGTGGCGCGCTGTGTTTTTTGTGACCCACCCACCTCTCCCTTGTGTTTTGTCTGGGGAGGGGCTTCTCCTGCGGAGTCGTGCGTGCACAGGGCTCCTCTTTGCTTGCTTCTACTCCCTACTCTATCATCTCGTTCCCGTCCTCTACCAGAGAAGAGTTCGAGCGACGCCCGAGACGCCGGAGCTCCCCGGACCCGCCGCCACACACCACACACAGTGAGAGATTTCGTACAATCGTGTGCTCACGTCGATTTCACCGCCGTGCGCGCATGCGATGCGCGCCAATACAGTTGGAACACACGATGCGCGAACGCGAGACGAGATACGTGGTGTAGATCAATCCACGGTGTGGTCCCACTCTGCGGAAAAGCCGCGGCACAGCGTGGGACTGGGAGGGGCGCGAACAAGCGACGGGCGCGGGCCAGCACAGAGTCGAGGTACACGGATATGTGGAGCTCTCTCCCGACAGTTTCGATCACGCTAAGCTGGACTCACCAAATGCTCTGGTGGTGCCGTCTGGCCGGCTCCTGGAGTCCTGCTCGTGCTCACGTTCTGTGGTCGCCGCGCTGAGGCTTCCACACTCCGCGCCGCAACCGCTCGTACCTCCGCCAGCCGCTGTCAAAGTAGCGCCCACGAGACCGGATCCTCGCTCGAGCTGCAGCGCTATGTGCGCGGTCACGGCCTCCCGCTCCTGCGCTCGCGCCAGGTGCACTCGGCACTCCTCCAGCCGCAGGCCCAGCGACCGGACCATCTCCTGCAGCGTCTCGACCTGCCCCACACTCAGGCCGTCCAGGTCGCCAAGAAAGTGCCGGAGCTGCAAGTTCGCACTCGTGACTTTGGCTTCGCGTGCACAGAAGGAGCTCCAGACGGCGCTGGGGTCATCAGCCGTGACACTCGGCCCGGAGCCCGCGTCGCCAGCGCGAGCCTCTGCCGCCCGCTGTGCTCTGCGGCCGGAAGCGCCGCCGCGGCGACTGCGATCGGCCGCTTGATTGGGTTCCATGCGGTGCCACCCCCGAAGCTATCCTCTCTCACCCAACAACAAAACGCGCTGCGGGGTTCGGGCTCCAAGTCGTCATGGGAGGGGTGACTCGCGCCTCCAGTGGCAATCACCTTTTGAGACGCCGTCGCCAACTGTCATGTCGGTAGCCGCTCTGCACCGCTCGCTGCTGGAGCGCGGGCGGCGGCGCTACAGCGAGACCGCAACTTTTGGCCTGGCATGCTCCTCTCCGACTACGACTGGTCGGAGAATGGCGTGATTGCGTCGGCGCGGCAGATCCAGTCAGAGTACTGGAGCCTAACCTACTACTCTCTCTTCATCCAGATCACCACCTATCTCGTCTCCTCCGCATGGCTCGACCGCCGCTCACTCCTCGCCGTCGACACCGACGGGGAGGTCGGGGAAAACCCCCGTTCGGCTATCTACTTACACACGACCAGGGTGTATCCGCAACTTTGCTCAGAGGGAAAGGCTGTGTGAGGCCCTTGTTGTGTGTGTGGGGGGTCGATGTGGGGGGGTGGGCGAAGCGCTCTCCCCCCCTCCCTGTCGTCGCGTGTCGTCGTCATCTGTCTCGCGTCCACCCATACCGCGTTGGTGTCCAATCCGAGCTTGACTGTTCTTCACCTTCCTACCTAACCTAGAAAAACCTACCCCCCCTGTAATTGAACCAACGTTCCAAAAAAGAAAAAGCGCGCGAGACGGCGTCGCGGGGTTGGCGGAGCCGCTCGCGTGAAATGCCATCGCCAATGTGCCGAAGTGGCGCGTCCACGGTTGGAAGTTGTGGCGGTCGGCGGCGGCAAGGCACAGTCCGGCGATGTCGTACAGCAGGACCGCTCCGGTGGGGGCGCGGGTCGTCGCGTCGCACACGTCGCCCCAGAGGACGGCGGTGGTGTTGACGCCGTGCAGCGCCACCGTGGTCTTGAAGGTCGTGTCTGGCCAGGCCACCAGAGGCAGTTCCTCGGCGGTGTATATCTTCGGATTGGGGGCCTGGGCAGGCTCCGTGTCGTTTAGCCCCTCCGCGCGGAAGAAGTCTTCCGGGTGGAGCTCGCACTCCCCGAGGGTCGCCTCGTCCGCCTCGGCGTGGAAGCGCTCGACTAGCACGAGCCACTTCGAATAGGAATCGATCTGGGAGATGTCGTCGGGCTCCTTGGAGATGAAGACGGCGAGCTTGGGCGCAATGCGCTGAAACGCCGCGGGTGTGATGACCCATTCGGCCAGCGGCAGAGCCGCGGCTGGATCTGTCATCTTCCCGGCCGGGAGGACAAGCTTGGCAATGGCCTTGTAGGGCAGGTCGGTGGTCGTTGAGAAGCCCATCGCGGAAAGCACTGGCTTAAAGTCGTCGATGCCCGTGCAGGTCATGCTTGCTTTTCCGGTCGGGCCGGCCACGTGTCTTGCGTACTCCACCGAGCCGATCGATGTCGTGGGTCGCGGTGGCGTGGCGGGTGAAGGAGAAGTTCATCATCATAGCGAAGGTGAAGAGGAGCGTAAAGGCGTGACGCGTGTCTGCAATTGTGTGTGGGCGAGACGCCAGAAGCCCGCTTTCCAAGCAAGTTCATTCCAAAAAAGAATTCATTAGCCTCAAAGCACAAAAAAGAAAAGTCGGAGAGTCGACCTCAGGCACCTCGACCCTCCGAATTCGCCATGTTCGCTGCCCTTCTGGCCTCGACCGCTCTTCTCACGCCTGCGCCGGCCCAGTCGCGCTCGGCCGTGACCACCGACGCCAGCGTCAGCCGCCGGAACGCCCTCCCGCTCTTCGGTGCCGGCGCCCTTGCGCTGGCTGCGGCCCCTCGTGTGGCGTTGGCGGACGACGATGCCATCGCCGCCATCGCCGCTCGCGCCAACGCGGCGGCGGCGGCCGAGCGCGAGGCCAAGAAGCCCAAGCCCCTTCGCAACGACGAGGAGAGCTCGTTCCAGGTCGGCGGCGTCCTCGTCGCTGGCGTCGCCCTCTCGGTCCCCTTCTTCTTCAAGAACCTCCAGCGGCTGGGCACCAAGGTGCGGCTCCCACGGCATTTCTGTAGTTCGTCCACCGCTAGTCCACTAGCCTAGAGACTCCGTCCCGCCGTCTCGAGGCCATCACCCCCTTCCCCGTCTCCTTAGATTGCCTCCGGCGGCAAAGACGACGGGCGTGGCTGACGCGGCCGCGTCATTTTCAGAACATGCCGAGACAGGAGGGCAGTGGAGCAACGCGCACGAACGCAATCGCAAGCTCTGCTTTCCAACTGTTGGTCGGATCTCCGTCCCCTGCGAGGCCTGGTGTAGAGACTGTGAGTAGTCGCGAAACGAGATACCCCGCTTGTTCCGTCACGTCGTGCTATAAGAGTTAAGAGAATAGAGAACGCGCTCCCCGCGCGCGGGGCGAACAACCACATTGAGTCCAGCTCGCCCACGACACGCGCACACATTGGTCACTGCACGCCACGCCCGCGGCACGCGGCGACGCCCCTCGCCCCCCTGCCCCCAGCGGCCCAGCGCTTCCACGCCGCGCCAGAAGTTGCAGAGAGAGAGAGCAGAGTGAGATCATCAGACCTCCCAAACTGGCACTGGCCACTGCCGCGCCCCCGCAGCCCCGTCCGGTCGCGGTCCCCCCCCCCCCCCCCGGACGCAGTGTCGCAGAGCGAGGACCCAATCCGAGCTTCGAGCGCATCGAGGAACCCACGCCACACCCGGGCTCCGCGCCCTCCACAGCGCCCAGGGCCAGGCGCCGAGCGCCGCCACGCCGGGGCAGCCGCCCCCACCCCCCTCCGCGTGTGCGCAGCGCGCCTCGTTCAACGCAAAGAGACTCGAGGCAGCGCGCGCCGCTGCAGCGCACGTGCATGTTTCTTTTCTTTTCCATGTGCCACGGTGCCAGTGCGCGCCAGTCCCGTGCCTGTGTTGTAAAGCTTTTTTGTTGCGTAAAATTCTTTTCAGTGCCCGCGAACCCCACTATATAGCGCCACCTCGTGAGCTGTACTGTGAGCTGTGTGTTGTGCGTCCAGCAGTCCGGACCCAGTGCTACGGCCGGTGACAGCGTGCCTCGTGTCGGCTCCCGAGCCAATCGTGTGCAGCGTGTGTGCGTGTGGGCCCGTCCTCCATGCTAGGAGGTGTGTAAGACTGACTGAGTCACTGAATTCTTTTCAGTCGTTGAGCTTTCTTTGATTGACTCAGTCAGTCAGTCTTCTCTCTTGCAGAGACTGATGCCTCTAACCACGGACGATGTCCACCTTTCGTCGGAGTCAAAATCCGGCGCAACGCTGCGACCTCTCCGGTTCTGAATTGAATCCGCCGCAACCCCCAACACAACTTTGCAAGTGCTCAATCGCGCCGATTGCAACGGGTCACCTCGTGCATGTTGCGAGGGTCGGGAAGCCGACCTGAGCCAGGGGGCGAGAAGGGTTCCGAGCTAGGGGCGCACTCGCAATTCAGGAGAGGCGACAAAGTTCGAGTGACCAGGGCAGATCATCATCGCTGCAACAGCACAGGGAGAATTACACGACTGGATGGGTCACGAGGAGCGATAATCCGCTTTGACGCAGATGAGGGACTAGAAGGAGTACGCTTCGAAAGCCTCGCAGTTGTCTCAGTGCATCCGACTAATGCAGACATAAATACCGAACCGAAATCGGAAGTGGCGAACGATGCTACGTCCACTGCGCCTTCCCCCGCCGCGGTGCCGTCGACACTCAAGCGAGGCACCGCCGTCCGAGTCACCGCCGACGACCACCCTCGCTACGGAGAGACCGGCACCGTCACACGCTGCGACGCTCGCGGCGTGATGGTGCGCTTCGACAAGGACGGCGCGCTGCAGGGCCTCAAGATGGCGAGCCTCGAGGTCGCCACCGTGGACAGCACGTCGGCCGCGGCCAGCAAGGCGGCGGCTGAGGCGGAGGCGGAGGCGAGAGCCGCCGCCGAGGCGGAGGCGGCTCGCGTCGCTGCGGCCGAGGCAGAGGCGGCGAGGGTCGCCGCTCAAGAAGCGGCCGCTCGCGAGGAGGCCGACCGGCAAGATGCTGCCCGGCTCGCTGAGGCGGAGGCGGCGAGGGCGCAGCAAGAGCAGGCGGCGGCGACAGCGGCGGCTCAGAAGGCGGAGGCTGCTCGCCAGGCTGCCAAGGACAGGGCCGTCGCCGCCGCGGCGGCGGCTCGCCAGGCGCCCGCCGTCGCACTCGCGGCCAGCGCCGACACCGCCGTGAAGGCAGAGGCGCCGTCCACTGCGCCTTCCCCCGCCGCGGTGCCGTCGACACTCAAGCGAGGCACCGCAGTCCGAGTCACCGCCGACGACCACCCTCGCTACGGAGAGACCGGCACCGTCACACGCTGCGACGCTCGCGGCGTGATGGTGCGCTTCGACAAGGACGGCGCGCTGCAGGGCCTCAAGATGGCGAGCCTCGAGGTCGCCACCGTGGACAGCACGTCGGCCGCGGCCAGCAAGGCGGCGGCTGAGGCGGAGGCGGAGGCGCGAGCCGCCGCCGAGGCGGAGGCGGCTCGCGTCGCTGCGGCCGAGGCAGAGGCGGCGAGGGTCGCCGCTCAAGAAGTGGCCGCTCGCGACGAGGCCGACCGGCAAGAGGCTGCCCGGCTCGCTGAGGCGGAGGCGGCGAGGGCGCAGCAAGAGCAGGCGGCGGCGACAGCGGCGGCTCAGAAGGCGGAGGCTGCTCGCCAGGCTGCCAAGGACAGGGCCGTCGCCGCCGCGGCGGCGGCTCGCCAGGCGCCCGCCGTCGCACTCGCGGCCAGCGCCGACACCGCCGTGAAGGCAGAGGCGCCGTCCACTGCGCCTTCCCCCGCCGCGGTGCCGTCGACACTCAAGCGAGGCACCGCAGTCCGAGTCACCGCCGCTGCGCGCTCGGGCCAGTCTGGCACGGTGGTCGAAACGACAGCCCAAGGAGCGCTCGTGCGGTTCGAGGACAGCGAGGTCGAGGCGTTCAAGTTCGAGAGCATCGCGCCCGCCGCCGCGGCGCGGGGGGTGGCAGGTGGCCTGGTGACAGCAGCCGGCGATCCCGTGACGGTGACCAAGCCGGGTGCTGCGCGCTCGGGCCAGTCTGGCACGGTGGTCGAAACGACAGCCCAAGGAGCGCTCGTGCGCTTCGAGGACAGCGAGGTCGAGGCGTTCAAGTTCGAGAGCATCGCGCCCGCCGCCGCGGCGCGGGGGGTGGCAGGTGGCCTGGTGACAGCAGCCGGCGATCCCGTGACGGTGACCAAGCCGGGTGCTGCGCGCTCGGGCCAGTCTGGCACGGTGGTCGAAACGACAGCCCAAGGAGCGCTCGTGCGGTTCGAGGACAGCGAGGTCGAGGCGTTCAAGTTCGGGAGCATCGCGCCCGCCGCCGCGGCGCGGGGGGTGGCAGGTGGCCTGGTGACAGCAGCCGGAGATCCCGTGACGGTGACCAAGCCGGGTGCTGCGCGCTCGGGCCAGTCTGGCACGGTGGTCGAAACGACAGCCCAAGGAGCGCTCGTGCGCTTCGAGGACAGCGAGGTCGAGGCGTTCAAGTTCGAGAGCATCGCGCCCGCCGCCGCGGCGCGGGGGGTGGCAGGTGGCCTGGTGACAGCAGCCGGCGATCCCGTGACGGTGACCAAGCCGGGTGCTGCGCGCTCGGGCCAGTCTGGCACGGTGGTCGAAACGACAGCCCAAGGAGCGCTCGTGCGGTTCGAGGACAGCGAGGTCGAGGCGTTCAAGTTCGAGAGCATCGCGCCCGCCGCCGCGGCGCGGGGGGTGGCAGGTGGCCTGGTGACAGCAGCCGGCGATCCCGTGACGGTGACCAAGCCGGGTGCTGCGCGCTCGGGCCAGTCTGGCACGGTGGTCGAAACGACAGCCCAAGGAGCGCTCGTGCGGTTCGAGGACAGCGAGGTCGAGGCGTTCAAGTTCGAGAGCATCGCGCCCGCCGCCGCGGCGCGGGGGGTGGCAGGTGGCCTGGTGACAGCAGCCGGCGATCCCGTGACGGTGACCAAGCCGGGTGCTGCGCGCTCGGGCCAGTCTGGCACGGTGGTCGAAACGACAGCCCAAGGAGCGCTCGTGCGCTTCGAGGACAGCGAGGTCGAGGCGTTCAAGTTCGAGAGCATCGCGCCCGCCGCCGCGGCGCGCGACGTCGAGCCATTGGGCCTGCTTGAGGAGCAAAGCTCATCCGCCAAAACCCCTATTTCGGCTGAAGAGACTACGAAGACTTCGTCCGAGCGAAAGGGATTTGTTTCGACCCGTACAACATCAAACGCTGCTGCCACTGCTCCGAAGCGTTCACAGATGTCAACAGCTGCTCCATTCAAGCGCGGGACTACAGTACGAGTGACGAAGCCGCAGCATAAACGCTTCGACGAGGTTGGTACAGTAACATCCGTGGAGCCTCAAAACATTCGGCGGTGGTGGTGGTGATGGCTCTGGTGACGCTGGAGGCAACAGCACTGGGAATGGGACTCGGAAAGGCGGTGGCGGAGGAGAGGGCTCAGGCGGTTGAGGAGAGGGTGGAGGTGGGAGTGTCGGTGGGGGGGGAGAGGGCTCAGGGGGCTTCGGGTTAGGTGGCGGTGGTGGAGAGGGCTCAGGGGAGGGCGGCGGCGTTGGTGCAATGTCGGGTGGATGTGGCGGCGGCGAAGGGGGCGAGCCGGGCGGATAGGGCGGTGGCGACGGTGGTGGGGTGGGCGTCTTGTCAGGCGGGAAGGGCGGCGGCGGCGGGGGAGGCATCGGTGTCTTGCCCGGTGGATACGGCGGCGGCGAGGGCGGAGGCATCGGTGCCTTGCCGGGCGGGATCGGCGGCGGCGCGGGTGCCTCGCCGGGCGGGAAGGGCGGCGGCGAGGGCGGCGGCACGGGCACTGTTCCGGGCGGATGTGGCGTGGGCGACGGCGGTGGGGTGGGCGCCCCGCCGGGCGGGTAAGGCGGCGGCGAGGGCGCATTGCCGGGCGGGGTGGGCGGTGGAGCGGGCGGCGGCAAGGGCGCCTTGCCGGGCGGGGTGGGTGGCACCGACGGCGGCGGCGAGGGCGTCTTGCCTGGCGGGAAGGGCGACGGCGAGGGCGGAGGCAGCGGCGTCGCGCCGGGCGGGAAGGGCAGCGGCGACGGGGGCGGGCTCGGTGCCTGCCGGG